TTTCGCTTGGCTACAGATATCGCAGGACTTGACGTAGGCCTTGACGAAGCGCCACCGGCTGGGCCACCAGTATTTGCGGGAGGCGAGTTTGAGCGTCTTGGACATCCCGAAGTGGCTGGCTAGGGGTGTATCGTGCATGTTGTGGCAGACTTCAGCTCGGAGCTCATTGGTGGGGACATAGACAAGGCTGTCGTGCAGCAGGACCCCATCCTCATCTGAGAACCGCTTGATACGATCTTGGGCTTCCTCGGTCCGTTGGGCAAGGGGTATCTTGAGCTCTTTGCGGATGGTCTTAGCGAGGGGGTCAGAGGCCTGGGCGGCTTTAATCTTGTCAAGCAGCGTAGTATCCATGGGTGTGAGGTAGGCCGTGGCGAGTCGAAGGCGTTCACGAGTCAAAATTGTGGTCGCCTGGGAGCGGAACGCTTCTTCCCCCTCCTTTAGCTCATGTTCGGAGCGTCGGGAGAGGGCATTGGCTTGGTGCTGCTGGGAACCGGGGCGATAGGTAATGATAAAGTCAAAATCCAAGAAGAATATCGACCAGCGGGCTTGGCGGCGGTTCAGCGTGCGGGTGGTCATGAAGTACTGAAGGTTTTTGTGGTCGGAGTAAACGGTGATCTTGTGACGGGCGCCAATGAGATGGTGTCGCCACTGGGCAAAGGAGTCTTGGATGGCCGGAAGCTCCTTGTCGTAGATCTCGTAGTTGATCTCTTCGGCCGTGAATTTGCGAGAGTGGAAGGCCACAGGGTGGAGCTGATTGTCCTGGTCAGGTTGGAGGAGAACTGCGCCGAGAGCGAAGTCGGAGGCGTCAGTTTCGACGACAAAGGGCTTCTCTGGGTCAGGGTGAGCAAGGATGGGGCCGGTGGTGAATGATTTCTTCAGGTTCTCGAAGGCGGTGTTTGCGGCGGGCGTCCAGGCGTACGGGATGTCTTTCCGGGTCAGGGCTGTGAGCGGGGTAGCGATCTTGGAATAACCTTGGATGAATCGGTGATAGAAGTTGGCAAAGCCGAGGAATCGCTGGAAGCCTTTGACAGTCTTGGGAGGTTCCCAATCCGTGATGGCAGCGATCTTCTTGGGGTCCGTCTGGATGCCTTTCTCGGAGATGATGAAGCCTAGGAACTCAACGGATTCGCGGTTGAATTCGCACTTCTCTGGTTTGGCGTACAACCCATGCTGTCGGAGGCGGGACAAGACTTCGCGGACATGTTTGGGGTGATCTTCGGGGTTCTTGGAGAATATCAGGATATCATCAAGGTAGACGACAACAAACACATCGAGAATGTCGCGGAAGATGTCGTTCATTAAGTACTGGAAAACGCCAGGAGCATTGCCAAGTCCAAAGGGCATGACGTTGTATTCGAATAGGCCGTAGCGGCAGCGGAGAGCGGTCTTCCATTCATCGCCTGGGCGCATGTGTAAGAGGTTGTAAGCGCCGCGGAGGTCGATCTTGGTGAGACGGCGGGCGCCGCGCAAACGATCCATGATACCGTTGATCAGGGGCAGGGGGTAGCGATTCTTCACCGTGATGCTGTTCAGGCCTCGATAATCCACGCAGAGGCGGAGAGAACCGTCCTTTTTCCTTCACGAATAAGACTGGCGCACCGGCAGGGGACTTTGAGGGTTTGGTGAATCCTTTGGCGAGGTTTTCTTCGAGGTATTCGCAGAGAGGCGCTGTAGATCGGGCCAAAAGGTGGCTGCTTGCCTTCTTCCAGATCGATTGGACAGTCGTAGGGCCGGTGCTCGGGGAGAGTGTCAGCATTTTTCTTTTCGAAAACATTGGCGAAATCTTGATATTTGGGGGGCAGGAAGTCTTTGATGTTTTTCTCGGGTGTCGGGGGGTTACTGGGGCTAGGCGAGGCCGGGAGATCGGGTTTCGCAGGGTTAGCGTAGGCAACAAAGACCTGGTCATGCCTTGCTGCGACCCGGAAGGCTGGGGCGGAGATGAACGAGACTCGGAGCAGCGTGGGAGCCGGTTCTGGGGTGCTGGAGCGAGATACCCTGGGTACTGGAATCGACCATGTTTCGTCGACGGGGACTTCATCCTGGGGGATGCGGATCAAGGGCTCGGGGGTTCTGGCAGGTGCTGGGCTCGGGGGTGCCGGGGAGTGGTCCCAGTTCGCAAATTCATGGTACTGACAGTTGCAACGGAGCCCGACCGAAAGGTTCTTGAAGTCAAGGTTAATGTCATGGAGGCGGAGCCAGGGAAGACCAAGGAGGACTGGCGCGCGGGGTGATTTGGTGACATGGAAGACGAGTTCTTCGAAGTGGTCGTCAACCCACATGCCTACTGGTTGGGTGTGATGGGTGATTGGCCCAGCAGAGCTGGGTTGACCGTCAACGAGTTCGATCGTCAGGGGACGCTGATGCGGGACTAGGGGGATGCGGTGTTTGCGGGCAAAGTCTCTGTCGATGAAGCAGGACAGGGCCCCGTTGTCGATCATGGCTGAGGTAGGTATCGGGGAGCGGCTGGATGTTACCATGATGGTAACGGGGTAGTTGAAGGGTTCGACGGGACCCAGCGCAAGCAGGGCGCGTGGGTTAATTTCGGAGTTTTCGACATGGGCGGCGGCTAGGAGGGTTGTGTTGGCTATAACGGAGTCGGGAACCGGGGGGTTGCCTCTTCCGTTGCAGGAGCTGCGAGGTTAGGAGGCCCAGAGGAGAGTGTGTATTCCAGTCGCTGGGGCTTTACTGCGGCTGGACCTTGGGAAAACCCTGTTCTGTGGAGGTTTCTTTGATGTCGACGTTGGCGGCACGGCTGGTGGTCTTGTTCTTGGCTGGGCAGGCCTTTGCAATGTGCCCCGCGCCACCGCAGTAGAGGCAGAGGTTGTTGGAAATGCGGCGTTGGCGTTCCTGGGGGCTCAGAGGGCCGCGGGGACGAGCGGCGTCAATCTGCATGGGCTCGCTGTGGTCAACGGTGGTGGTAGTGGTAAACGAGGTATGGGGGACTGGGAAGGTCTGGCGGGTTCTGTTTCGTTCCAGGCGGCGCTCAACCAGTCGGTTATCCCACTGGATAGCCTGCTCCATCACCGTATCAATGGTGGCAGCAGGAGGCACCGTGAGCATCAGATCCTTCACGTCCTCTTTGAGGCCACGGCGGAAGGTAGCAATCAGGGCCTGGTCATTCCAGGAGACATCGCATTGTAGCTGGCGGAACTCGGCAACGTACTCGGTGGCTGCACGGGTTTGGCGAAGGTTCTGGAGCTTGTTCTCGGAGGCGCGGACCCTGTCGCTGTCCCTGAAGACAGATTGCATCTGACCGATACAACTATCGAAGTTCTGAAGGCTGTGATCTTGGCGTTCGACTAGGGGCGCCATCCAGGCTTGCGCAGTGCCGGTGAGGTAGGTGCCAATCGTTTGGATCTTGATGATGTCGCTGGGGTAGCGGTTGGGCTGGAGAGCAAACATCAACTGGATGTTGTTCAACCATCCACGGGATTTGCTGCGGGTACCATCAAACTTCTCAGGCGAGCTGATTCTTGGCTCCAGAGCTTCGGGAGCAGGGTTGGTGACTTGAGGACGGGTGTACGCATCGGCTTGGACCTGGGCAGCAATGTTCTGGGCAGCTTGTGCGTCGGCTTAGGCTTGCGCTAGGTTGGCCTGCAAGTTGGCGTTTGACATTGGCGGTTGACATTGGCGGCTGTCAGTAGGTAAGCTTATGGTATGGGCGCGTCGTCGCCCATCGCTCTCACCTTGTCCTCTCTACTTTGCTTCTGCCTCAGTCGTCAAGATCATAACAGTTTGATCTGCTGGGGAGGAAGGTAATGGACAAAGAGAGGCCAGCTATTTATAGATAGGCAACCCAGCAGGCCAGAGAACAACAACAACAAGAGGGCACTGGGGGGGCGCCAGCTATGCTCCTAGAGCGTGCGTGGCGAGCGTAGAGAGCATTGCTACAGCTGCTGGCTATGGAGAAGTAGTGGGGGATGTGGAGAAGCCGACGGGGGATTGGCGAAATGAGAGGAGAGAGGAGGAGCGGCGATATTGCGGGAGGATTGGCGAAATGGGAGGAGGGGGAGTGGCATTGACACTGACATTGACACTGACATTGACACTGACATTGACATTGACATTGGCGTTTGACATTGGCGGTTGACATTGGCGGCTGTCAGTAGGTAAGCTTATGGTATGGGCGCCTCGTTCATAACATTCAGGCCACGGTACAGTCATTGTACGATTCGTCAACTGATGTGTATTAGGATACACATTTCTGAATATGGTCAACAAGGGTCTTGATTTTATTTTGATGTCTTGCAAGGATCCTCTCTAAGGTACGGTTATCGACCTCATCATCTTTCACCTTCATTTTGAATGTTTTCAGATTGATAGTACACAGATGTTCCCAGTTCCTAAAGAAACCCAATCCAACGTACTCTGCTCCTGGAACCATCCAAGATAGCGACCACTGTTGAGTGTCCAACTCATCCTCGAGATCTGTCAATAGGGTCTTGAAAGCCGTGGGGTTGTTATCCTGGAAAGACTCCAGGTACTCGTGGTTAGATTTTCTGGTTGACTCAAAGGAAGCCATGGTTAGAATTTTGCGTTACATATCAAAACTGCATTCAAAAACGCGTTGAGCTACTCCACCAAGTCTGGTGTTGACACACAACTTTGTCTTCTCTACTACAACCCACTGACGGGATATACTTCAGCCGAGAGACTCTTCCAGCAGTCTCAGGCTAAAGGCAAATCTCTGTCTTGGGCTGATGCACACCGGTTTGTGGCTGCACAGCAAGTAGCTCAACTTCATCAACTTCCATCCCGAACTTATGAGTATCTGCACATAGTTAGTCCAGCACTTAACGCACGGTGGCAGTCAGATCTGATCGACTTTCCTAGGCTTGCTAAGGAGAACAACGGATATCGATATATACTGACCATTGTTGATATCTACTCTCGCTTTGCATACTGCATTCCTCTGAAGAACAAGGACGGAGTGACAGTATCTGCAGCACTTAGGAAACTCTTTGCGTCCGGTAAGAGACCTACCGAATCCTTCACCTCAGATGCTGGCAGTGAGTTCAAGAATGTGCATGTTGCTGCGTTGCTGAAAGAGATCGGCGTGCAACAGTACACAGCACAAGCTGGCGACCATGACCGCCTCGGCATCATAGAACGGTTCAATAGAACAATAAAGACCTTCCTGGCACGATACTTTACTGCGACGGGACAGAAGGCATACGTCAACGCTCTACCGCAGTTCACAGAGAACTACAACAATCAGGTGCATAGCGTTCTCGGCAAAGCACCCGCTAGGATCAAGGATGGTGACATACCGGATAGCTTGGAGCAGAACGTTAAGGCACTTGATGATCTAGAAGGGTTCAACATTGGAGACGACCTTAGGATCAAGGAAGATCGCAATGTATTCAAGAAAGGTTACAGTCAACAGTTCAGCAAACTAATCTACATTATTGGTGGTCGAAACGGGTATGGGTACAAATTGTTTGATACAAAAGGGGTTCCTCAGAAGCGAATGTACAAAGCCCGAGACTTGTTGAAGATCAATGATGTCCAAAAAGCACCCAGAGGAGACAGAGAAATCGCCAGGCTCCAAGGTGTGGACGTTGTCCTTCCAGAGCCTGGCCAGAAAAGGAAACGGAAGCCGAAGAAGATTTTTGGAGAGTGACGAGAGCTCCCCATTTCACCCCTTCCCAGTTCTCTTAGTCAAGCCATCTAATCGCCGATACCATCCCACGGGAAATTGAGGTCAGACCGCACCCAGACATGTATATTCCTCCTGTGTTCCCACGCATACTTGTCGGCCATATAGCTCAGCGCTTCACAAACGGATACCATAGCGGTCTTCCCTCCCTTCTCGTTCAATATCTTTCCAACCACAACTACCCGCTCCCTCTCCGACTCTTTGAAAAACCTATGACAGGTCTCCCAGTCCTCGCCGGCGCTGTCCAGACTGGTCTCCCAGTCTTTGCGGACGCTCTCCAGAAATATATGATACATTCCCGCGATAGCATGTTCAGCGAGTAGCGGCGGGCTCAAAGATTCATCTGGTCAGGCTGCAACTCGTGGAAGGAGGAAATCTCAGCAAGACTAGTTTCAACAAAGCGTGTTGCATCGCGAACGATGTCTCCATGTGACACGACGTCTCCTTCTTTTTACATGTTGTCGATGTATGAAGGAAAACGGATGAGACGGATGTTGTAATCGATCGATTGGGCGTTTGTGGCTTTTGGTACGGAGTGACTCGGATACCTGGGGAACTCTGTGTGCACAGAGTTGTTGCGGGTGTTCAAGTCTGTGTTTGCGATGTTGGCACAGAGTTGTTGCGGGTGGTGCATAAAGGGTAAAATTTTTGACCCTTTATATACTACTTTTTTTATTCGATAAAATCTGGATGGCACAGACCGGTGTCACACAGAGATGTTGCAAGTCTGTGCGCACAGCTCTGACTTGGTTCCAATTGTAACTAATTGGCAGCCTATTGGGTCCGATCCCAGATTTAGAATCTGAGCCGTAATTGAGGCTGTTTGTCTCCATAAGCAGCGTATTGGACTCAAATCAAGGAATCAACTTTTCACCTTGTTGAGTGGAAATGGAGGCTTCCTAGGACAGTTTAAGACTCTCACCACTCCGTTGGACTTTTTTCCAAGCTTGACAGTTTTAAGCCGAATTTGAGACCTCTCTGGCTTGATATGGGGCCTATCCAGGGGGTTTTTTCCGAGATTCAGGTCTGAGGCCTGTTGGACCGGGTTTGCGGTTCAGATGAGGGTAAATAACGGTTTTTCAAAAGTGTAGTTAAATGGTGGCCAATTCTATACTACTCAAACGACCTTCAGAAGTCTTTGACGCGACTCGCCCCACCTGCAACTTCGCACCCAGCTTCCCACCGGAAAACCCACTGTGGACTAAGGTTGCGCTTCGTTTTCCCACGGAACTCCAGCCAACGCCATGAAGAGGCCAAGACAGCGTTCGGACTCGGGAAGTGACCTTAACCAGGATGCTTCTCCGTACGGAAGAAAAAGACACCCGGTTGCGTGGTCACGCCTGGGTAGAGATATATGATTAGGCGCATCTTCAGATGACAAGGACCATTCCCACTCAACCCCTCCAGAGCCACGATGCCAAACCCACCCGCCGCTCCTGCCAATTTGCCGGCTCCGCAATCCCCTTTGCGAACTTCGTCGCCCATGAGAGTAGAGTCGGGCAGCCGTCCAACAACGGCGACGACGACGAATGGTGCAAATGGACCCTCCGCCGCACCGCCAACCCTAGCTCCTCCCTCACAGGCCGCCTCCTCGCCACCGTTGTATTCGCCGGCGCCCAACTCACCAAACGGCAACAGTTTACCGCAGACAAATACCGGCGACGCGCCCGTGGAAGACGACTTCGACTGGTTCGAAATTGATAGCGGGCCCGCTCAAGAAGAGGTGGTGCACGAATATGAAGTACGTAAGGGGGGTTCGACTGTGGGCTTGGTTTGAAATTGTGGTAGCAGGCGAGCCGGAATAAAAATGCACAAGAGCCAAGACATCCGGACGAGGGGTGGAGGCGTTAGCACACCGGAAAGCGTTTTTCTTAGGCGGTATAGTTGGTTTTGCGCTGTCTCTGCTGTACGGCAGCGAACTAGGATGGAAAGAGACGGCATTCGGCAAGTGGAAGCAAGCAGTGTCTGAGAATGCGGGTCACTAACATTTCTCATTCCAGTCCAGGGGTCTCTATGGGCTGGATTGTTGTTATCTGCCTGTGTGGGCTCAATTCCTTGCATATCTTTTCTCGGGGCTCACGATTCCCGCTGCGCCAGCATTGATAAGCTATCTCGTTGTTTGGAAACCCGGAGGTGTGGTCAGACTGAGAAGTGTCCCAATGTTGCAATAAGTTTACACATCTATGGGCAGATCCCAATCTCTTTGATAAGATCGGCCCCGAGGATAGCTTGACGCTGAGTACGGAGATTGCTCGCTGGTGAGTTGTCTTGTCAGTGGAAGTTGTCCACTTCTCTGCGATCATACTGAAACGCTGTTTCCCAGGTCACTGTTCTTTGCATCATCCATCTTCACTTGGGTCGTGTTGTGGTACTTCATTGACGGTGGGAATGTCCTGATCGTATATGAGGGATCGTTTGAACCGTTCAAACTTACCTTACTACCCCTCAGTGCTACCGTACGTCATTGTTTCCACGCTGAGTACGCTCTTTGGAGGGTACAGCGAGCGGACCCGAGCGCGACTTGAGGTAGAGTTGGCATGGACCCTTATTGACAGTACTTTCTGGCTAACCGCACCTCATACAGTACATGGTAGCCGTCAAACTCTTCGTCACGATTGCATCCTGGGCGATCATCACGGTCGTCGCGTTCGCCCTCCTGTTCAATCAAATGAATCAAGTGGAGTACTGGCTTACGATATTCCATGTGATCGTAACGGGGATGGTGTTCACTCTGTGTATGCTTATACATAAGCTTCTGTTGCAAGTGATTGGTAAGTGGCCGGTTTTTTGCGGAGCGGAGGCCCGATTGGAGATAAATATTGATATTTCAAATTGTGTAGCCGTGCAATTTCACAGGTGCGTGTCTGCCGTTGAAGGGTTAAGAGTTTGTCTAATGGCGAATTGAGCTTGCCCTTGCGAAATCGCAGACTCGCGTATAAAGACCGAATCGCTATATCCAAACGACATATGAAACGTGAGTGCAGGTAGTCCCGTGTATTGGGAAAGAGGGAGTCCAAATACTGAACATTTTCGATTCAACCCTCAGTGCTCGACGCATTCAAAAAGTACGCAAAGCAACATCGATCAAATAGCGAGTATATTGGACCGGGACAGCTTCTACCGAAAGGCGGCCCACAACCGTCCAATCCGTCAAGTCCCATCTGGACAGGCCGCTTTGCATATGGCAGGGAGCAGAGCACTACCAACACGCTAGCCACCGATGCAGATTCACAGCAAGGGGCTGCCGCTGCTTCTCACCGCAAAAACAAGCAGTCTGCGTCGTTCTGGCTGCATATAGTTAGGAGACGGGCGGCTGACAGCGCTGGGCGGAACGGCCTACCTGGGGATCTAGACGACGACGACCCCGACCTCGAGTCAGGGATGGAGTCTGATGTCACCGAGATGGGGATGATGGGACGGCGACCCACCACCGTCAACGGCCCACCAATACCGCCAACAGGGGAACTCGCAGAAATCCAAAAATCATACCCCATCCACGCCCCCGACGACCAATCATCGCCGTTACCGGCCCGCCCGCGTACAACCTCCGACTCCCCACACTCCCTCAACATTGACTCCCTCCACCGCAGCCCGACCGTACTCGCCCGCAACGTTTCCAGAAAGACCGCCCGATCCCGCCCAGCCTCTCGCGCCGGCTCCCCACCCTCCTCGCCCGGCCTGCGCCCCATCACCGCCTCCGACCTCCTCCCCACGACGCACACCATCTCGCGCTCCACCCGTCCCTCCATGTCGCACAGCCGCGCGGCGTCCGCAAGAAGGAGCGATACCGTGCAGGATCTGCTCTCCCCGAGCTCGCCGCATGATGATAAGCATATTCGCTCCCCGATACCCGGCTTGACGGAATTCAAGGGAAATCGGTACAAACAGGAGCTGGCGAGGATGGATATTACGAGTCATATACAGGCGGGCAAGCTGGCGAAGAAGATATTCATGGGGTTGGGAGGGAAGGAGAAAGGGTTTTTGACGTCGGAGGATTTCATGCGGTAATGACATTTATAACCTGCCTCCGCTCATCAATTCACATCGTGACAAATGTTTATTCTGAAAACATTAGATGCTTCGCAGACCCCTCCCTCGCATCCGAAGCCTTCCTCCTCCTCGACCAAGACGGCAATGGCTCCATCACGCGCAAAGAAGTGAAAGACTGCGTCGTTGGGATGTATCGCGAGCGCCGCGGGCTGTACCGCGCGATGCGGGATTTGTCGCAGGCGTTGGGGAAGCTTAATTCGTGAGTTTGTGTGTGTGGGGGCGGAGGGTGATTTGTGGGTGGTGGATTGATGTTTGTTCTTGAGGAAGGTTTTTCTTTTTTGTGGATAGCTTTGTGTCGTTTTGTATTGCTTTGCCGGTGAGTTTTTTTTAACGATTTGCGCCCTTGTCACAAAGAACCGTCATTTTTCCGGCCGTAACTCACATATCTGTTATTCCTACTACATTTCGTGTGCGTAGATCTTTGGTATCAGCCTCACCGCGATGCTCCCCTTCACGAGTTTTATCCTCGCGCTGAGTTTCGTTTTCGGTAGGGAATCTTCATTTGCATTGTTGAGTTCGGAGGATCATATAGGCATGCAGCGCTTATCAAATGACCATATCCTCGCTCTACAGGAACCGCGGCACGCACCGCCTTCGAATCGCTGCTCTTCTTATTCGTCACACATCCATATGATGCTGGTAGATAAAGGCCGCCCACTTGAACATGTTACGGAGCAGCATGCTCACTGTCTTCACGTCCTCGCATGCACAGGCGACCGAGTCCTCATCGACAACCAGAACTTGCTCGTGGAAGAAGTGGGCGTGTTGACAACGATTTTCAAGAGGATGGATGGACAGTTGATTTATGCGCCTAATAGTAGGTTTTGTTGGAACTTCGCGTTTCTGATCTCGACTGGTTTGATGTTGACATGGACTTGAATTCTCTGTAGCACTCATTGCGTCGAAACTTATACATAATCTGCGGAGGTCGGGGGATCAGGTGCGGTCGCTGGGATCTGTCCGCCATCTTGAGTGTTCGGTGGTCACGGTCTTCTGATATGTCTGCCCTTTTTTCTCTTACTTTTGTCTCTGTCTTTTGTTAGTCCGAAGCCATCGAACTCCAACTAGGTACAATATCCACCCTTTACTTCGCATCCCTCGCCCACCACCACGCACTAACCCCGCTCCACTTACCACAGACTTCGACACCCCCGAAGAAAAACTCCGCGCTCTAAAAGACCGCATCCAAGAATTCGTCCGCTCCGAGCCGCGCGAGTACGCCGGCGTGGATATGCATATCTCCGATATCGAGAATATGAATAAGTTGAAGGTCAATATGGTGTTAAAGCATAAGGGTATGTGTGGTGGGCGGATTGGTGAGAAAGGGTGATTAGGGAGAGAGTGGATTGTTTATTTTTTCCTGTTTTTGATGATCCTAGGGAACTGGCAGGATGGGAGTAAACGGTGGGGGAGGCGGACGCAGGTGAGGATCTTCTTGTGGTCGTGTTGTTATTGGTTTAAGAGAACCGAGTTCTATTCGCTACCACAATAAACTGAACGAATTCAATCCCACCTCCCCCCTTTCCATGCAGTTCATGTACGCCCTCCGCCGGCACCTAACGGACCTCCAAATCGTCTACCTGACGCCCGCGCAACACAAAATCGAGACCTCATCCTCCACAACATCCTCTTCTCAACAACAGCCACAGCAAATGCAGGCGGCGCCCATGACGACCTTATCGGTGCCGACGTTCACGATGAGCGAGCCTGCGGCGGAGAGGGCGGTTGCGGCGGCGGCGCAGCAGAGTTTGGCGGGGGGGATGCATATGTGATTCGGGGCTTGGGAGGGAGTGGGTTTGTTCTTCTGGGTTCTGGGACATGGGTTTTTGGGTTGCGTTACGATTTTGAGCTTTTTACTGATGCGTTTGTTTGAGTGTACTTTTTGGTCGTTATGTTGTGGGGCGATATGCAATGTGTGAAGAAGCGCATGAGAGGTTCATAAATACGTAGTATTCGAAAAGAATGGCCGTTCAACATGCGCATATCATCTGTGGTTTCCCCACATAGATATTGTTTTCATCCTCACTCTATCTATATTCATATTCTTGCTTTCTCCCTCCTCCATCTCTCCCTCCCCCTAAAGCAAAGTCAAATCGACAAGATCAAATTTCCTCCTCCCCTTCAGCATCAAACTCTGTGTCAAATCCGCCTGCCTCTGCACCTTATCCACCTGCGAGATCTCCCTAATCTTCTGCTGCACATACGCCAACCGCTGCTCCCCATCCATGCCCAAATAAGACTTGATATCCAAACTATTCGCCAACCGCTTCTTCATCTCCGGCCTAGTCGGCAGCGCAGGGAGCGTGCCATCATCCACCGAAACGATCCGTCTCCGCTTCTCGAGATCGTAGTGCAGGACCACGCGGCCGGGGATGAGCGCAAAGAGGGTATGGTCCTTCCCCATCCCGACGTTGTGGCCGGGGTGCCATTCGGTCCCGCGTTGGCGGATGATGATGTTCCCCGGCTCGACTTTTGCGTTGTGGAGGGCTTTGAAGCCGAGATATTTTGGTTGCGAGGTGCGTCCGTTTTTGGTGGAGCCGCCGGCTTTTTTGGTGGCGAAACGGATCTGGGAGAAGGTGAAGGATGTGGGGGGGCGGACGGTGGTGGGGCTGCTGGTGAGAGGATCGAGGGGGGTGGGGCGGAGGTGGGTGAGGCAGCCGGCCGAGGGCCGTTTGGGGAGGGAGGCGGCGGCTGGGGCGCCTATCCGGGATAGCAACATTGTGATGGAGGGAGCGTTGAAGTTGGAGGTTTGGAGGGTGGGATTTTTTCGCTTTTTGCCGTTGGGGATCGAGTGGCTGAGCCCCGAGTTAAGAGTCTAACTCCGGTTCGAAGTCTAGTGACAGGAGTGCTGTATGCCGGTAGCTGAGCGACGACAGCTCTCTCTCTGGAGAAGAAGATTGGCGGAACGGGTCGAGGGATTCAGCGAGGGATTGGGGCAATTGAGGAGCGACTTGCAAGAGCCGCGTCTCTTCGTTTTCTGTTTCTCGCTCCATTTGCGACATTCTCTTGCAACCTGCTTGCAACCAGCACTCAACCACCGGCCGCACTGTATTCACCCACAACAGTTATCCTCAACTAATAAAGCTCTCGCAGCACCTGCCGGACCTTGTCGTTTATCGCCGCTTCACACCCCCGCCCAACATGCCCCCACCCTCAAAACACCCCAAACGCCCCAAAAAGCCCTCAGCTGGCCCTGCCACACCCCCAAAACCCACCACCTTCGCCGACTCCATCACCGAAGCCCTCTCCCTCGAAGACAAAGGCGACCGGCACGGCACCTCCGCCAAAGCGCTCCGCTTCTACCAACGCGCCCGCGAAATGTACGCACATGCGCATTCGCTCGAGCCTAGCGACGCGGAGTGCATGTACAATTGGGGACGGATCCTGCTCGTAATTGCCGAGTTTCAGGTGGACAACGGAGATGATGATATCGACGACGAAGCGGCGGGTAGATTTGCGTTGTTCAACGAGGCGGCGGAGAAGTTCAGGAAGGGTGACCAGGCGAACGTGGATGTGCTGTTTAATCTGGCGCAGGCTTTGAGGGGCGCTGCGGAGATTGCGTTGGAGGAGGAGGGCACGGGGAGCGGGGTGGGTGGGGGTGCGGCGGAGGCGGTGAAGATGTTGACTGAGGCGGAGGCGGCGTTGGAGGAGGTGTTTCGGTTGCAGATTGCGTTGATGGAGGACGAGGGGAAGGGGCCGGCGGATGATGCTGCACTGAAGAGTGCAGCGGCTGTAAAAGAGGGATCTGTGGACAAAGAAGAGGAGAAGACCGGAGGGGACGAAGATGAAGAAGGACAAGAAGAAGAAGAAGAAGAAGAAGAAGAAGAAGAAGAAGAAGACTCCCCAACAGTTTCCCTCATCGACACCCTCTCCGCCCACGCGCAGACCCTCACTCTCCTCTTCCAAGAAGTTCGCGACCCAGAATCCACCCTCCTCTATACCCGCGCCCTCTCCAAACTCCACAAAGCCCAATCTCTCCTCGACTCCCCTCCGCAAACGGACCCGATAACACCCACCGAGAAACAACGCTGCCAACACGACATTGACATCCGGTTTGCGGAGACTTTCGCGGCCCGCGCGGATGTTGTTGCACAGGTTGAGAACCGCGTCGATGAGGAGATCTTTGGACAGGCTGTGGGGAGGCTGGAGAAGGTGCTTGGAGGGGATAAAGACAACGTCGAAGCGCTTTGCGAAAAAGGGGATGTGCTCTGCTCATGGGCCGATGCGGTCAAGATGTGTGCAGGCGGGGTGGAAAAGATCCTCGCTGCCGCGGGTACCAACACATCTTCTTCCTCATCCTCATCAACAACACCACCAACGAACCCCCTAACACTCCTCCGCACCCTCTACACCCGCGCCGTCGACGCCTACACCCTCGCCTACACACTCACCCCAACCTCCGCCCCCATCGCCGCAAAACTCGGCGACACCCACCTGCTCCGTATCCCCCTCTACACCCCCCCGACCACCCAATCCCAACTCCCAACCCTCGCCCTCAACGCCGAACGATACTACCGCCGCGCCGTCACGCTCAAAGACCACTCTGTGCTGCTCCGCCTCGCCAAAGCGTTGTCGTGGGCGGGGAAGGAGGAGGAGTGTAGGAAGGTGGTTGTGGCGTGGCGGAAGAAGGTGGACAGGGGGGATGGGGATGTGGGGGAGGAGGGGGAGACGGCTGAGGTGGGGTGGGCGGGCGTGGTTAAGGGGTGGGAGTGGTTTGAGGGTGCGTTGGAGGGAACGGCGTAGGGGTGTCCCGAATTGGCATATATGGTAGAATAGGTTATAGCAAGTTGCGCTATGATTTGGAGGATAGGTCCGCCTAGCTTTGTGGAGAATCGAAGGGACGAGGTCCATCCGATTGTGCATATCTTGGCATACCACATGAGTGTTCATTTTGGGGCATGTCTTTCCGTTCGGTGATTTTCTGAACAGAGCTCGCACCCTGGCTCGCACCCTAGTGATCTAGAAACGTAGCCTACTCCTTTGGCGAGGGAGACTCGTCGACACGGCACTACTCCATTTCTTGACTTATTTGCGCAACACAAGAGTACTAGCTACGCAGAAACAAATGAATTGCCACCAACTACAGTACAAATGCTTGACTTACTTGCGCAACACAAGAGTACTAGATACGCAGAAACGAATGAATTGCCACCAACTACAGTACAAATGCAAGAGAAGAATACAGTATGAAAGAACCTAAACAACTAAACAAAGGCGGGAGGGCCAAAAACACACACAGGCGCGTGTGTGCATAACTGATAAATACAACGTGGAGCATTGAACGGGTGGTGGTGCGTGTGTGTTTAGATGCGCCGTGCTTTCCGCGCGTTGGATGAATGATTAAACCGTGAAGGGGCCAGGTACATCCGATTTACTGCTGCTTGCATTCCGGGGGCTTATCGGTCGAGTTGGCCGGAGCCTCGCCACCCTCTTCCTCCGCAGCATCCTCATCACCCTCATCCTCATCGTCATCCTCGTCCTCGTCATCATCATCCCCAGAGTACAACTCCTCATCAAACTCATCCTCCTCAAACTCCAGCGCCTTGCCCGTGAACCAGTCAACAGCACGCGGGATGATCTTCTCCTTGATCATTTCTCCAATCTCGTAATCCATCTCCAACCGCTGTTCGAGTTCCTCGAGGTCTTCCTCATCGGCGTCATCGTCGTCGTCTTCGGGGGCGGTGGGCGGCGAGAAGAAGGAGAAGAAGGTCTCGGCGGGGACGGTTTTCTTGACGGTACGGGTCTTGTTTGAAGACTTGTGGCGTTGCTTCTTGATCTCGATTTTGACGCTCAGGTCTTTGCCCTCCTTCCAGTGGATCGGGCTGCCTTCGGCGCGGTCGTAAAGGACGTCGCCGTAGCCGGATTCGGGGGAGGACTCGAGGTAGTAGGTTTTTGTGAGGACGGAGTCGGTGAAATAGTCGTTAGGGGCAAAGTGGAAGGTCAGAGTGAAGCCCTGCACAGACCGCAAAAAGGAAAGTTAGTTCTGTAATCCCTGCCGATACCATTCACATTCAATCCCCAAAACATACGGGGTTGTCTTCGAGGTAAGTCAGCTTGATATCCGTCAGTTTCTTCAACACCTCCTCATCCTTCTCCGTAATCATTTCCGCCAACTGTGCGTTGTTCCTCAACGCAGTCAACCAGAACTCGGGGATTCCCGCAATGTCCTTGCCGTCCTCAACAGTCTTGGCCGGGGTGGGCGGAGTGGCCTTCTCCTTGTCCTCATCCTCTTCGTCCTCCTCAGGCTTCCTCTCGCATTCAGCGTCAGTGGGCTCGACGGATCCGGCGATAATAGCGGACCGCTGGTCGTATAGAGGTTGGTACTTGGCGTGGAACTTCTTTTCGAGCGCCAAGAGTTCGGCTTGGAACTCGGCTTCGAGGCCGGTGTGCTTATCCTATTTGAGAAGAAAAAAGCTTGTGTAAGCCTCTGGTTCTTCTGCGATTTCCATTGCTCGCAATAAGGAGTCAAGGACATAGGTGAAGCGATTCGGCACTTCGCTTCATTGCGACTCTTTGACCGCTGAACACCGCCCCTCAAAACCTCACCTGCAAGTTCAACAACGCATTCATCCTCCTCTTCACACTGGTAGGTAAGCTGTCAATGTAACCCGAGGGCCTGCCAACAAGGGAGCCCAGACGCTCCTGGAGTGCGCTCAGCATGGCGGGGTCTTGGAAGGCTTTTAGTGGGAAAATCGAGAGAAGCGTTAGTCCAAAGCTTAGTTTCAGCGGAGTGTGATAGAGAGACTTGGATGAGTGTTGGTGCTAGACATACCTGATTCTAAGGCCATTGTTGTATGTGCCGTTAAGAGTGATCTGCTGTAGTTCCTACGGCTTTCTCTAGCGTCTTTTGGCGGGCGGGGAAAGAAAGCGGAGAGCCGTTTGTCCGGAAGACCCGCTAAGCCACACTCCCAGAACACCTTGCAACAAGCAGGCCAGCCAACAAGCTACTGTACCTCGGCCAACCCAACAACCAAGCAAACATGCACATCCCACAAGCACCAACACCCCTCCACCACCGTCTCATACCGCAACGACCCACGCGCCTCGGCTGGAAAGTCTATCTGCTCACCGCCGTAGTCTCCACGTTCACCGGGTTCTACGTTTTTGACCCTTACATGCGCGCGCAATTCGAGCCACAGCAACAAGCAACGGCAGCGGCGGCTGGTGGGGCCAAGGAGGGAGCCGGTGGGGTCGCTGCCAAGTGAGACGGCGTGAGAACGAGCACGAATATGCTAGGGATAGGCGAACGGAGTTTTTTCTAGGTGTGGAAGGTGTGCGGAATAGTGGCGAGTGAACTATTTCACACTTCCCACAACCGGAAGGCCGCACAGCGGGATCGGATAGGGATCCTGGTTACGAATCCGCCGTACGCGAAACGTCGAATATACCCCTCATCTCTCGGTCCGGCAACCCGCCACCCGTGCACAAGCAATTGCGGGTGTGGATATGTTACCTATCCCGCCTGAACGAAACACCTGACAGATAGATTTACGGCGAAAGGAGGGCTGTACGAGATGAGAGGGTGCCGAACGCCCCCATCTGGTCATGTTGCTTCACATTCCGAATGGCATCATTGGCGCAGACGCATCGTTGATCGGAATGATGCACGAGAAACCATCGGGCCATGTATGTAGGGGTGAACGTAGCTGGGCAAGAGGGTAGAGTGCAGATAGGGCTTAAATGAAGGCGTCGGCTCATTCCGGCCTGTTCTCAACATTAGACGTACTCGATAGATCCTCACTGTTTCCGTCGCCCCTTGGAAAGGAAACATGGAGAATAGAAACGCCCACATTCTTGAATCTCAGGCCAATGAAAGAGCCAAAATGTCAGAACAAGGCCGCCAACAACATAATCGTGATCTAAATAGCCATGAGAAGGAGGAGCACTGTCTAAAGATATGGGAAACTACCTATGCTTCTACTACGCCGTAAGCTTGTATCTATATGTAACCTGATTCAGCAACCCAGGCAACCCTATCGAACGCTAAACTTGGGCCTGCAAGCTGATCGCTAACAAAGTGACCGCCGGCAAAACAACGTCCGCCGCCGCCTACTTTGTACCAATCGTAACCCCACGGGCATGGACAAACGCGACGGTCTTCTCTTGGACAGCTTGCGCTTTGCGAATCTCCGCTTGCAGTGCCTCTTCATCCATCTCCCTGCGGATGCGCTCCATCTTTTCGGCGTACTTGTGCTTGGCTCGCTCCAGCTCGGCAGAGACCCCCGGGTCGCGACGGTCGGTGCTCTTGTCTTCTTTCTATTAAGCGAGAACATAATGAGACAAAGAACGTGGAACAAAGGTGCAAGCACCCGAAATAGCATGCAAGGTTACCTCTATAACGTTGGGTCGGCGGGTCGGCGGGGGGGCATGAATGGGGCCAGCGGGCGAGAGGTTGGGGAGCGTGGGGAGTCGGCAAGGGGGGAAATGTGGAGGGGGAGGAGGGGGGGGGGGGGGGGGGGGGGGGGGGGCTGGGCGGGAGGGGCCTGGGACGCAAAACATCCATCCACCACGCCATCCATGCCAAGCTACGGTCGGTCCCCTTCGCCGCCCCGTCGGCGATCCCTCTCTCCCCACCAGAATGCTGGTGCAGCGCCAGCATTACGGGGAGAGAAAGAGGGAGCGCCGACGGGGCGGTGATGGGGAACGACCGTAGCTTGGCATGGATGGCGTGGTGGATGGATGGACGGATGGATGGATTGAGCTTTGCGGTCCGTTTTCTGCTGCTGCTGCTGCTGCTTGCTTCGGGGCGACGACGTTTGCGACGAGAAGGATCTGCAGAAATATGGCAAAAGGAGTAGTAGAGTGATGCGAGACCGATTCCTCCGACAGCAAGAAGGCCTTATATACGACGGGATCAGCTATACGATATTGGTAAGAAATATTGTGCCAACCGATGAGAGGTTTGAGAGGTTTCAGAAGGCCATGGAAAAGAAAGAACGGGAGGCGACCTCCATATTCCTTTTTTCTTCCATGGCCTCCTGAAACCTTCTGTAGGATTACGAATCCCTTCTTCCCCCATCTGGCCCTTCTGTAGGATTACGAATCGGTAAGTATTATGAATCCGTCATCGTGGGACAAGAGTGACGAGCGTCAAAAGGCCATCTCTATTCCCCCCCATCACGCGTAGCGCGCAAGCATATAAAACATAACACGTACGCCCGTCCGAGAATCTCGCGAGTACTCCCTCAACTTTTATTCACATCCTACACTCTATACCCATCCTACATACTACACCTACAGTCAGTGTCCATAAAGCTCCGACCCCCCCAAGATTAAGTCAGAGTCGGCCCCCAGAGCAAACAGCCCTAAGCCGTTGCCGTTGCCAAGATTGCGGAGCCTCCGACAAACACCCCAGCACTCGATGACGGCCGGGGTCTAGAGTAAGGCTCTAATCCCCGTACTAAGGATGATGGGCTGCCGGCGTCCTTGTTGCCGTCGTTTGCCGGTGTCGCTGGCTGTCTGGTTGGCTGTTAGCTCTGCCTTTCGCTGGGAAACGCGCGACTCGCTTTGTGAAACGGTCATTGAAATCAGTTGAAATCAATCATAGGGGGGTCGGAGCTTTATGGACACTGACTGTACATCTATACGCGTCCAATCACTACTCTGCTCCTTCTCCACATCTGTCGGCCTCATCAATGAATAGCACTCCGGCACAGTGAGAAGTGATGGATGTTGTCTGAGAGCGGAAAGCCGAATGTCTATGGTGGATGAGGTGACAAGAATTGGGTGCGTTACGTGGATTAAGAAGCATACCACGCGGACTCGAAAGGGGGGAACTACTGCTTGTATGAGGTTGTGTAAGGTAGTCCGGTATATATGCAACGAACTTGGTTAGGAACTCCCCTTCTAGCGGAAACTTTTTCGCAACGGAGGAATAGCTGCGGATCATCATGTCGACAGTACAGCCCGTAACCGGGGGGGATTGGGCTTCCTCAGGTGCAGGGAGTTATTGCCGGCTGTCATTTTCGAATACCGTCAATTGAGACGCGCTGTCGATTTTACAAAGTCCGCGTCGCCTGAGTCACGGGATCGAGGGCAAAGAAAATCGGCCCAGCGAACGACTATAAAAGGGGACCTGGGAACATTCTCGTCCATCCCCAAAGATCTTGACCCTCTGGAGGCCTCAAGGAAGCGCTTTTACTCCTTGGAACTGGACCAGACCAGCTTTGCACCCACCCGACGATATGGCTGGCCGCCATCTTTGGATGCTCCTTCTGGTGGCTGCGAAACAAGGTCCGGTCGGTAACGAAAGCATTAGCGTCTCCCAACCCCACTCTTGAGGTTATTGAACCGCACGCTCCATACCGCACCCCAATGCTGCCAAGCATCCTTCGCTTCAAGAGAGCTTGCTCTTCTTGGTTCGGAGTCAATGATCTTGTGCTATAGCCTGCGCGGACTAGGAAGCAAAAGCGAAAAATGACTCTTTCCACGCGGTATCCGGTTGTGCTTTTCTTTCGGGGAAAGGACAGTAGTCCGGCTTTCTGCACTAATTTGGGTCTTACAATCACACGTTTTCCCCCGCCCTTGTGTTGAGAACGATCCTTTTTGAAAGGTTTCCATGGCCTAGCCAGCCTTCGCCCGATGCCTCCGTTGGGCCTGAGGCTTACCTGCCTTGTACGGGGTGCCAGCATCTATAAATCTCAATGGATTCTCCACAGTTGTCTCTCAAGCAGAGAATGCGTACAGGTTTGATGGGTCCGATTTGACATGAGCGCAAATTGGGCCGCTGCGTAATCGAAATCCTCAAGTAAAAACGATGATCATAATGTTGATGTATGATGATTTTTGGTGATGAGCGGCGTTGGCAACTTGGCAACGCGGGGGCGGACATCCCCCCTCCACGGAAAATTGACAGAAACCTCGTCCGACTCGGGAGGTTCAGCCATGTCGTGTCGGTGTGCGTGGCCGGGAGTGTTCAGTGCGCAACGCGGATATCTCCCTCGATGCGCTAGATGCGAGGTGTTCTAAGGATGTGTAAGGAGGGGGATTGCCGTACCCTTTCACATCACACGTAACAGAGCTGCGATTCATGATAAGGGCCATGTTCACGGGGTTTGTGAGTTGTGCTGAGGCGTATACGGGACAGTTTTGACATGAGGGCCGTTCCGAGTGTTCAGTCGACTCTCTGACGACGGTTGGCGGTGAAATCACACACGGAGGAAAGGTGGTTCAATGCGAGTGGCGATGAGAACGTGCATGGGGTGTGGACGGCAAATCGGGATAGGGCAGGAGGAAGGGACAGTGAGTGAAGAGGGATCGACGGGCGAGTCAGTTCCGTTGTAGTATTCACCGCCCGCCACTTGGTAGTAGTCCCTTTGCCCGCTGTGGCCATCCGCGAAATTGACGCGGAGAGACCAGAAGCCATCATCCCAGCGGCTTCAAGGTCCCACGCCGCCCCCCCCCTGTTATTTCATTAGAACCCATATTAGGGACACGGCGTATTACACTCAACCCAGAACCGTCTCTCATTACTTGGCAACTTTCCCACCCCATACCCCATCGTCCTCACAAAGGCCTGAGCCGCAAGCACTCCCGCCAGGCCCCACGGTTCCCATATCGCCGCATTCTACGTCATATCCGGAACTTCCACACAAAGATAGTCTGCGGAGAGCTCGGATATCCGTCGCTGGTGGTCTGCGCCAGCAAACAGGTTTGAAGGCACTACTCACCGCAAACCACTGCGTCTGTCAGTCGGAAGATATACATCCCTTCTACGCCTGCTCGTTTGCCTGGTCGGAAAGGTATGCTTCCATGTAGAGTCGATTCTGACACTGGCAAAGTGCAAAACAATTGACAACAGCGTCCACCCGCAGACAGCGTTCTTATCCGTCGAGCTGCTATTCGGAACCGACAGCTGAACTCTCGTACGGAAGGGGTTTCTTCGCAGCACAGCAAGACTGCCCTTGCTTAGACTTGGGAGCGTGAAATTGCAATATTCCCACGGTACTCTACAATTGCAACGGACTGTCGTGGCTTGAGGAGGGGTCCGTGGGCCGGGAGCGAGATTGGTTCACATCCGGCGGGCCCGCTGGATATCCGCTGCAGAGCTGGAGTCAAGGGCTTCTTCCGAGCCCCTTTTGCTCAGCGATGGCAACGGCGGGGATACGGAAGCGTAGATATGAGGAAGAGTTCTTTGAGCCGCCAGGCCCGTCAAACTACTATGCCGTCCCTACGACGTCCGCAGTGGTTTCGCCCACCAATGGAGCAAGGAATGGGGGCTCGGACGTCATCCTAGTTCATTCGCAATCACCACCGGCGCCTCGGCCGCTACACGACCTTTCCTATTATGCGCAATCAGATTCGCTCCTCCACTCGCCATACCGTTCATTACATCAAAACACACAAGCAGCACCACCACCGCGAAATCAACAGCACCTGTCTTCACAGAGAGAGCAGATGAACCACGCATATCAGCAGATTTTACCCCCACCATCACCATCGTACGCCTACCCTGCCCCGGCAACCTCGCTGTACAGTCATATCCCGGTAGCGCAGGCGCCGCCACAGAATGTCTCAAAGTACCCGCAGCAGAACGATCCATACCCATCAGGTTGGTTCATGGTCTTTACTTCTGCAGGCTTTGCAGATATAGACAGATTGGCACGCGCAAGACACACCGACTAACTCATTACGCTTCTGCAGATGTATTATCGATGCTTCGTTACCCACAATACGCCCCACAGTACCTACCGCAATACCCTCCACAGCTCAACATTCCCTCGCACCTGTCCCTGTCGCAAACGGGCTACTCATCCGCACCATCCTCCGGGAATGGATACGCTCTACCATCGTCACCAGCCGAAAGCTCTCGCAGCTATGCAACGACCGCCGAATCTCACTCGCGTCAAAATAGCCCAAGTCTCCGTTTTCCACCGTATTCCCATCCTCAACAGCACCCAGCTGCTGCACTTTTACCCGTACCACAGTACCAGTATCGTCCCCTCCCACCGCCACCTCGGCAGTATCACCAGCGACTACCATCGGTTGAGCCTACTCTTCCATCAATTATCGACTTGACACATTCTCCCCCGAATTCCACCCTCGAGAATCCGAGTAAGCGGCGGAAAACGGACGCATACTATGACCCGAGTACAGTACAGCAGCAGCAACAGCAGGTGCCGATATATCCGCAACCGTATCAACGGTTACAAGCCCCCTTACCCAAACCAGTGATTGAATCACCTGCTTATCAAATTGACAGTCCCAAGGTTTGTCTTTTCCGTCTCTTGTCCTGCTGGAAACTGGCGGTTTTGACCATCTGACGCGTTCGCATTGCTTAGGCTGCTGAACCATCATGCGCCGACAAGGACGGGCATTTCATCGTGACGATCAATGGTGACCTGACGTCTAGATGTAAGCAACGGTCTCATACGATCAATGCCGTCAGATGTGATTGGAAACTAACATTTATGAAACTCAGACAAGATCCTGAAGCTACTTGGCCAGGGGACATTCGGCAGAGTAGTCGAGGCATTCGACCGTGTCACGACCAACCGCGTTGCGATTAAGATCATCCGTGCTGTGCAGAAATATCGTGATGCATCGAAAGTGGAAATCAGAGTGCTGAATACGCTACGGACGAACGATCCATACAACTCAAAGTAAGCATTGTACAATATCTGACATGTGTCAAGAAGGCCAGTCGTCTGACTTCGAAACCCTTGTAGGCAATGCATTCACTTACTGGAAACCTTCGACTTCCGCAACCACATCTGCATGGTCTTTGAGCTTCTGAGCCAAAGCGTGTTTGATTTCCTGAAGGACACTGGGTTCGTCCCGTTTCCGATCTTGCACACCAGGGATTTCGGATGGCAGATTCTGGAAGCTGTGGCGTTCTTGCACAGCCTTGAGTTGATTCACACGGATTTGAAGCCTGGTTAGTGGTTTGAAGCTGATGGGAACTAGCGATGGGAGTTTGTTCTTACTTCCGTTGCGCTGTGCAGAAAACCTCATGCTAGAGAACAATGCAACAAAGATTGTGCCCGGGCCGAGGGTGAGTATCTTATGTTACGAGACGTCACTTGCTTCATCTCCCGACAAAGGTTGGTCTCACACAATTCCGCATCTTTTAGAGAAACAGCAAGCCCCGCCGGGAACTCGTAACAACGAGACTACGGCTCATCGATTTCGGAAGCGCCATCTTTGAAGACGACTACCACAGTTCGGTGGTCAGCACACGACACTACCGCGCCCCGGAGATCATCCTCTCGACTGGGTGGTCTTATCCTTGTGATATGGTGGGTTTTGTTAGAGATGTTGAAGTAGCAGCGACGATTGTTACTCACCTTCTTTGCCTTGCGTCCAGTGGTCGGTCGGATGCATATTGGTGGAGTTCTGTACTGGAGATGCGTTGTTCCAGACTCATGACAAGTATGTTCTCGGGTATTCCGGGAGCTTCGCGCAGGGCGCTCGACTGACCGGTTTCTTTTGCAGCCTGGAGCATCTAGCGTTGATGGAAGCTGTTCTGGGTCCATTTCCGGCGCATCTGGCACATAAGTTAGGGTAAGCTTATTCCTTTTGTCGAATGTCTGTTCCGGACAGCTTCGCTAAAATTGCGCTCAAAAACAGCACCAACAAATCCGGCGCCAAATATTTCAAAAATGGCCGCCTGAACTGGCCGTCCGCAGAAACAACAAAGCAAAGCATCAAATACGTCGCGAAACAGAAATTGCTCCGCGACATCATCAACCCTAAAACGGACCTCCAAGAAGCACTGCTGGATCTCATCCAGAAGATGCTCGTCTATGACCCGGCGGAACGTATATCGGCTGTCGATGCGCTTAAGCATCGGTTTTTTAGGCTTGCTGCGAGTTGATACGAATCAGGCCACGCAGTCATTTCGAGCTTTGCTGAAGCTCCACGCTCCCGGGGTGTCTTGTTTTGTGGGTGCGGACCCACATCAGAGCATCAATACGCCAGTACGCGGACAATCTCTATAAGGCCGACTCTTCAGCGGAGTACACTACCAGGGGCTCACATGTTTCTGGTAGGGCCCCTCCACTCCCCTCCTGCACCGTCCCCTAGCGCCACCACCTGAACACATGATGCACCCTTCGCGTCCACTGCCTGCCTCACACATTTATCCCAGGGCTGGACCAACAGTTCGCTCACTCCGATCCCCTTGTCAATAAAACGATCATACCTGCGAATCTGCGAATCTGACAGACCCTGACACCCTGGAATCAATCTTCGTCGGTTTCGCTTTCGTTACACCACCAATCGTACGCGCCGAAACAGCAGCGCGTCCACGACACAAAGATAGGATAGTCTCCTTACACCACCGCATCATGCGATCCACCTTTACAATTTTTCCCACGGGTCGTGCATGTCTTTTTCTTATACGCATTTTTGGTTTTGGAAGTCCTTGTGGAGGGGCGTTGAATATATATACGATTTTCTGTCCGTTTCTTCCTCTTTTCATGATCTTGCATGGATGTCTAAGCGACTTTTGAGTGCAATTTCTTGGCCGCTCAATGGCGGGTAGTTTTGGTGTGCTGGCTCCGCCAACAAGTCTTCGATGTGTTACGGACCAAGTACGGACGCAGATATGCAGGACGCTGCCATCTTGCGTTATGCCCAGTTCACATTATGTATGAAACATCTGTGCATCAACAACTATGCAGGACCACGCAGCCCTGTAACATCCATCGGACAACTCACCACCAATAAAATATTCGTCCCAAGCTCTCACTCCATAAAGCTTAGTACGCAACCCTCAAACTCTGCTTCCGACCCGCACCCCTCCTGTCTGCCCCACCAACCCTCCCACTCGGCCTCAAAGTCGGCCTCCGATCAATCTGAAACGTCGTCTTCCTCGGCGAAGGCGGCCTCTCCCTATCCTCCATCCCACCCGCCCACTCTCCCACCCTGTCAACACTCGGCGTCTTCCTCGGCTCCCGCTCCCTCTCCTCCTCATACTCCCCCCCCTCCTCGCCTTCCTGATACCCCACATCCTCCTCCCTCCACCCCCCCTCACCGACGAACCCCGCAAAAAACTTCTCCTCAATCTCCTGGATATCGCCGTCCAGATCCTCGCCCAGCAGCATCTGATGCGCCTCGGTGAGGATCTCGAGCGCCTGCGCGTGGTAGTTCATTTCGTTCCAGAGAAACTCGCCGAGCGAGGTGCGCAGGTCCGCGCGCTTTGTGGATTCGAAGCGGTGCACGCTATCGAGCAAGGCGGTGGTTACGTTGGAGGTGTCGGTGTGGGCGGAGGTGAGTTCGAGTTGGGTCTGGGGGTAAAGGAAGTGTTAGCTTTCGGGTTTGTGCCAGAGCGTCGCGATATGCGGCCTCCATTGGCCGTCCAGATGAGAGTTCAAACCTGGTTCTGCGAGGATCGAAACAGAAGAAACAATAGGGGAGGAGGTGTTAGCCTGTGCCTGCGTCTTTCAGAGAGGCCCATTATGGGAACAAAACCTACGATTTTCGTCCGGTTCGTGCCTTCCTTAATCACAGTCTTATCGAACGCCTCCTGCTTCTGGTGCTCCTTCTTCATCGCTACTTCGCGGGCTTTGACCTCGTTCTGGTCATAGATATATTGAGAATCTCTTCATGCGGATGAAAGATGGCGGGCGTCGTGCGAGCAAGCCCTACCTTCATCTTGCTACAATGCATCTACCGAACGCATCAGCCATCCCCAACGTTAGTCAAGCATTCCGAGATCAGAACTCCACGAACTCAAGGCACCCGTTCTGTCCCATCTCGCCTACCGAATACAGCTTCAAAGGCTCCTGCGACAAGATATTGATCCGCGTCGTCGCATTCTCCCTCGCCACTTCGCGCTCCGTCAGCAGCTCCGAGATGCTCGCGAGCACCCCCGACAGCGTCGGCGCCTCGCTTTCGGAGTAGATCTTGAGGACTACAGCCAGTTTGAGGGATTTGCGGCGGAGACCTGTGTGGTGGAGATGGGAGTATGAGTACTGGAGACTAGGAGAGCGGATTGATGAGAGAGGGGTGTACGTACGTTCTTGGTTCCGTAAATATCCGGCTAGCGTTTGGCGCAAGCTTGCCATGTTGCGCTCTGATGATTAGGAGGAAGATTTTATATGAGCCGCAGAAGTTTTCTTTTCAAGAGATCGTAAAGCAGCTCATAGGACCTTACCTGTATCTCTGATAGTTCGCTGGATGAACTGCGAGGTCTCATCGCTGCAAACGTCAGATTAGATCATGAATTCATTGCGCATTCCCGTAACAATACCAGCTTGGCGACAACTGTACTAACCTGCCTGACTTTGCGGACGCCATATTGGGATGATGGAACTGTGGTGCTAACGGATCGTTCGCTGTTGTAGAAAAGCGGCGGGGTTTGATCTCTGAGGTGGTATGTTGGGTGTCGTTGGTGAGATTAGATTGACAGCACGAATTGGGAGATCGACAGCGCGTCTTGGGTTACGTAAGGCATTTTCCGCGTTTCCGACGGAAGGGTGCTCCTGTCGACAGGTTTTGGCTAGTGTTGTCTCTTCAAATTTTGGAATTGGCATTCTACGAGGTACTCTGTATCAATTTTGGTCACCAGGATAGGGGCCGATTTTTCATTCGAGGGGTCATCGCCATTTTTTCCGTTTGCGGTTTTGGGTAGGGCAGATCCGCCGAAGAAGATATGACATAAACCGATGGGAAGAGGCCCACCTTCCTGTTGCCTTTCGTCTACATGTATGAATCCCAGAGTGTTCCCGCTCCCAGATCTCGGCCATTATCTAATTAAGAGTGGAAGGCTCCCTTGTGTGCTTGTATGCGCTCTCGGCGGGTTTGGGACTACACGAGCTTTCATAGTACTCGGCGGAATAGAGCTTAGAGCCGCCTTTATGCTGGCTTCTGCCTCTCATGGGTCCAAATACCAGCTTCGACTGTAGATGATCTGGTAAAGGCAGTGTGCGGGCTTTACAACCCATTGCGGCCAAAGGCCATCCATCCCAGACGACCACGACCGATGTCCCAGGCTGTTCCCCGTGACGTTTCTGGTTTATTTGCGTCAAACTGTCCGCAAACTCTTCGAAGCATGCTTCTTTCACATACATAGATCTGACTTCCTCGATCAAGGCCACCGTGATGATCAGAAAGCCGGTTGCTCCTGTGCTCCATACCTTTCCTTTCGGCGCATTGCAAGACTGCAGATTGGAGTGAACGAGTTCGCTTTGTGAGTTGTGCTACTGAAACACCCTTTCTTAGTGAGCTCGCTTGAACTTCACGCTTGAAATTTTTAGCTCCCACTTGGGTCATGTTGCTATTTCCGGAATCCTTTTCCTTCCCACTTGGGTCGTATTGCTTTTTCTGAAATCCTTTTCCTTGTGCGGGAATGCCAACTTGATCGGGAGAACTCGCATAGTACGCCGGACAGGAGGTATATAATACATCCCGTAGATCCATGTGGACCTGTGAACTCGACCGGAGTGAAGAACAGCGCCGTCAGTACGTAGGTCAGCGAATTTCGTAACTTCTCCCAACAAGATGTCAGACCGTCCGCAAAAGGACCCCGCTTGCGATGAGGCCATTCAGATTCAGCTTGCTGGCGACATGCCGCCTGCAATGCGCACAATGGAAGAGATTCTGGCAGCCCCTCCGTATTCCGGCCCTTGGCCCACGAAAAACCACCAAGTCTCTTGACCACAGGTACGTAAAGATGCACCCTCTGAGCTGTCGAAAAACGCGAGTAAACAGATGCGAACAGCAAGGCGGCGCCTTCACTGAGCTGTCGAAAAATGGTGCGCTGCGACTGCGACTGGCAGGTTGGCTGCAGGTGTGCTCTCTTTGGGCCTTCCGCCAAGTTCCATCTCTTGCCTTTCATTGCTCGCAACCTTCTGATACGTACTCATCCCGACTCCTCTTTCCTTCTTCTCGTTTGCTATCTCCCTTCCTCGCCACCCGTTCCCTGTTCATCGCCATCACTTCCTTCTCTCGCTTACCCTCTCCAAAATGTTCGAACAACTCGGAAATCGACCAAAAACAAATCGCTCGCTGCTATCAACACTGTGCGACGCAAAACCCTCGAACAGGTTGTGGGCAGGCCTTAAGTTGGCCCGCTCTTAACGTTGCCAGCTGGAACGGTGAGCAGCTTATCTTTGTTCGTTTGGACGGCAATGTAGGCTTTCTAACACGTCAGCTCGAAAGACTTCGGCTTCCATTGTGAGTTTGCCAGAGCTCACCGCAGGAGGTTGGCCTGGCCCTGCCACTGCCGTATGGCCAGTGGATCGCAACGGGGCGGCGACTGGCCCGGGAATCACCACAACCGTCACCGTGGGCCTTTAACTCTTTTGGCAGATTATCAATGACGACCGATGCATGATACCATATCAAATGCATTGCACTCCTGGTGTCAACCCCCTCCGGCCCGAGCCCGTCACCCTCCCTAATTCGGTACGTTGGGAGAAAACTCTGTGATACAAATTGAGCTTCATCATTGACACTGCTTATATCAGACGCCTAGGACCCCATTGTGGTTGCGGAACACCATTCTGGCCAACCTTCCGAATATCCGAGTCGAGCGAGGGACTATTGACGGCATTGTCATGGAGTCTGCGCTGAACACCGCGGTCGGTGGTCGATGCGACATCCTCATCGATCCCGATTTCTACATCAAGCTGATCTCCGCGGTTGACCCTACGGAACAATTGTAGTTAGCCATCCTTTTCGCCATAAAGTTGATGCACGAGATTGGCCATATTTTAATGTTTAGGTAAGTGACCTAAATGGTTGATGGTCCGAAGGTTAGCGCCCACTAATTCAACCTGACAGAGTTGGCTTCAATGCTGCAGTGCAAGCAAACGGTGCGGGATATATAACCCCGAAGGGTAGTCTTGAGAGAGAAGCGGGCGATGCTTGGGAGATGATGATCTTTGACGGCATTCTTTATCCTTTCTCCGCGGCTCAGAGAACATTGAGCGCATATTCACCAACACCACAGGGAACGAGCGGGCTTGTGTTGTGGAAGAAGGCTGATGGAGTCAGCTATCTTGTACCCTTGACTTGGGCTCAGAACCTGGTGACTGCCGCATGGTGGTCCACCCAAGCCACCTTTACCTTCAGCGCTGAGGCTTCCATTCCTGTGGACGAAACATTCCTCGTGGGGAACCAGACGGAGCACGTTAAGAAGCTCCCGCGCCGGAGTCAGTTGAGTCCACGTGCTATCGCAGCTGTCGCTCCTGTGACCTCCCCGGCCCTGCGGTGCGTAGGTCCGTGAGGATCAGCGCCAGAGGTGAAAACGGTATCTTCAGCGTTTTCGGAAGTCGGTATCGATATATATAGCCCATGCTTTGCTGCATGACAACGGAAGGAAATGAAGAGAATGAACTATATGATCTTGTGACGGTTCGATACTGGACAGCCTATGGATCATTCAGTTCGTGCCCTTCATTCTATATACGTAGCATTTCTCTTAACTTTTTGGCTACTTAATGTTCAAACGACGACAAACTTGATAGGGCCAACGCGAATACAGCGCCCGACCTCGAACATCATTATATGTAGGTAGTTGCTAACGACGCTATCCATATTTGCTATCCACGTAACCGAGAGAGACTAATGTTGAACCACTCAAATTATGTAATGTTAAGTGGAGGGTGGGGTAGCGTCGTTAGCAATTCCCTATATGTATAGCAAAGACCGCCTGGCACTCATCTGAAAATCAGGGTCAATCCTGAGCTTGCAGTAGATCGTAGAGTGCCAGAGTGAGGAAACGCAAAAATGACAGGACTGTCACCTTCGATATACAACCGAAGAGAAACGGTTGCCATCGATCCACACGCTTTTGCCATTTTTGGCCTGGAGAGACTTTGGGAGACCACTTCCCCACTTCCTTTCCTTTTTCAGCGACATCGACGACAGATGGAACCGATACAAACGCACTGCGATCCCGTCCGTAAATACTATCAGTCTACAGCTCTAACTCGCTGGACACTATATCTGTATTAGTGAGAAAGAGACGAGGCCCATCAAGTTTCCTGCCATCTGCCCAAGCCGCCAAAACCTGTCGCCAAACATCTCTCACCCGACCGATCTGCCTGGCGCCATCGTACGAGCTCCTTCCTCCTGCACTTACCACGGAACGGGCCCTGGCAAGACCGCCATATTGGGGCCCGCGTCACAAAGAATCACGTTGTCCGTCTTCGGCCCGAGGTATGCTCAATACTTCGTCGCTGGAGCTGTCGAAAGTGAGGCCGCCGAGACATCCACCAGCGCCCTCTTCGCAGACTGCGTCATGCAACAGCGGCATGGACCCTTAACAAGGACGATGTGAGTACTTGTCATTCCATTTACGCATTCCAGTTACCGAAGCTGCAGATATCGCCGTTTTGGACGTCTCCGGGGAGGGGGAGGTTCAAAAAGCCATTTATCTTCAGCTTGGCTTGTGTTCGGTGAGATTCCACATCCACATCTGATTAATACTCTTTTTGGCAAATAGGTTCGGATGGTCCGCTCCTTCCGAAAGCTGCTGAGTGCTATGGAGCGGACTAAATATCGTAAACGCCAACAGGCCTCTCCCTCGGCGGGAACGGTTGCGCTTATCGACGCACTGTGCTCGACCCAAGCGGTTGTGCTCATCTGAGCAATGGTTGCGCGTCGTCTCGCAGATACGGGTGCTGTGAGCGGGACAGAAAGACGGAGCGAGCGTATATTCCGACCATATCACGACGTATGTGTGTCCGGTTAAGGAGATGATATGCATTATTGAGCATATCTCATAAATTACTTCGACTGATTGTATCATTCTCATTTGGGTTAGTATTAAGCTTATGGAGAACTACGTGGACTACGACGCTTTTCACAATCCCGTACAAGTCAACGGAGCCCAAGATATGGAAAACTCTACCAGTGAAGTCCCCACTGATCCCCAATCCGCTGCGGAAGGGATCCCCGTCAGTCCCGAGGAAGATCGGACCACTCCCGAGCAGCGTCGTCGCCGGCCGAAAGCCTACCAAGTCAAGCGGCACCGAAGGGACGCTGCAATGCCTGGATGGCGAGGGTCTCCCGTCCCCTATGGAATGTCAGCGATGCGCACCACTCTTTTGGACGTTTGTCAGGCACCCGGACGCCATCCCATTGCTCCATGAGTTGCAACTGGAGCTGAGGAAACTTGAAGAAGGGCGGATCGAAGAAGCATGCGCCCGCATCGATACGCATCTTGGGTTCCCATTTCCGTTTGCACGGACTTTTGCAGACTGTTAATGCGCTGAGAATGGACATCCCCGGGCAACTGAAGCTACCAACTGTCATCGAGATGCTGTTCTGCCCAGTCAAAGCTAAATATATGGCATCAACAAGCGTACATTTACGGGACGATTTCTGAAGGAGTTCACGGATGCTCCAAAGCATATGGGTTTGTGCACACCCGGGAATCACGTTGTTCATCTGTTAATCGAGCAGTCCTGGTACTGCGGTGCGCGTGTGCCGCCCGCCAAAAAGGCCAAGAAGACCGGCCCCACGGAGGCTGAACGAAAGAGCATGCCCGCTCAGGGGACCTCAGCACCCCCACCAAAGAAGAACGTCGAACCGCAATCGGACCACTTCAGTGCTCTCAAAAATCTTTTGACCGAAGTGGAGGATCTCCGTGCAGAATGCGCACTAGCTCAATATCCACCTGGGAACTAAGGGTACGCAGTTCGCCTCTCAACACAGTGTGCGTATCGAGACCGCCCTCCGAGCATGGGCCCGGGGTGCACTGGGAACTAGGCTCAAGAATGCGGCAGATCGCTACGGACGTTACCCCAAACACTTCTACACCCCTGGCGGTTTCAATAACTGAGCAATTGGCCTGGTATGCACCTGAGCTGGCCGTGGTGTGCGTATCGAGACCGCCCTCCGAGCATGGGCCCGGGGTGCACTGGGAAAACACTGGGCTGAAGAATGCGGCTACACGTGCCGCTTCCTACGCTGCTCTACGCCAGATCGCTACGGACGTTACCCCAAACACTCCTTCACCCCTGGCGGTTCCAACAACTGAGCAATTGGCCGAGTATGCACCTGGGCTGGCCGAGTACGACGGACCGCAAGTCCCCTCAAGACAGCGCATTATCATTCCGGCCATTGTGGAGATCAAGGAGCGGGACAAAGAGCAGAAGAAAGCGCAAGCACCAATAACCGATTCCTCTCTCCGTCAATTTCACGGCTGTTCCCGTGAAATCTGTCAGCGCGCCGATGCAAACCACCTCAAAATGGATATGCGAGCTCTGGAGAGGAAGGTGGAGCGACAACTTTTCTGCCGAGAAATTCTAGACGCCTAGAACAGTGGATAGCCTTCCGCCAAACATTGGAAACCCGGTATAATTTGGATTCGCTGAACCCATCGTATACCGTCGCGTCCCATGCCACCCCGAGTTGTCTCACCCGAGTGCAAGTGCTCCGATACACAGCTTCGCGCGCCTTACGTGGTTCTGACCGACCCCATCTCAGGACACCCCGGAGGTGCACTCCGACAGCACCCCGGAGCCTCCTGCCCAGCCGGCCCGGCCGACGTGCTGGCACTGCAAGCGGTACCGGCCCGGCAAGATGTTTCTCTCCGCATGCCAGCATACTATATGCCGGCCCTGCATTATTCCCCTCTGCGACGACACCGTAAGAACCCTGATCACACGCACGCCATTCCCCTGGCCACCAGAAATTGAGAAATTGGCGCACGTTCTCTCGTGCCGTGGAATGGGGACCGGATCTCTTGACTACTGCGCTTAGGGATGACTCCACCCAAGAGGTGTCACCTACGTAGGAGCATTTGCGTTCGACGAGCAGCTGAACGGCATTTACACCCCGATGGCAAGAGAACTTTCTCTCCCCACCATCGCCTCAAACCTTTCATCTTGGACACTCAACCCCCAACTAATGGGACGTTGTTGTGCAGCGTACATCTTGACCTCCTGAGATATCTGACATTCACTTCGAGTGTATGTCAGAGATCTTGAGAGAGCATGCTGTGCTCACTCACGCTTTTCTTACGGGGCTTTGGTACTTGTCGACGACGATCAACGACAACGATGTTGTAATACGCCCGAGGACTAAATGAGGGGCATGTCCTGTAGCTGTTGCGCGATTTCCTTCAAGAGCACTACCCAGAGGGTGGGGTGTTCACCCTAGTGGATCCGGATGAAACGTACGTCAAAGAGGGTGACCCGGCTAGATCTCTCGCCATACCCTTCCGAGAGAGTCAGCACGGGAGGTATGGGTTTTCTTTGTTCGATCTCAAAGGTGTGATTCCTACGGTGTCTTATGGGGCTTCTAGTTTGTCTTCGGCAAAGCGAATATCTCCCAGTGGACGCGGGAAGCACAGCATCACATCGTCCGGCTCTGCGAGGAAAAGAAGATAGCTCTGAAATTCCAAGTTTCAGATATTGCGGATATATTGTAAGTTTGCAAGGTCTTACCTCACAGAGCAGCTGGATCACCCCTTCTCCGATTTTTGGGAGTACCCATCACGCAACGCACAAGTCCTGCTAAACAACATTAGCTACTTTTCTCGCAAGACGCGGTCGTCGGCGAGATGGTAAGCAGGACAGTGAATCAACCGCCCCGGAATAGATATATCGCTTCCCTCCGCACCACCGTCCGCAGGTCGTGGGGCAGAGCGACCGGAGGTTCGGCAGGAGCTGGGACGAATCCTCCTACGACGGAATTGTCTGGCGACGCCCTTCCCGAAGGCATCAGAGCAAAGTTCTATGTAGTGGCCGAGTTTACACTGAACAAAAACTTCGCGGTCCACAAGCTCGATCAGATTGAAAAAGACGCGGTCGTTGGAGAGATGATAGTCAGGACAGTGAATCAACCGTCCCGGAATAGATATATTCCAGGACATTGTTCCACATATCCCGATCGTGAAGAAAGGTCTCGGTGGTCGATGCGACATCGTCATCGATCCCGACTTCCACATCGAGCTGATCTCCGCAATTGACCCTACGGAACAATTGTGGTTGGCCAGATGGCGAATTTCTACTGGCAAAGTAGCCACACCACACGTCAGCGCCCAAGAACTCCTTATCCTATCTGTAACAGGATGGGTCATTGGAGAAACGAATGTTGCTCAAACCCTGAGAATCGACAGCCTCTTTCTCAAACCCAGAACCGACGCGGTGGTTTTCGACAGCGCGGTCGTGGCAATCGTGGCAATCAAACTCCCCTGAGGTGCACTCGGACAGCACCCCAGAGCCCCCCGCCCCGCCGGCCAGACCGACCTGCTGGAATTGTAACCGGTACCGCCCGGGGAAGATGTTCCTTTCTGCGTGCCAGCATATCATATGCCGGCCTTGTTTTCTTCCCCTTTGTGACGATACCGTAAGGAACCACACGTTATGGGCGATTCCCGTGAGGTGACTGACGGTTCCCGTCCCTTTTCGACAGACTGACACGCCCGTCGGTGAGTTTACGTGCGGCTTCACCGACGGTTTCGGTGAGGAATGCGAGACGCCGCTCTTTTGCCAGGCGCTGCCCTGTACCTGTGTCTGGCCAGACTGTGATTGTCTGGCGCAGGACGTGCGGGTCTTCCCCTGCGAGCATGTCAATTGCATGGGGCACGTCCGAGCTACACATTGCTGCCAGCCACAGCAACATCTGTGGTCATCCTTTGTGTCAAGCATGCTTTTTCAAGACCGCAGAACCGTGCAGTGCGGTCTCGCGGCTTGCAGATGAACCGCTGGCAGCATCAGAGTGGCACGGCCCCTGTTCACGACTCGGATGCCATAGTGGTGCATTCAAGGGGACCAAGTTCAAATGCCGAAATGTGCCCGCATTACTCAGATACCGTTGGGAAATCCGACATGTACACGATAGACTACCGATGGTCGCTCGCCGTTGAACTCGACTGGATCGCTGACGAGACCTACTCTGAACTGCGGTTCTTAAACAGTCCCAAGCAGAGAGACAAGTCAGCATGTGGTGTTTTCGTATGCTGTATGTTATGTTAAACTGGATCACCCGCGGTCTTCACGAATCAGGGTTGGATATCTTCAAAGTCAAGGAGCAGTACGGCCGATTTATCCCATGGGCTCGCTACGTGATTGCATGGAGCGCCCTGGTGGGATACCCGGTCAACGCAGTTTATGTTGAGGGAAGCGGACGGCACCCTGCAGCCGCTGACCGACTTGACCGGGCGCTTTGTTCTGGTGGCGGGTCCGCCGCGGACAACGCACACAACGCTTATGATACACAGTTGCCATCACCTGTAAGTCTTCTGATCTCGAGTCTTCATATCCTTTCTGATTGTTCCTGTGCTCAGGCCTGATTTTTTCGTCTTTTAGGGTCTGTCCAGGCTGCGCCGAGGGCTGCTTGCGGGGTAGTTGTTTCCATTGCCCACACGACTCGGAAAACATTGTCACGAACTTGCACATGCGGTCATCAACTTTTTGACCCAGGCAGGGGACACCTAAAAACCGCCGAAAGCTGCCGAATGCTTCGTCACAACATCTTCGTCGGATACAGGTTCCGGAGCGGGTATTTCTTCAACTCAACCGTCTCATGATCCATCCGTCCAGCGTGTTGCCACAGAATAGCGACGAACCCCACGCGACAGGCATTTCACAATCGCCTGGTAGTTGTAAACACGCTCTTTCAACTCATAGGGCGGCGCCTCAACATGTCGGCACCAGCGACCTTCAGCTCGCAGACGGTGCCACCAATTGCCTCCCACCCATCAACATGCTCGAATCCAGCCCTGACAGTCCTCCGCCTTCGGGAAGAACCCACCGACTCGTTAACGAAGAACCTTTCGAGGATGTTCAACGTAAAAATAGATTCGACGGCCGAGAACATTTGATTATCTTTGGAGAAGATCTGACAGTCGAAGAGCGCGCTGCGTTCTTGTGACTATTACGAAAATACGACGTGGCGTTCGCTTTCGAGGACAGTGAGGGAGGAACACTCAAGCCACATATAGAAGAGCCTGTAATATTCACACGATCCCGCACACACCCTGGATGGTGAAACCCCATCGACTACCTCCGCAAATGACGAAAATCGCTACAGACCTACTTCGAACAAAACGAGATGCAGGACTGCTAGAACCCTCATTTGGACCTACCGAAACCCCTGGTTCCTAGTTCCTAAAAAGAACGGAACATACCGATTTGTACAAGACGTGCAGATGCGCAACAGCGGACCGTCTGCCACCTCAAATGACGAAGATTTACTTCGAACGAAACGCGACGCAGGTTTACTTGAACCTTCATTTCTACCGATTTGTAAAAGACGTTCAGAAACTCAACAGCGTTACGATACGAGATGCCGGATGTGCACCTATCGCAGAAGTTTTCGCTGGAGAATTCGCAGGACGATCTATTTTATCTATGGCCGATATGTATTCCGGTTACGACCAAGTCCCCCTGGCCTTCGCCTCCGCGAGGCCGGTTGGCGCCACCATGGAGCGCTACATCACTGAGGGAAGGCTTGTAGGGGAGGGAAGCCACGAGCTGGCGCCTGTGACGAAAGTCAGCATCGTCGGTGCCCTATACCACTCGGGTTACCACCTAGAGCTTCTGGTCATAGCCATCGTCCGCTATCCGGCTTGAGTGTCGAACATGGAGCGAGAGCTTCAAATATATCCTAGCCACAACGCCAGTAAACCCCCGACACCCGAGAAAGGCATCAAAGACTTCCTGCCCCCCCGGAATATCAAGATTTCGCCGACGTTTTCGAAAAGAAAAATGCGGACACTCTCCCCGAGCACCGGCCCTACGACTGTCTATCGATTTGGAAGAAGGCAAGCAGCCACCTTTCGGCCCGATCTACAGCCTCAGCGAACCAGAAATGAAAGCACTCTGCGAATACCTCGAAGAAAACCTCGCCAAAGGATTCATCAAACCCTCAAAGTCCCCTGCCGGTGCGCCAGTCTTATTCGTTACCGCAACATTCCCCGGCGGTCGAGGTTCGCGGCTATACCGCCAACGGTAGGCGATCCTGTCGTTGGCGGTGGAGTTGCAAATCTCGTCCCCCGGTCGGCCGTCGCAGAGCTTCAACGACATCTGGCACAATCGCCCATGGCTGGCTCATATAGCGCATCAGCCGCTTTGATACGAAGGTGGACAAGATGCAGAGTGACTTCTCGCGCGACCTTGAAAGCATCCGCAACGAGCTTTCAGAGTTCAACAGTGCTTTCTACCGTCAATGAGCAAAGAGCCTCTTTGACCTTGCCGCCGAGAAACTCGACCGGGACGAACTCCCTGACTGCATCTCATATCGACTCTACGAAAATGCACAGAAAGCTCACCGCACGCCGGGATCACCCGATCAAAGAAGAGGGAAACGCCGCAAGTATAAACCAACAAGACGGCTGTCAGTCGCCCCAGAGAGGTAAGACCAACTTTCCCATACTCAACTCCAGCAACCCAGACATCCAACCGGTATGCGAAAGTATGGCGAAAGACGGCAAGAAGAACGGAAACGGGAAGAAGAGTAGCGACGGGAAGGACGGCAAGAAGAAGAAGCAGACAGCCCGCAAGACGGTGAAGCCGACCTTTCCTCCAGCTGTACCTCCGCCGGGACCCTCGAAACCAACTACGCGCTCGACGCGCGCATCCTCCGCTGCAGCCGCCAGTGACTCGTCGATGTCGTCCACCCGTGTAAGAGAAGAATTGCGAGTAGCGACCGAGATTGCGACGCTGCGGTACCGGAAAGACAACTACGAAAATCTGGCGAAACATCTGGCTACTACCCACGAGAGGGTCGAGAGATCGAAGAAGAAGAAGGGGTCTTTCGAGGCGTTGATGGAGAAGGCGGACTACCTGGGTTGCAAGGCAGTGTCGGAGTCGGAGTTTCGGGGCTGTCGGAGTTTCGGTTCGAGACGTCTCGAACAAGGTTGATCAAGGAGATGAACCTGCCCAGTCGGGCTCAGCCCTTCCGCTGGACAGTCTGCGCATCGGCTGGCGACACCAAGTCCGAGTTGAAGGAACTCCGCGCCGCAGTCGTAACCGGTCGTGGAAAGGATGTCAACCTGGTAGCGGAATATCGATTCGAAGAACATGACGTGCAAGGTTCGAAGTTCGATAGCTCAATGGAACAAACCACTCGGAGACGGAAGATTCGGCCCCTGTCGACCGCATCAAGGTCACACATGTCAAAAACAAAACGAGGAGCACCACGCATATTCCAACCGTTATGAGCGACTTTGAGGATTATGACTTGAACTTCCAGTCAGACCCGGAATTGGAATTTGGTCGACGACGAGGGACGGACTGGGAGGATACGGCGGAAGACGCGGAGGAGGAAGAAGCAATTGAAATGGCACTGGAAGCTGCCAGAGCTCTCAGAGAGGAGCAAGCAGAACAAAGGAGAATACAAAAGCTGTACCGCGAGAACCCGAGCAACCCAGAGCTAGATACTCTCCGGCCAATCAGAACCGAAGCAGATCTTGAAAGAGAATTCAAACGGTTCAATGAAGTGGCTGCAGTTGATCGCTGAGGAACTGGAGATTATAGCCCCGGCCCGACAACCTGCGAACACCACTCGCACTCAACCCGTCTCACACGCCGATCAAGGCAACCGCACTGCCAGCTTACGACGAAGGTCGATGTCAGTTGGTGGAAAAAGCTATGCCGCGAGAACCCGTCCCCTCATCCACACTTTCGCACTTTGGCAAACACTAATCTTCTGACATTCACGCACATCCATCCGCTCAACAGGTGGCAAGTGATGTGATGGAGATTAGCAGCCTTCGCGCTGTGGGTCTTAACCGTTGCCCCGAGTGGACCGCCCTCATTGCCGCCGTTCTCAACATCATCATCAACGCCCCGGGTGGGCCGCCCTCGGTCAAGAGCATCATCATCAGCGCCCCGGGCAACGCAGAGCTAAATATCCTCCGGTCAATCAAACTGACGCGGATCTCGAAAAAGAGTACAAACGATTCAACGAGTTTCTCTTCGAACACAACCAGCTCACCACGAAGGTCGATGTCACATGGTTGAAAAACATGAGCTACCAGCCGGGAAGTTGTGGGGAGTACAGAATGGGAGTGGTCACTACATTCACCTCAGCGAGCCGATCATGAAGAAGAAACCGAGGGTGGAGATCATAGGAATCTTGTTGCACTGGCTTCTACACCTCTGGATCCAACTCCACATGAAAAACCCGCCCATGGACGAAAAGAAGAAAAGGCACAAACACCAGTTCCACTTGGAGTGGGTGGAGGCGAGGGTCGACATCGAGATCCCGATTTCCCACAACGTCTATGCAAAGGACGCTGCCGAGTTGCGGGTTCACAGGTGGCATTGTACGAGGTGTGGAAGGACCTACTCCTCCGCAAGGAATATGGCTCCGAGCAAGTTGAAGGATGATGGCAAAGGGCGTAGCCCGTATGCGGCGTGGCATAAGAAGAAGTGCGGCAAAGCGGATGCCTTTGTGAAAATTGCAGGTACCACGGGCCCTCCTACCTCTGGATCCAACTCCACATGAAAAAACCGCCCATGGACGAAAAGAAGAAAAGGCACAAACACCAGTTCCACTCGGCGCTGGAGTGGGTAGAAGTGAGGGTCAACATCGATATCCTCATATCACACATGCGTCTACGCGAAGGCCGCTGCCGAGTTGCGCGTTCATACCTCTCGGCATGGAATATGGCTCATGAAAAGTTGAAGGCCGAGGGCAAAGGCATACTCTTTCCTTTCGGCTTTCTACGCTTCATCAGCATTAAGCAAATATGGTATCCTCCCGCCTCGAACCTCAAGCACCGGCCCAAGCCGTGGCAGATGGACTTCGCTACGTTTACGCCACTCCGGCCTTGCCATCCCTCCGCCCACTGCCCTCTCGGCGCCCGATGCCGAGGCGCAGATCCTGTCTCTCTGATCCAAGAAGCATGGCACGTCCCCTTCCCGCAACGTGGAAACCTGGCAGCCAACATCGCTGGTGTCATCCAGGGAGATACCCACTATCAGGAGGAGGGAGAGGAAGACGAGGATGAGGCCCCGATTCCGGGGGAGGCCGAATTGATCGGATGTGAGATGGAGGGATGCACGGTGGTACCCTTCCAGTGCATTTGTGATGAATGCGGGCTCTACCTGTGCCTCCAGCATGGGTGACCGGTCCACAATCATAAATGCACGTGGGTTTAAGGGAGGGAGGTTGACATAACATAGGCAGCGCCCTTTCCCTTCGTATACTTCCTTAATGATTCTCATGAAATATCAATCTCAATCACACTCCTTCTTCTTTCTACGCTTCATCAGCATTATATCAAGTGTAACCAACCATGGTTTCCTCAGGCCGTGCTCCCGCACAACAGCGTCCCCCCCAGCACCGCCGAGCCCGCAGATCCGCTGGGCGTGCTCCCGCCCACCAGCGTCGTCCCTGGGACATGGACTTTTCTCCATTCACGCCACTCCGGCCGGGGGGCATAAACTTCGGCGCGCCAACAGTGAAAGTGGGGAAAAAGGGCCAGAAGGCCTATCAAAGGCCGCAATCTTCAAGCCGGCCAATTCGGGAATCGCCCCAAGAATTACCCCAGGGTCAGCCGGTGGGGTTCGTCGAGACGCCGAGGAAATCGCCAGGGCCGAGACCCTGCATTACAACAGCCCTCTGGGGGCCGGCGCTCCTGTTCCCCGTGCCTTGATGGACCGGGTTTTCAAGACCGGTGGGGCAAATATTTGGGTCAACGAGAAGAAGAAGACGACCGCTCCAAAATGGTCATCAGATGCGACCGATATCCTGCACGAGGCGACAGAGGCGTTCACCAGAGCGCTGATGTCCGATGTGAACCTAACCCTAACCCTGTAAACAGTATGCTATGATATTCTACAAGATACCGGACATTCAGGATTGCCGTTACTAGCTCCGCCTTTTGTCAGCATCAGAGCGCCTCTGGATGCCTACGAGATTCTACGCCTGCCTCGCTACGCATAGTCACGGTTTCTCGCAAGATTCATGCCTATGCCTAACCTTGCGTGCATGAGCGACCGAAGTCCACGCCGAGTGGATGAGGACCGAGTGATGAGAAGTCCGAGTACCGCTGTTTCTTCTCTCGTCTGATGTGCTCGGCGACATGTGCGCGCCACAGCCGACAGCAATGTGCATGCCCCAGAGAAAGTCGAACGAGTTCAGTTTACTCCGTGGATGTCCTACGCACAGACCGGAGACGAAAATTGCTGATGGCGGTCTTGTAGTATATATACTCCGTTATGCAGCAAGAACAAAACCACGCAGCCGGCCGCGAAGCACCCCAAAAACTACCTTTACTCTCAGATTCATGGGCCTATCGCAGTGGACCTGTTGCGGACCCCCGACTCGCATCCGCCTTCCGTTTCTTCTTCTCCTCCTCCTTCCTTGTCTTTCTTTTCAGCTTTTTCTTCCAGTGCTTCCCTCTTGCCTTCGGTTCGGTCCCGGCGGACGAAGAGTCGGGCCTGATGGCCTGTCCTTTCGACGAAACTGCCTGGGTAGTCGTGCCGGTGGCCCTCTGAATGGGCTCCGCGAGATGCATGTGTTTTTTTTGGGCAGCCTGGAGAAACAGGGTAGGCTTCCGCTTGAAGTCCAGCTTGAAACCCGTGGAGAGCTGCTTCGAATTCACCACTGGTGTGACTATCTCCATTTCCCGAACGAAAGCGCCTAGCAGACTCTTCTTGCCAAGTCCGGCTCGAAAGAGTGACATATGGGCGACGATGACTAGTTGATCTTTGGCGCGGGTGAGGGCCACGTTCATCCGCCGCTTGTTCCTGAGAAATCCCGGCTCAGTCGTCCGAACCGCACTGAAGATGATCACGTCAGCTTCTTGACCCTGCACCGTATCGACAGTGTGAACGCGCTCGTCGGCGAAAGCTAGCTTGACGTCGGTTTTGCCTTGACAGTGACGATTGCGGATGGCGTCGCGGAGGCGATTGGCGATGAGTTCTTTCTGAGCATTGTATGGAGTTATTATCAGAAACTCTCGGGTCAGAAACTGGTTGAAGATAACCTGCACGACAGCGTCGGCCTCCCGAAGGTTCTAAACACCAATCAGAGCGAGTGTCAGCATTGCCCCGCGTCGGTGCAAATCACGGGTCGGGCTTCTTACTGTAAACCCCGTCCCCGACGTCTGCTCCGTACCGTCCGTAACATCAATCAGCGCGACAGTGCAAACCTCCCGCGGCTTCTTATGCGACGCCAACCTGTCGTTGTACACGGTGCCAGAGATGAACGCCCCCAGATCGCATGGCATCCTGTACTGGATGTTAAGCATGACATCGCTTTGCAACCTCTCGAAAACGCTCTCCACCGCCGGGTGCTGTTCGCTTCCAAAGGGCGCCAGCTGCTTAGGGTCGCCGACAAAGGTGAGGCGTTTGAGCGAGCCCTGATACAAGGTAAGCACGTGTTGGAGATTGGCAAGGCAGATTTGCGATGCTTCATCAATAACTAGGTGAGTTACGCGGCGGCGTTGCAATATGTTGATTATGTTTGAGTTCGAGAGCTGGGAAAGGGAGCACAGGACCACGGTCCGCGGACCGATCAACTTGTCGAAATTCTGGCTTCTGGTTTCTGACGACTGGATGACGCGGTCGCGGATCTTCTTATACTGATCTTCGTGCCACTGCGCTAGATAGTTAGCACCATACGTTATCAAAACTAACCATTGCAAGCCCGAAGTTTGCCTTACCTCCACGAAGAAATTGTCAGACACGACAATCCTGAAATCACTTACCCCACGTTTCAGCAGCGTCACGGCCAGGTTTCTCGTAGCCGCATTTGTCTGACAGGTGAGCACGTAGAAGTGGTGTTCGGCCGAGGAAATGCTGGCTGCAACTGCGGCTGTGATGGCAAAAGTTTTCCCTGTTCCCGGCGGTCCTGTCAGCGGGAGAGGGAGGACAAAGAACACAAAAGCTGTCAGACTCGGGCGTTCAACGATGGTGCGACAACATAGGACCTCACCATGAATTAGACTGAGCGGCTTTTGCGCACTTAGCATCGTATTCACGGCTTTCGTCTGTGATGGGTTCAGGTCGTGCCCTGAAACGTCGTAAGCCGGCGGGGCGGTTCCCAGAGGTTGTTTCTGGCTTAAGAAGAGGGTGGCAAAAAAGGGGACGGTAGACGTGTCCAGCTGGCCGTGTAGGACAAGTTTCACCCACACTTCTCTGCGAAAGAAGTCAGCAGAGTTGGGTATATTGATAGTCATACTCCCCTTTAGAGCTGAGAAAGGTTTCAGCAGGTTACCTCAAAAAGCTGTCCGCGCCCCTTGAGCCGCCCTGCTCAACTACCGTGATGTTTTTCACAACGTACACCCCCGTCAGCTGATTGTCAAGCTTCACCGTCTTGGTCTTTCCATACTTTCCATGTTCAACCTTGCCAGGGAGCACCTGCCCAGAGGCGAGGTGGAACAGAACAACGTCCTTGAACTGGAGTTTGTTTCGAAACTGGGAGTTGAGGACGTCGTATTTACCGTCCTGGCGCAGGATTACCGTGCTGAACTTGCTGTCGTACTGCTTTTGCTGCATATCTTCGATGGCAAGGACTGCGCTGTTTTGGTCCGCAAGCGCGTTCAGTAACCCAGGATCGATTCTCGTCAAGTCCAGCACCATAGCGCTGGCAATCTTCGAAGGGTCGTGAGTGCCAACTTTGTAAGAAACCCAAGCGTCTAAGACACCGTAGCAGAGTTGAGCCTCGGTGAGGGGGACGCCAACCCATCTGGATGTCGTCGTGGCTTTATCCTTCCGGAGCGGCTGGCCCGGAGGGAGGTACATCTCCGAAAACAAGGTGAACAGTCCCTTAGTGTCACGATTGGTGGATTTCAGCGTAGCTGGACTGTAAAGGTGTGTGAGATCGATGCCACCTCGCAAAATATGACCAAAGTTGCTGAAAAGAAGTAAGGCGTCCTTTGTGAGTTCGCAGCCCGTTTTCCGAATTGCGGGGTCCCGGAAAAGAGCATCCAGGGCTTTGTTGGGGCTTCTGCGGCGGTGCGTGTTTTTCGACGGCTTGCCAACGACAACGAGCAGGCACCGAGCGTTCGTAGCCAGCTGGACGAGGCCAAGCAAAGGCCCGTCGAACTCGGTGTCCAGGCCGATGAACCGCAAGCCGTCGGGTGTGTTTGAAGGTGCAGAGGCAAGCAGCCAAGAGGTATGACCGTGGGAAACTTCGTCGTATCTGACGGTCTGCGTAAGGACCGAGGGCTGCGGTTTGAGGCCCGGGATCCTAGCGATGGTTGTTGCGACACCAGCGGTAGCGGCCGCGCTTTGTACAGGAGCGGAAGTGGCGGTCGTGTCCGGGAGCCGGGCGGGTATGGAGTTTGCTACAAAGCCCACCAGCGGCTGCTTAGAAACGAGCCGGTCGCGGCAGACGGGTGTCCGCGGTGGAAGCAACGGTTCTTCTTCTTCTTCTTGGTGGCTGCAGCAAGCACCCATTATGATTCTCTGGTCTCCTGCAAGATCCGTGCCCGCTGCGGTTGCTGGGCTGTAGGAAGACTTCACGATGGCCTCCACCGTGGTAATAGGTGCCTGCCCGACGTCTTTGCCACGTAACCGTAGCTGCTGATGGATTGCGATATGCGTCAAATTCGGTTCTACGCCAGTCGCGCTTGTCGCTGATTCTGCTGAGGTGCCGAGCGCTGTGACTGCCGTTGCCTCCGAAGTTCAGGAAGTCGTAAGTGCCTGCAGTGCATGGTGCAGGAGATCCCGTTTGCAGAGAGTTGTTTTTCGTTTGGGAGTGGAATATAACTACATAACCCTACCATAACAACACGCTCCGCACCCTAACCCTAACCCTAACCCTAACCCTGCCGGCCAGTTCGGGCTGGGTGTTACTAACCCTAACCCTAACCCTAACTGGTGGATAGCAAACACGAGGGCGTGACTATAGAAATGGCCGACTTAAGTGTACAGTATGTGAACATAAACCTAGATACACCAGTGATTGAGTCAGTGTCCGTGCGCAACTGCGGCGGCTGGGGCAAGGGGCTGGCCAAGCTCGGACGCGTGTATCCAGCTTTATGTTCACATACTGTACTAGTCTGACCCTAACCCGAGTTATTCACATTTAGCACGAGTTACTCACTTTCTAGAATCTAGCCATTCCCAAACGCGTCGTCCCGCTTACATAAGGCGCTTGTAAGTTGCGCAGAAGGCCGAATGACGAGTCTACGTATAAAAAGCGATCTACTTTCCTTGCCCTCCGTACATACTGTCCACGCATTCCCCGCCAGACAGTCACCGCGCGCTTCGAACAGTCAGTCCTAAGATGGCGTCCGACAGCGAGTGTGAGGTGCTGGAGCAGGACGCCGAAAAATACTTCCACGCTATCGTACGGCTCTTCGGTGATAATTCTCTCACCCCAAGCGCGTTCATTGACGAGCTATTCGAGGACAATAAGGCAGCGGCGATTGCGTACGGGGCAACAAACGCTCTAACACTTTATAAGGCACTGTTGAACCGGCTATTAGAACATGCAAACAGCCTGTACGTCACAGCAAAGAAGGAACAGGAGGCAGATCAGACCGCAGTCACCCGAGCGCTAGATTACTTGAAAAGAATCAAGAGGTTCATAGATAGCAAGGCAAGTGCACCTCATCGAGTTCTTCCCCATTACCCCATTAGATAGGGTCATTCAGTCGTACTCCCTCACCCCGTATGAGCGCAATGCTTCCAGGGCGGGAGGTTAAAGCGAGTGGCGCGAAATGCGTCCAAAGTGCACGGCTGCGATGGCGGGTCTGGTACTCCCTCACCCCGTATGAGCGCAATGCTTCCAGGGCGGGAGGTTAAAGCGAGTGGCGCGAAATGCGTCCAAAGTGCACCGGACCCTTCCTCAAGCACAATCTCTCATCTTTGTTTTGCCACTCTCGTGATTACTGACATCACCTCCCGCGTCAGGCCAACAATGATACAAAGTTCTTTACAACCTACTTCGAAGAGGTTGCCTCACGGCCCAAAAACAACAGAGTTTTCACATCGGGAATGTGCACACTCGCCGGCCGGGTCGCTTCCGAGCTTGGCCCGAAGCGTGCTCTCAGGCCAGAGCGACACCTGGCCTCGCCACCAGAACGGATCGCACCAAAGCGACGGAAAACCAATGTGCGCGGTTCAGGCAAGCCGAACATCAAAACACCGAATAAATTTGAGTTACGCCCAGTACTGAAGGAGTGAGTCAATGGAGAGTTACTGGGTTGCGTCCTCTGCTGCGCAATGCTGAAGATCTCCCTCCCTGACAGGCTACTGGCGGTCGAAATTATACCAGTACTGAAGAGCCGACGACAGGAATTACCGAACTATCCGGAGCTCCTGAAAGAGCTGGAGTCATACCAGTTTATTACTTACGTAGATGAATGCATACGTGAATGGATTTTGAAGCTGGCAGCGGTACGAGCGTCGGACGCATGCGTCTCGCACTTTGATCAGCTCACTGAGTCGGGCTTCACTCTTAGCTGGAAATTCACGAAGCTGGGGTGAGCTTCAAGGACAACCTAGTGGAATACTCAAATGAGAGGCATAAACATATCGCCTTTCACACGCTGTTCCAGTGTAAGTATGATCGTCTCCTCAAAATCAGCGGGATACAATCTCACCCTTGCCGAATAGTTTTTTCGTTGGTGCGTTTCTATCCCTATGCATCCTTACCTACGCATGGATCGGAACGGAAGTTCCTTGTTGAGCGCATTACCCAACTGTTATCCCTGTTGGAGCATCGCACCGGTGAAGTGCGCTGGGCCTACATTGAAGCGCAGGCAACGTCGACCCTGCAGATCCAGGAAGTAACGGGGTCCCGCTCGTCGACGTATCACGTGGATGTTCTGGGTTGTTCTGCAGAGAACCAATATGAAGTTGTCTTTGTTGAGCAATCGGGCGGGCCAACCAGTCGTGATCAGACGCACTGCCTAGATGACTCGGAAGAGTTGATTAATGAAGCGATCAACGGGCTAAGGGCAATATTATGCGAGAACTTGGACGCGCCCATTAAGAGCGCCGGGAAGTTGCGAACGTATTGTATACAAGTCATACGTAAGTGTGGAAACTTTGGGAAAGGTATATATCCCCGAGTACTAACTTAGATGTCATCCGCCGCAGGTGATCGTGTCACACTACTAGCCGTTCAGATAATCGGGCCTAACAAATACGCAATTCTGGAGCTGAAGTCGGCTCGCTTCCCCAATGACTGGGAACACCTGGATCTTTTCATCGACGTCCTTGAGCTCGCCTTTTGTCTTGTGGCGGAAATGAAAAAACAAAAGCAAGCCCGCAAGACTCTTCGTCTCGAGAGCCGCAGCCATTCTATGAGTACTACGGAAACGCGATGTCGCGAGTGGCTGACGCCGGTCCATACGAGAGTAGAGAAGGAATGACGCTGCTGGCTCATGGATCTTGCTTGAGGCAGAGTTTTGGGCAGTGGGTCATCAGAAGATTAGGGGTTGGAACTGGAATATGGATGCATGGAAATGAGGGAGTGCGGGCGCTCCTTCCTCCCCGCTCGCGGCATTTTGTTTTTGGGGGCACCCTGGCGTATTGGGCTGCTTTATTTTTGGGCCTAGATTCTTCCTGTACGACTGAATTTGGCCATGTTATCCTGTAATGGAAGGAATTAGGCATAGGTTCCTCCTACCCAAATCACATGAGACACGGTAAGCGGTAGAGGCTCCCATACTCTGCGGGAATTGATAGGTATGTGGACGTAACCATCAGGTTGCGCCCGCGAGAAGCAGGAATCTTAGGATGGATGTCATTCGCGTTCATCACATGGCCCCAAGGTGGCAGGAACCCCAAGCGAGTGTACGAGTTGAATGGGTGGCCTTGTTGAGTATCGGTCAAGAGAGGCTACCACAGCAGCGTTTTACGGCGGGCCCCACATGTGCTAACTTGGCTATCATAAACTATCACCCCTACGGGAGAAAACTTGGCGGGCACATTGCGAGCTCAATTGCGGGCTCAATTGATCATTTGATATTTAAAAGAGATAAGGAGGAAGGGCAGTTACGGTTGTGCAAGCACTCAAAACGAGAAATCAGAAAGGTCAGGAAGCACACGAGTGTCGTCGACGTCGTACCTGGGCCGAATACAACGCTGCACCCCGAGAAAGGTGATGCCAGCAAGCCTGCAAGTCATTCAATACCTCTAGCGCTAGCCGCTTGGTGCTGAGCTTCATGAGAGCTAGGGTATGTACAGTACTGAACAGTCAACCTGACAGTCAGCCTGACAGTCAACGGACATACTGTAGGCCGTCGCAGAGCTTCGCGTCTCTACGCTCGAGGGCGACTTCCGGAATGTCTGCGCCGATTTGAGCGCTTCGAACACCTCGTCCTGAAAACCCAACTGATTCCCGAAAGCGTAGTACTCGTCTTCGCTGATGTACTTGAGGACGGACCGACCGGGTACATTTGGGGTGGCAATGGGCGGAACCTCAACGTACTTGCGAGCTTTCTTGCGGTTGTCGAACCAGCATTGAGACTTGCCATAACCTTTACAAAATACCATGCTGGAGTAGAAGGCCCAAAGGGCGTCTTGGCTCGTCTGCCCTCCGTAAAGCCCTAAAGGGTTGGCGCCGGGTATGGTTTGAGTAGAGTTGTGAGTTGAGTGTCAAATATGTAGGCGTTCTTTAAAGTTAACCGTTGTAGAGGATGAGACGTTGAAGTATGCACCAACGGCAGTAAAATGTTATTTTTGAGGCAGACTCCGGCCATGTTCGCTCAACGACGCCATTGCAGTACGTAGATGTTGGATTTGAGGGACACTCCGGTCACCTTCAAAAACGCCATTGCGTCGTTGAGCGAAGACAGAATTGAACATGGACTTTTGTTCGCTGCTGATGAGATCCAATTTCGAAGGAAGAAGGGCATTGCCCTAGATATCTTATAATACAGAAAGCGAAGGCGGTGTCTAGTTGTGTGTTGAGAAGATATTTCAATTCCGACAGACCAAGCCGTGAATTCTATTGTAATCAATCGTTGTACCATGCTACAGTAGAATGCCAAAACGGACGTTACGACGGCCGCGTCCATGCCGTCGTAACGTCCGTTTTGGCATCCTACTGTATTACGCCGCCGACGATCTCTTCGCTCGTTTCTTCCATTCCTTACGGAATGATGTCAGAGACTCCTTAAACGCTTTCTCTTCTTGAAAGCCTTTCCGAATCCCGAACACATCTCTAACCAACGGGGCCAAATCGTGGGAGGTACAGACGTGGTAATCTTTCGATCGTCCTTCAGAACTCGCCGACACTTTCTCAGCCATCGCCGCTTGAACACATTGTTGGAACGACAACCCCGAATTGGTCGGAAATGCGAGCAAGAAATCTACTTCGGATGTCGAAAAGTAAGCGGAAGACAGGTAATAAGTGGCGGCAGGGTCACTTTCTAATCGATCACGGGCGTCGGGATCGCTTCTAAAGGTAAGGAGATCGTTTAGATAGATCTTAGTCTTCGCAAAGAGCTGCTTATTCGCGTGAAGCGCTGGCAGGGCCGCCTCGTATTCTTTCAAAGCGGTGCACATTTCGATGACCAGAGCCACAATTTCGTTGGAACCTATCAGTTTGGGAAATACAGATATGAGCACCGCAGATTCAGACATTCGGAACGGCATGGCGGAATCACTCACGCTTGTGCCCGCGACAGAGACACTTCACCCAAACATCGGTGGAGAGCACGATACTTATTGGCTGTCCTTCGGAGTCGAATGACTTTAAAGCTATCCGTGACAGCGCCGTCCCTTTTTTGGCCTCGATCTTCACGAAGGCCAACAGTCCGTCTACGTCCACCCGAATGGTTGTCTTTCCATCGGTGATGTTGAGACCATCCTGATCGAGTTCCTCGACCGGCGTCATAGTAAATGGGTCCACCGGGTTGTCAGAGGCTGCGATCGTCAGTCTACGCAAATCTTGCGCCAGGGACAGGGCATCCGTTTCGCTAGCATTCCGACTAACGTGGGGCGTCGTGTTGGGTGACGTGCTATCGACTGCCCGAAACACAACATCGAAGTAGGCCGCGCCCGCAGAGTAGTGAGTGGTGACAAACGAGAGCATTCTATCGTCGGGAACTCGAAGCCACACTTTGGCGTCACATGCTTTTAGCCAACAAATTGATCCTACGGGAAGGTCAGGCAACGCCGTCCGAACTTGGTCCAAAGTGACTCCGCTCGGACAAGGTTCGCCGACGCTATCGACTTCGGCATAAAGCCTCCAGGCACAGTGCATTCCTCATATACCAGGCGGAATTCAACCATGGTGTTATGGTACGGCGACGATGAAAAAGGAACAGTGCAATGGACTGCAAACGCTTTAGTGGTAAACGTCAAGGTGGCCAGGTAACGTAAAGGAGGGTTTGGGCAAAGTCGTTATATTCAATTACAAGTGGGGTGAAACGCTGCCGTGAATGATTCAAAGAACGTACTGTATGTTCTAGAGATGGAAGTGAAGCTTTGCGCATGGGATATTGGTTTGCTACGTAGAGGAGCAGCTGTAATTAGAATGTGCTAAGGCGGCTATTTTTGGTGGCTCAGTGCGCACATACGTTTGCGCAAGTCGGGTCGCCGACCATCGCGTGAATATGGACATGGACCCCCAACAATTCTAGTACATAATGTGCGCAGGAGGCCGCTCTTCAAAACGGTATCATTACCTTTTTTATTATTACAACAAAAACAAAAGAAAATACTAATCTAAGGAAACCTGCGCATCGTCATCATCAAATCACGCAAACTCCTCCTCGCTCTCCTCCCCCGGGGTCCCAGTCCGGCTCCATTCCTGTATGGTGGTGTTACGGTGGCTAATAATGACCTTCATGACCTCCTCAGTGACTTTGGGGCAGTTGCGGCATAGGCCCTTTGCTCCAAGTGCGGCCAGCCTGCCGAGGTGCATGCAGCATCCACATGGAAGAGCAACGCACATTCCAGGGCCACACGGGAAGGCATACTTGGTAACGTCGATGTGAGGTCCAAGCTTGACTTTGAGCTGGCCCTGTTCGATGCGTCCCCGCTGCGCTAGAGGAACAACGGCCTCCCCAAGAAGCAGCCCATCATCGCCAGCGACTGCAGCAGTGAATCGATACAATGGCACTAGGAGGAGGTTCAGACATTAGCGACTTGCATCCACCAGCAAATGGTCTCAGGGACATACGTATAATTCGGGGGTGAGTGCACCTGCATCTCTGAAAAGGCAGTCGTCCGAGAGATGTCTGATCCTTGCTTGGCCCATCAAACAGGTTGCATCAATGGTCCCAAAAGAGCAACGAGAGCAGCCAGATCCACTGGACTTGTTCTGTTGGCCTAGGGAAGGAGAGGACAGGGAACGCTGCAATCTCGTGAAGCACAATCGCCAAGGGGTGCACAACAATGGCAGAGGCTACCAAGCCCTATGCACGTCAATTCCCTCACACCCACCCCTTTGCGGTGCATCGCTGCCCCTGGCCACACAGTGATCTTGTCGTTTTCGGAAAAGGCACTTGCCGCGAGCGGGGTCGCCATCAATATGCAGGGAAACAGAACCCGCCACCTATCTGCGGAAGAGTATTCCTTCCCGTGCCATCCATAAGTAGATCATAGGACACATCTTCCGAAACGGAAGGTACATCGCTTGGCACTATATGATTATTGACTACGTGCAGTTACATACAAAGTTGGGTATGGACAAATGAGAAGGCTGTGGCTAATGGAGTGCTGCGCCACCCATGTCCGGATGTCTCTCTCTCGTCTCCGTCTCACTCTCCAACACTTCCCCGTTGCATATCGGACCGAAAATACTTAGTATCACGTCAACCTCCCGCCCCCACCAGCTGCGATAGCAACACATAGGGCCGCCCAACTGACGCTTCTACAAACGCTCACTGCGAACTGTATCCCTGCATTGCTTCTTTCCTTACAGACTATTCCCCCTCTTGAGTACACCCCCACCGCCTTCGCAAAACGTCAAAAACAATGGTCGACACAACAGCACACCCCTCAAACGGAAACGGAGACGGCAACGGCATCCCCTCGTCCGTCGCAACACCACCACCACCAGCAGCAACTGACTCTCCGCGCACAAGCTCGCCGTCGGAGCATCAACAGTCTTCGTCGTCTTCTTCGTCTTCTTCGTCCGCTGTGATATCGCCTCAGAAGGAGGAATATGAGCCGCTTTTGACACCCAATGCGAGAAGATTTGTGTTGTTTCCTATTCAGTACCAGGAGGTGGGTTGCGCGAGCGGTTGCGAGGGATGTGGGGCGGTGGTGAGGGAGGAAGTTTGCGCGAGCGGAGCGAGCACCATAGTGTTTTGTATCCATCCCATCAACCATCCAACCAACGCACTCCATGGCTCATCTCCTTCCCTATCAATTCTTCAGGTCTGGCAAATGTACAAGAAAGCGGAAGCATCGTTCTGGACGGCGGAGGAAGTCGACCTCTCCAAAGACATCCAGGACTGGGAAAACAAGCTGACAGACAACGAGCGGTTCTTTATTTCGCGCGTGCTAGCCTTCTTCGCCGCCTCTGACGGGATCGTGAACGAAAACCTCGTCGAGCGTTTCTCCAATGACGTGCAGATCGCCGAAGCGCGCTGCTTCTACGGCTTCCAAATCATGATCGAAAACATCCACTCGGAGATGTACTCCCTCCTCATCGACACCTACATCAAAGACGCACGTGAAAAGGCCCTCCTCTTCGACGCCCTCGAAACCGTGCCCTGCATCCGCAAAAAGGCCGACTGGGCCCTCCGCTGGATCTCGGACGACTCCACATCCTTCGCACTCCGTCTCGTCGCCTTTGCAGCGGTAGAAGGAATCTTTTTCAGCGGCTCCTTCGCAGCCATCTTCTGGCTCAAAAAACGCGGCCTCATGCCGGGCTTGACGTTCTCCAACGAACTCATCTGTCGCGACGAAGGCCTCCACACAGACTTTGCCTGTCTCCTCTTCTCCCTCCTCCGCACCAAACCCGCCTTCTCCTCCATCCGCACCCTCCTCCGTGAAGCCGTCACCATCGAACAAGAATTCCTCACCTCATCCCTCCCCTGCGCCCTCATCGGGATGAACGCGACACTGATGTGCCGGTACATTGAGTTTGTCGCCGACCGCTTGTTTGTCGCCCTGGGGTACGACAAGGAGTATGGCGTGGAGAACCCGTTTGACTTTATGGAGTTGATTTCGTTGCAGGGGAAGACGAACTTTTTTGAGAAGAAGGTCGGCGAGTATCAGATGGCGGGGGTTATGAGGGAGGAGGGGGAGGAGGGGAGGGAATTTACTTTGGATGCAGATTTTTAGAGGGGGGTGGGTGGGTGAGGGAAAAGCGGGTGGGTTGGGAGTGGGGGTACCATCACCTTGGTATTGTATGTTCCAGCGGATAATGAAACCCGCATGGGGCCGTCCACGAGATGGCATTGAGTAGGAGAGTAGCGGGCACGAAAGGACGCAGGGTCGTGGGGCACTTTGCACAGTACAATAAGAGGCCCGTTCGGCTTTTTGGACTCCTATGTGGTGTGTTGCGGAAACCTGAGAGCTTGTGTACCATTAAAGATGACACGGGCTGATGAACTTTGAAGCGACCTTATCGCGGTACGTCGTCGGTTATAACCCATTCCCCTCTATTAGAGATCACGGAAGGCAAGCCGATGGACCTTCCTATGTACTGTATGTATGTACAGTCACCTCGCAAAACTCTGTACCCCCCCTCTAATTGAAATCAATATTGGTCACTCACGTGAATTTGGCGTCGCGGCAGTCGCTGATTTATTTCAGGGGGGGGGTACAGAGTTTTGCGAGGTGACTGTACTGTACAATCGCGTGGGCAGATTGTGGAACGCGCCGTGCAACTCGCACCCCAGCAAACGTCATGGCGCCGGGCGGGGATTCGGGAGGAGGTGGCCGAGTACAGAAAGTTGCATTGGAGCGGGACGGCCGAGGAAGCCGGAGCCACAAATTCCTTGCAGCACTGGGGCTTCCCACACCTTTCAGGATCACTGTGATGCGCATTGGTCGATGTCACGAAGAGGAAATCACAGATGCGAGAGGGAACCTCCCAGCGCCCCTCGATGATGACGAGAAGCCTGCCATCAAAAGAAGCAAGAAGCGAAAGATAAAACATTATATAAGCAACGGGACTCATAGATATTACCAAGGGGTGGTAACTCAGTGGTAGAGTGTCTCGTTCGCATCGAGGAAGCCCGGAGTTCAATCCTCCGTCACTCCACACATTTTTGGACTTTTGTGCGATCTACGAACCGTGAAAGTCCGCCTGAAGGCCTCGGGTGGATTTCGACAGCGCGTTGTCCCGTCATCTTCGCCAAAAAAGACGATAAACAGAACCCTTCCGACATCCATATCTTGTCCACAAACACACATCCACCCGCCTCCTCTAAAATGCCGCCAAAAAAGAAACCCGCATCCGCCAGCGGTGCCAAAAAGAAATCCAAGAGTAAAGAAGTAGGCGCGTTCCCCCTCTCTCTGTCTCTCTCTCTGTCACCCGGCGTGGTGCCAAAAAAATAATCATATATCCAACGCAGACTAACGTTTTCGCTTAGTTGGCCAGGATCTGGAACTCCAAGAAAAACTCGTGAAAGCCGCAGCGGAGAATGATGCGCTCACCAGGGAGCTCGGTACGTGCAAAAACAACAACACAAAACCCCCCGTCCATCTTCCGTGTTCAATTCATCACTCTCTCTCTATCACTCTCTTCTCTGCATGCATTTGCTTCATCCACGTAGCCCACCAATCCAGCCTCTCGCACCGTCTCCAACTCACCATCGAGGCCCAGCGCGCGCGTATATTAGAGTTGGAAGACGTGGTGGAACGCAAAGGGAAGGATCGGATGGATCTGAGCACAGACATGGGGCGGCAGTACAAGGCGATGCAGAGCGAGATGTGTGCGAAGGTGGCGGGGTTGGAGGGGGTTGTGGCGGAGTTGGGAGGGAGGTTGGGTGAGTATGGGGGAGCGAAGGCGAGCAGAACGTGGACATAAGATGATGTATATTCATTACCCCCGCCAGTCACTGATCACCCGTTCCCCCCTCCCTCCTTTGATTTGCTTTTCAGCGGCCTCCCAAGCAGCCCTAGCCGAATCCCTCCGCGAACGCGCGCAGATCGTCGCTGAAAAAGAAACCGCGCTCGAAGACCAGCACCAGAAGATGTCGTACATGTCCAACGAGTTTGAAAGCATGCTCAATGTAACTATTACAAAAGATACCTACCGTCCATCATCCCACCCCCTTCCCCACTGATAACCTTATTGGTTTTTTTTTTTGGTAGGAAACACTAGGGAAAATGCACAAGAAACTCGAAACGGTCAGCCAGCGGTGGAAGGAGAGCGACAACATCCATTTATCGGATGTCAACCAGCGGCGGTTGGCGGATTTTCATCTAACGAGGTTGACGTTGGGGAAGACTGAGTAGATCAGAGGGGTGTGGGTGCGTGCGGGGACGGGTGTGATTGAGGTGTTGGGGAGCGGGATGGAAGGTGATGTGTGGGTTTTGATTGGAAGGGGTGTATGTAGAGGGCTGAGACACGGTCGTGCAGGAGGGAACGGCCCACGATAACAAAAATGGGATTGAATGAAACGAGCCAGACACCATCAATGCCTCGAATGCGGATCAAGCAGGGGCTCGGTGACCCAACCGTAACGCCCAGTGTAAGGAAAATGTCATGTATGTAATAAAGTAAGACTAGACCCAAAACAGAACAAAAAGCAGTCCCTGAAAAGTGCCAGCAACAACCCCAAAAAAATCTGCGTCTTCTAACCCCCCGAAAAGTCCCGCCAAAACGCGCCCTTTGCTTTACCTCCCGGCATGGGACGTGCTTCCCATCTCCTTGCCCCCCTCGCCTCTCCAAGTTCCACCACCCTCTGTATCCACCCGCGTTTTCTACGCAACTGACTCGGCGAAATTCGATGTCTGGCGGTCTGATGACCACGATTCCCTCATGTCATCACTACCAGCAGGATCCCTCCCCAGCAGTCCGAAAAACCCATTCCCCAAAACGTTCCCCCAAGAACGCCTCTCCTCCATCCCCCGACCGCGCTCACACCCCGCCCACCCTACAAATTCATCTTCCCGATCAGATCCGTCAACAGGTTCTTGTAAGCCCACGAATCCCCACTCATGCGCTTAAACCTCAACCCATTTACATTCAGCCGCGGCAGCTTGCACACCTCCATCTCGAAATCCACCCCTTGCTGCGGGTAACTGCAGTTCGCAATGAAGCCCGCCACGTCCGTTTTCACGCCGTGCTCGTGGAGAACGCGGAGCACCTCCGCGAGGATCACGTCCGGCTCCTTTGTGGACGTGGTCGACACGGAGAAGGTGAAGCGGAGCACGCGCGGTTCGGAGGAGACGGCGCCGCCGCGGAATTTGATCTTGAGACGATCGGCGAGGGAGAGTTGGGAGGCCGTTTGCGCGGTGGTTGTGCCGAGCGCGGACGTGGGGCGGTCGGTCGGGTTGGCCCCGGCGGCGGCGGCGGCGGCGGCGACGAGTTGGGCAGGCGCCGCGTTGGCGTCCATGGTTTGCGCGCGGTTCCGGCGGGTGGTGGTGGTGGAGGCCCCGGTGGCGGCTCCCCCGGCTGCCGCTGCTGCGGCACGTTGGGGGAGAAGGGTGGCGAGGGGCACGGAGGCGGTGGCCGTGAGTCCGGCGCCGGCTCCCGAGACTGCGCCGCCGCTTCCGGCTGCCCCGGTGGAAGCCATCTCATGGGCTTGTTGGCCGACCTGGTGGTTTGCCGCCGAGGGCACGCCGGCGAAGGAGCTGGGACGTTCGCGGCCGGCGGAGGGGAGGGCGGGACGCGGGCGGGGACGCACGGCAGGCACGGGTGCGTTGTTTCCGTCTTCTTCCCCGACCGCGTTTGCTTGCGCTGCTTGAGCGTTCGCCGCGTTCTGCGCGTTCTGCATGAGCAGCTCCTTTTTGAGATCGGCGACGGCGACGGGCGTAGAGACCGTCGCGCGACGACGCACCCCCGATCCCGCACTCGACGGCGGGCCGGGCTGTCCTGCGGCGGTACCGGCGCCAGACGGTATTTGCGCCACTGGCGATCCACGGCCGGTTGCGTCTGCACCCGGCTCCGCGGTTCTCGAGCGCTGTCGGTCGCCGGCGGGGGACATAGGGCGTTCGATTCCAATGATACGGCGACCAGCAGGACTTGGAGATGCAGCACGTTGAGCGTCTGCAGCAGCTCCTGCGCCGATTGCGTTGGCAGCTCCACCCGCGCCCGCTTCTTCCACAATAGCGTTCATGTTAGGCGCCTCGGCCAATTTTCGCGACGAGGCCGGGATGTTGGGCAACACGGGCACGTTACTGGTAGTAGGTTTGTTGTTCCCAACCCCGCCGGCCGGGGCGGTACCGACCCGTGCCGCAGCCGTGGCAGCCAAAAACGCCGGCTCGGCCTCTGCAGGTGCTCCGTCCGGACCTGGCGCCTTCTTCCTGAACAACTTATCAGCAATGAGGAAGTAAGTAGCCGCCAGATGGTCGTAAACCCCCTCGTCAACGGATTTGCGCACGGCGGCGCGGTCGAGGCCAATCTCTTCTAGCTCCTCTAGGACGCGGGAAGCTTGTTCCTGGGTAAGCGGCTCGGGTTTTGGGACCTGCGGGGTTGGCTCGTTTTCATGCCCCTCTGTGAACCATTTATCGTCTTTCAACTGTTCCAGTGTGATGCGCTTTGATGGGTCGAGCTGGAGCATTCGCTTGATCAAACGTTCGCAATCTGTATGAGGTGGTAGGAAACGTCGTCAGCATTCACAGATTTGTCAAGGCTCAAGCTCCTCGAAATGTATTCATCCGTTTTCGATTGCAAGATATTTCCGCGCGAAGATCAATGAAAAATGAACATATCCACAGCAGTATCCGCTTATCGCGAAAAGCTTACCGGTAGACATATAAAACGGCACCTTGAATTTCCCAGCGAGTACCCTCGCCCTCAACTTTGCCAAAGTCGATCCATCAAAGGGGAGCGCACCACAAACAAGCACATACAGCACAACCCCCAGCGACCAAATATCGACCTCAGGCCCACTATACTCCTTCCCCTGGAACAACTCCGGGGCCGCATACGGGGGCGATCCACACCACGTGTTGAGTCTCTGCCCCGGCGAAAACTGATTCGAGAACCCAAAATCCGCAATCTTGACATTCATGTTCCCATCCAGCAGCAGATTCTCGGCCTTCAGATCGCGGTGGATGACGTGCAGCGAGTGGCAGTAGTCGATCGCGCCGACGATCTGGCGGAAATGCCGGCGCGCTTCCTTTTCCTTCATCCGCCCGTGCGCGACGAGGTAGTCGAAGATCTCGCCGCCGGACGCGTACTCCATGATGAGGTACAGCTCTTTGGGCGTGTCGATGACCTCGTAGAGACGGACGATGTGAGGGTGGTTGAGCAGTTTCATGATGCGCACCTCGCGGAAGAGCTTTTTGGACGTGGTCTTGTCAAGTTTGGATTTGTCGATGATCTTCACGGCGACCTGAATTCGAGACGGATCGTGGATTTTAGCATCATCGCAGCGCACATCGCAGTCGAAAATTCCTGCTCCATCGCCACATCATTATCTTACAACAGGCCAAAATCCCCCTCACGTAACTCACCTTCTCCCCCGTCAACGTATGAGTCGCCAGTCTCACTTTCGCGAAATTCCCCTCCCCAACATTCTTCTCCAGGTCATAGTACCCAATCGTCGCCGCCTTCGGGCGCGTCATCCGCTCCGCTGTTGCTCGCGCGTATATCGTGTCGCCTTCGCCCGACATGGTGGACGCGATGGTAAATGGCGATATTTGATGCGGGGAGGTGTCTTCTATGAAGTCTTTACGCGATGCCGACAAGTGCTCGTTTTGTATTTCGCCCCGCTACTCTCCGTCGGGTTACTCTATATTCTGGCCGTCTCGACCCCCAAAAACACCCCGTGTGTCCGTTATATGCAGCGCAAGGACGAACAGAACGCCCTACAAGTTCTGCGTCGAAAGGTTGAGCTATTGCGCTGTGTTATGATGGAGGGGGGGGGAATCGGACACTCCTGAAGTGTCCCCAAGTGCTGGCTATTCGTCTCGTCTACACACCCGGGACAAGCGGGTATCCAAAGCGCCGCTGTTGTGCAATGAACGCATAGAGCCCTCAAAGCTGAAGGTTGTTACTGAAAATAGACGGGTTGAAAGGAGCGCGGAGAAAAAGTTAATTCCCTTCACGCAACAGACAAGACCCGGAGGTTGGGAGGAGTGCGCGAGAACGAGACTGGAGTGGCACTGGAACGGAACAATCACTCCACGAGTCGTCGTCGACGGCCGTCTGGCCAGTTCGCTTCAATGCCGGAAAGTCACAGGCGACAAAGACGCGACGGGCCAAGATGAGGAGCATCTCCAAGATGAGCACGTCGGCAAGCAGATGGTACAGGTTCTCGTAGACTCAAAAGGCCCACTAGGTATATATACAAGAACAGATAGAAGAACGAAAACAAAAATCTCACTCGGCATAGGAGTAGACAGCCAACCTCACCCGCCCCCAATCCAAAAGCACTATTCAAAACATACGCGTAGGTGTATACTCCAACCTCACTCAGGCGGAGCCGAAAACGCCAACCGATTCTTCGTCCCCGTCTTTGGGGGCAATCCCTTAATCAGCTTCCTCGACGCCTTCTCCACCACGGCTTTTTTCAGCTCCTCAGCGGTCGCCTTTTCATACTCCTTCCTCGAATAAAACGCAGCCAAAATCCCGGCTACATGCGGCGCGGCCATGGAGGTCCCGGAGATGGTATTGACAGCCGTGCTGGAGCCGATCCAGGTGGAGAGAATCAAGTGGCCGGGCGCAAAGACGTCGGTGCATTCGCCCCAGTTGGAGAACCAGGCCATGGTGTCGAAAGAGGTTGTGGCGCCGACTGTGAGGGCTTTTTGGGAGGAGGCGGGGGAGTAGTGGCAGGCATCTTGGTTGTCGTTGCCGGCCGCGACGGCGAAGAGGACGCCGGCTGTTGAGGCCTGGGAATGTTATGCGAGGTTCATTTTCAGCTTGGTGTGGTCCCCGAGAGAGTACCTCCGGGGATTCGAGTACTCACCGCATCAACAGCCTGGTTAAGCGCCCTCGACAACCCGCCACCCAAGCTCATGTTCCCCAACGACCTCACAATCTTCTTCTTCCGACCCTTCGTGTCCTCACTCTCGGCAATCTTGCTCTTCTTCTGGTGATCCTTGATGACCCACTCGATGCCCCGTACAACGTCAGACATGGTGCCCGAGCCGCTGGAGCGCAGGACTTTGACGCCGACGACGGTGGCTTTCTTGGCGACGCCGTATTTGCGGCTGGCAATCGTGCCGGCGACGTGGGTGCCTAAGCGTATGCGGTGCGGTGTTCACGAGCTTTTCTCGCGTATGTCTACGAAAAGTAGCTCGAATGCTTTTCACTCACCATGCCCATTCCCATCCACATCCTCATCACCGTCGGGGATGGTCGCTCCCCACTTCGCTCGGCCCTCGAATTCTACGGGATGACATGTCCTAGTCAATGGACCTGCGCGACCATCAACGACAAATGAGTCTGCTTACCTTCATGCTTGATATTAATCCCCGTGTCGACAACATACACCGTAACGCCCTTCCCGTCATTCGCGTAATACTCATACACGGACGTCCTGCGTTCACCATGCGATAAGAAATGGCAGATCCATACGGGGATGTGCAGGGTGGTTCCACTCACTCATTATCCTTCGGCAACTCTCTATGCGAGATCCTCGCCAATCCCCTGCATCACGAGAGCCGTAAGTTCACAATTCCCACATAATACCCAACCGCATAGGCTCCAACGGCGTCAACCACCAAAACTCACCAAGGCGCGTCAACCTGAACCGCCTCCTCCACAGCCTTAACCCGCACAACCTGATCCCTCTCCACAAACTCCACCTCCTCCCTCCTTCTCAACTCATCCACAGTCGCCTCGTCGCAGGTGATACTGTAGCCGGTCAATCCCGGGATGGTGAAGGGTGTGATGCGCACCGCGGTCGCGGATGTGAGGGCTTGCGCTGTCACGGTCGCGAGTCTGTGATTTTTCATTCAAAATGAGATGGGTGGGACGATGTGTGAGTTGATTGACTGACATCCTGGCATGATGCGACGATCAGAAAGCTTACCGCTCCATATGCACCCCCCACATCCCCTCCCTGACAACCACAATGTACTTTCCGTCAATGGCCTCCGCGGACGGGTGGGAGATCAGCGGCGCGAGGGTGGGATCATTGCTGCCGAGGACTTGCTGGGCGGGAATGGATGGGGTGGCGAGGATGGCTGGGAGTGCGCCCAGGAAGAGCAGGAGGAGGGAGGCTAGGCGGCGGGTGGGGGCTGGTGGTGGTGACATGTTTGCGTGGATGGGTGTGATGATTCGATGCTGCTCGCGTTGGGGTGAAGGATGACTTGACGGATGAGGAGGCGGTTTTTATATCAGGACGGAGGTCGAGGTGGATGAGCTGCCGACCTTTTGCGTCCACTCTCTCGGGTACTGTATGTATCTCTCCGGATTCTGAAAGCACGCAACAAGACGCAATAGCAATAACAAGGGGGGGATCTGAGGATATCCAAATGGTAATCCGCCGGTTCCCCCTTTCTGACCCCTCGCACAAATGGAAAACTGACCGGAATGTGACAGGTACTTGGACCAGCCCGACTGACACTTTCTCTCGGGGCCCCATCAGAGCGCACAGAGTTGGGTTGGGAAAATGGTAGCAGCGGAGAGTTCATAGAGTTTTGTTACATCTAGATCCACTTGTACAAACCCCCTAATCTACGGCGTCTGTTATTTACAATCCACTTCTTATGTACATCCATTCCAGATTTGCCCAGCCCTAAACATGAGATTCACCGCTTCTTCCCCAACCCCAGGCCCCCACCCGCCAGCCGCATAACCGCCGCCGACGGCCGCACCACCCTCTTCGCTGACCTGAACGTGACGCTAACCCTTGTCTCTTCTCTTGGCATTTTCACAATATTCCCATTCGTAGGATTACCCCCGACCTCCGTCTCATCCCAATTGGCGACATTATTCCCAGCGGCGAGATGTACGGTGTCGACATCAGTCTCGTCGATTCCGTGCAGATGCGACGTGTACGCCTCGTTTGTCATTACTAGCAGACTGTTCGGTGCCAACAGCAGTCTGCATGTCGGTTGCCGTTTCCCCCTATCCCCACCACCCTTCGGATAGAGATCCAAGATACATGACCCGCCCAGCGAGACGGTCGCAATTACCGGGTGGAAGGCAGGGCCGTCTTCGTGGGGCAAGATGCCTTGACCTGGGAGGTATTCGTTAACGAGGCAGTTGTTGGGTTTGTCCTCTTTGGAACCCCAGAGTCCCATCTCACCTGGAAAAGACGAAATGGATGAATGTGAGCCATGGGAGAGCGAACTGATGATGGATGACTGAAACGACACCACTGCTCGCTCCGCTCGCGACAGGGATGCTGGGCTGATGTGTGATCCGCATTCCTGCGTATCGCTTCGCTCGAACTCCGGCCCAGTAGGCCTCGCTAACGCTCGCCTTCTCCTCGCCATCGCTTTCCACGCATCACCCTCCCTCTCAGTCAACAACTCACCCAATTTCTCCCTCACGCCATCAATGAGTTTGGGAAAATCATCCACAAAAACCGCCGGTTTGTCTCCCTCCCCACCCACTCTCGCCCCGTAAGTCTGTAATCTGCGGTTTTTCAGCTTTGTCCATTTCGGTAATGGAGCGGTATTTATTTCATGTAAGAGTTGTGCTGCAGTTGGAAGAGTGGCATAGGAGAGCCGTGTTGGGTGCGTTGGGGAGTCTGAGTGTGCTGTGGGTATAAAGTTTGGTATGTAGTAGATAGTTGGAGGTGCGTTGGGTAGGTGGTAGGGTGCGAGGGTTGGGTATGGGAGCTGTTGTGTTGATATCGTCGGTGGAGGTGGTGGCAACAAGTCCTCCTCTGCTGCTCGTTTCGAGTTTCGTAGGTCTTCCGAGGCGATGGAAGAGTCTACCGTGTCTAGTGATACGTGTGCTGCCGAGAGCATCTTGTCTTGGGAATGACTTGACTGGAAAGGACGACCGACTTTCGGCACCCTGACCGACGAACAAGAGAAGGGAGGTGTGCTGGAAGCGTGGAGCGTATAGTAGATAGTGGAGTGATAGACGGCGGGAATATGGAGTTGTCCATGAGGCGAGGAACCGAGCGAACTAGAAGGGAAAAAAAGAACACCAGGAAAACGGAGGGGGAGATCTGACGCGTCACGAGAAACATGAGAACACGGGGGCGGTAGGAGTCCACATGAGAACACCTTCCGGAAGAACTTTATGCAAATGGGGGAGCGAGTGCATCGGCGATAACCCTAACCGCATCCTTCTTCCCTCTCGCGGCTCATCAGAGAGAGAGACGGAGAGAGACCGCGTGAGAGAGACGAGGAAGAATTTCCCACGCCCTCTCGTTCGTTTGCACAAAGGCAAGCGCATTTCGCTGATTCCCTCAACGACACAGGCAGCTGCACAAACATATACACACACGCAGTCATGTTCCGTCTCGCTGCTAGGTCCGCTCACAAGCCTCTGGTACGTATGCTCGTTCTGGCCGTGGTGGTTGTCGGCAGCTAGCTACCCCCCCACTTCGGGGCGCCCTCACCTTCACCCGGAATCTTCCGCGTGGGAAAATCGCCACGACAGCGGCAAGGGGCACACAGATTGGGTCTTACTCGCATACTAACGTACACTCTCTTCTCCTGCTCCCTCGCGCACACAGAGCAGGACACTTTCTCCAGGTACGAAAATTCCTGCCTTGTTTCTGTGTGGAATCCCTTCGATTATCCGCCAGCCCTCGATCAGGGGAATGGACCCAAAAGGGGTTCCTCATACGCCATGGAAATACGTCTTTCACCATGTGGAGGGTCGCTGGAAGCATTGAGCTGTAGGCTCCAGAAATGCTTGACGTTTGAGGATCGCGCAGGAATGCGACAGCGAACAATAATGATTCGTCTCCCATTCTGTTCTCACGTTCTCTCCTACTTTATATCTAGCATGCACAAGGAGCTTCCATGCATCTTCGGCTGCTCGCAAACTCGCCGGTTCCCAACCGCTGCGTGCAACCGCCGCTGACGTATGTTCCACTCTCTTCTCACTTGTCCCTCCCCTCCTCAAATAACAACCCTTTCTACCCCAATTAGACCCCCCTATCAAGCGCCTACCCAATCATCGACCACACCTACGACGCCATCGTAGTTGGTGCAGGCGGCGCAGGTCTTCGTGCCGCTTTCGGTCTCGCAAAGGAGGGACTCAAGACCGCTTGCATTACTAAGTTGTTTCCTACGAGGAGTCATACCGTTGCGGCCCAAGGGGGGATCAATGCGGCGCTTGGGAATATGAGTGAGGATGATTGGAGATGGCATATGTATGATACCGTGAAGGGGAGTGATTGGTTGGGTGAGTATTCCTCGAGCGGAGAGAGTGCGAGCGAAGGGAGTCCAGTGTAATACCGAGCGATGCGAGCCTACTGTCATTCTGCACTCCCGCGCGGACCCTCTGTAATACGGAGCGGCAACGTGGATAAACGACAGTCAGTGCGAGCGAAGCGAGTTTCGCGCCAAAGGCCCAACGACTTGCACGTGATAACGAGCATACGCGGTCTTCATCCACCGCCCAACATCCTCGTCGCGAGCGGAGTGAGCAGGATATCGTTTCATCCATCAATCGTCATCAACTATTATCCAATCCGTCGACGCATCTTACTCACCAACACCCCTCTAACTACCCACAGGCGACCAAGATGCGATCCACTACATGTGTCGCGAAGCCCCTCAGAGCGTGATCGAGCTAGAGCACTACGGCGTGCCCTTCTCGCGTACGGAGGAGGGCAAGATCTACCAGCGCGCGTTCGGCGGACAGAGCTTGAAATTTGGTAAAGGCGGGCAGGCGCACCGATGTGCTGCTGTCGCCGATCGTACGGGACACTCGATCCTCCACACGCTCTATGGACAGTCGTTGCGGTATGATACGACTTATTTCATTGAGTACTTTGCGTTGGATTTGATCATGGAGAATGGTGAGTCGAGGGAGTCGCATCAGGCAGAAGATCCTTGTATTCTTACCAAATCGCTCTCTCCTCTCCCATCACAGGTGAATGCCGAGGTGTCATTGCTCTCTGCATGGAGGACGGCACGTTGCACCGTTTCCGCGCCCACCAGACCGTGCTGGCCACCGGTGGTTACGGACGTGCCTACTTCTCCTGCACGTCTGCCCACACTTGCACTGGTGACGGAAACGCCATGGTGACCCGTGCCGGCCTGCCTCTGCAGGACTTGGAGTTTGTACAATTCCACCCTACCGGTATCTACGGAGCAGGTTGTTTGATCACCGAAGGTTCCCGTGGAGAGGGAGGTTACCTGCTCAATTCCGAGGGTGAGCGTTTCATGGAGCGTTACGCACCCACGGCAAAGGACCTCGCTTCCCGCGACGTCGTCAGTCGATCCATGACGGTCGAGATCCGCGAGGGCCGCGGTGTGGGACCCGAGAAGGACCACATCTACCTGCAGCTCAGCCACTTGCCCAAGGAAGTCCTTGCCGAGCGTCTGCCCGGTATCTCCGAGACGGCCGCGATCTTCGCCGGTGTCGACGTGACCAAGGAGCCCATCCCCGTCCTACCCACCGTCCACTACAACATGGGCGGTATCCCTACTAACTACATCGGCCAGGTCATCGACCCCAAGGACGGCAAAGACAACATCGTCCCCGGCCTCTACGCCGCGGGCGAAGCCGCCTGCGTGTCCGTGCACGGCGCCAACCGTCTCGGGGCCAACTCCCTGCTCGACATTGTCGTGTTTGGCCGTGCGTGCGCCCTGCACATTGCCGAGAACCTGAAACCCAACACGCCGCACCGCCCGCTGCCCAAGGACGCTGGGGCCGAGACGATTGCGAACCTCGACCGCGTGCGATATGCGAACGGGGCTAACCCGACTTCCGCGGTGCGTTTGCAGATGCAGAAGGTGATGCAGAGCGATGCGGCTGTTTTCAGGACGCAGAGTTCGTTGGAGGAGGGTGTGAAGAGGATCGATGAGGTTGCCTTGAAGCTGAATGATCTCAAAACCACCGACCGTGGTCTCATCTGGTATGTCCCCATTCCATTCACATAAAAGTTCCCCTATCCGATTTAACATTTCGTACGTATTGTGCACAGGAACACGGACCTCATCGAAACGCTCGAACTCCAAAACCTCATGGCCAACGCCACACAAACCATGTACTCTGCGGAAGCACGCAAAGAGTCCCGTGGGGCGCACGCGCGCGAGGATTTCACGGAGCGCGACGACAAGGAGTGGATGAAGCATACGCTGTCGTGGTGGGACCACAAGACCCATAAGACGCGGTTGGCGTATCGGAAGACGATCACGCATACGTTGGATGAGAATGAGGTTAAGCCTGTGCCGCCTGTTAAGCGGGTGTACTAGATTGCGTACTGTCCTTCTTTCCGCCCCACATTCTTCTGTACGGTTTGAAACGTTTGCTTTGTGAAACGTTGGGGGGGGGGGGGGGGTATTCCTCGTTCCTTTTCCACCTCTTTGATGCGAATAAAATGAGTGCATGATACAATTGAGACCAGTGGTTACCCACATGGGATAGAAGCACGTTTTGCATGGACAGGAAGGCCCAGCTGCAGGAGGTTTTGTACGGTAGATTGTGCCTACATGGGATGGATGGAGGGCGTGGTGTGTGTGCGCGTTCGCCTGAATGCCGTGCTGCTCGTGCTGCGTCTGGCGCGTCTATCTGGGCGCTACCAAGCCGTATCTCGCTCTCCAAGAGTATCTCGTTGGCCTTGTCCCACACCTGGCGCGCAGCCGCCTCAGCTTTGCCGGAGTTGTTTTTTGGGCGTTTAGAAGCTTTTTCAGTCGCTCTCAAAACGCGAAGCAGAGCACGGGACTTTTGGAAGCGGGTCATTTTTGTCCCTTGTTGGGCGTCAAGGTCATCGTTGACAGTGGATGCGACCTCGCGCCCAGGGCTTGATCCCAGGAATGTGATGGGGCTCTTCGGTTCCCTCCCCCAGCACCGGGCGACGATAACCTTCAGAAAGGGTCGATGGGTGTCGTCCATGGCTCCAGTCTCGTCGACGGAAAGGCGTCAAGCCCGTCCGCACACCCTCGGGAAAGGATTGGCGCCGTCGGTAAAAGTCAGAGAAACTCGCAAAGGGGGCTTTCAATGCTGCTGCGTGAAAGCGTTTTTCGTTCAGTGCCTGCGGACGGAAGTCGCCGAGAGTTGTCCGGAAACGGGCTTCCAACGGTACAGTGGTTGGGGATTTGCTTTTGTAGACGGGTGGTGAACGGGAACTGTTGGGGGCTCATGGGCGCATTGTCATGGTCCAGCGCGCTGTTGGAAGACGGCTAGCCTGACCGCTCGCTCTCCGAAACCCTTCAGCTCCATCTCGCTGTTCGCGCCGGTTGGGCTCGTCTCCCGGTTGATGGCGCTGGGGCAACCGTTCCTCCTCCAATTGCGAAAGGATAGCACTTGATAGCGATTCTTGTTGAGTATCCGCTTGCGCATCGCTGCTGATGGCGGCTTTCCAAAGGACTTTCCGACGCTCTCCCATGCTTCATCCAGGGTCGCTGCGCCCAGCATATACACCCCTTGGGTTCGTCGACATCGAAACCCTGTTCACCCGTTGGGTAGGATGGTGTTGTCACCGGTAATTAGCTTTCATACTGGACAGAGTTGCTCGCAGTGTCCTTGTTGGATATCACCATTGGGGTTCCGAATAGACTTTTGGCTTCACGGGTCTTCTTTCAGACGGGGCGTGGTCCTTGTCGCGAGGCTTTTTGGTTCGTGCGCTGATTGCGTTGCTTGTTGCGGCTGGCACGGGGCTGAGCCTCCGCTGCATCGCATGCTTGCTTTCGCGGGGGCGCTTGGTCTTCATCGACTTTTGCCTTCATCGTCGATCCGGCGGCCTTTCTCGTCGCGCGCGGTTCGCCCGTTTTCGTCCAACTGTTGACAGAGAAAAGTGTACCGTTAGTTACAATGAACGGAGACAGCATGGGAAGACGTCCGGGGGACAGTAGTGTGTCGTTACGATGTAGCTGCGGAGCACACTATACCTCGTTTCCGTAACTCGTCGATAGCCCACGTTGTTCTCATCAACCAACTCGCGCGTTCTCGTTCACAGACTGGGCCTTCATCGTTTGAACTCGTTTCCAAACTGATCAACCGCCTTCTCCAAACTCCGTTAACGAGGGAGGTCCCCGGCGCACACCGCGCATCTCTCTTGAACAGCCGCGCGAGAAACCGATCGGTTGAACAAGCGCGCCCAAGGAGGATCGCTTCGTCTTTCCTCCACAGGCAGCTGCCGGATGCTGCCGCTGCTGTGGCGAGTGCCTTTTTCTGTTTTGCGGTACGGGCCTGGGTTTTGCCCGTCAAAGCCTTTTACCGTGTCGTCAAGGCTGGAACCGGGTCTTGCAAGACATTTGCCTTCTTTTCGTTGCCCCGAAGGTCTGTCACGGCTGCCTTGACTCGCTTGCGCAAGTGGGTCGCTTCTAAGGCCCGTGCGGGGTCCTTTGCTGTCGTATACATCTTTGAGTTTTTCGATCATTCGCCCCTCATCTGCTGCCTAAGCATCGGGCCCCCCAACACTTTCCAGTTCCGGGACGATCTTCAACGCCTTGCACGATGGCGTCAAACACGGTGCTAATGTTATCGACGGAGTTGGCCCATCTTGTCACTGATTTTCTCCAGGTAGTAATCCAGTCCCAATGCCCAATCCCGCGTAAGAACGAAGACTTGTGGATTCCAGACCCTAGGCGGCATCGGCCCGGGGGGTTTTTTTTCATGCCCAAAGAGGGACTCCCGTTCGATACTCGCATAGCGGTGGCTGATTACCATGTTTTGGCAGGTCCTAAATCGCTCATGCAAGACCGTGTGAGAAGAAGCGCAATCATTGTGGACGCGATGCGGATTTCATCTGGTGTCCTTCCATCTTACCACCATCTTCTTCTCCAAGGTGAAACAGCCGCCGGAGGCGCGTTTTCGTCGCTCGAATAGAACACCGACATGAGGGGGGGGAAAAGGAATGTGTAAGAGGAATGAGACACGATTGAAGTGAGAGAGCACCAAACAAACAAACGGTCAGGTGAAGCAAGGGAAGGTATTGGAACACTGGCGCAGGTGACTGAAGGTTGCTTGCACATGCTGTCTGTGCAAGCCGGCTCCAAGCCGGCCACGTCCAATGTCCGCTTTTCGCTGGAGGCTTGCGCCCTTCCAAACGCCATACACATGGAGCACTATGACCCAAACCTTAATAAAGGGATTACCGGGCTTCGCACAACACCAAACTATTTTGGTACCCTTGTTGACGCGCCCCTGCATACGCATGGATAAGGATGAAGGTATGGAAAGACTGGCGCAGGTGACTTGAAGGTTGCTTGCACACGCTGTGCAAGCCGGCTCCAAGCCGGCCACGTCCAATGTCATCTTATCGTTGTCGGGGCTTCCCCCCTCTCAACGCCATACACATCAAGCACTATGACCCAAACCTTAACAAAGGAATTACCGGGCTTCGCACAACGCCGCTGTCTTTGGGTACAGCGGCACCCTCATCGCGAAATGCACGAAGCGTCAAGACCCTCAGGTAGTGAAGCGCGACTTACCAGCGATCTGTCAAGTTCTCGTTTCCGATCCATTGGTTGGTGCGAGATGTCACACTGGCCAATGACGTTTCAAGTTGTATAGGTAGCCGCTCTCCGCTGACTTGTGCAAATTCGACCAGCTTATGAGCTGAGCGTGGTGCCACTGGCCCCGATGGAGCTGCAGCAGCTGCGTGTTGCCGGGTGGGGACGAGTGGGAAGAGTGAGTGAGGTCTGGGAATAATGGGCCGTTTGGGGCCGGTTGTGAGTGAGACGGGACGATTACGTTCCCCGCAGCCGCCCACCGAACGCGTGCGCGACGCTTTGAAGTTTGCACGTCCGTCAGTCAGTACCCTTTCTGATAAACGTACACCCGCAACACAGGCGTTGCTGATGCGGATGTTACCTTGCTTGCAGGGCACGAAACACACCATCGAATCGGACATGTTGTTCTACAGCATTGCAGAGCTACGTATACAATCCCCAACCCGGTCGTAGACGGCGACACTCCACACAAGCCCAAAATGCCATCCCTTGATATCGAAAACATGCGATCCAATGTCTTGCTTGCGTTGTCCCATCGCAACGAAAAGGACCTGCCAGCATCCGTATTCGCCGAGTTTATTCACAATCAAACTCAGCAACAAAAGGTTGCTAGTCTCAAAGCTTTCCCTCATACCTATGAAGCCTTGAAAAGTGCTATACAGCAACAGGACTACAGCAGCTGGCCCGGCCATGTTTGGGCTCACAATCTCCCGCCATCTGCGGGCCCACAGGAACTTGCGCTTTGGCAGGTGTTTCGATACGCGCTTACGGATTTGCACCAGAAACTGGATGTACCGCACAGTAACTCAACCACGAATGAACGAACAGAGTGGATCAGACGGGTCATACCGTTCCTCGAAGCGGTGCACTGCAATACCACACTGCTGCGTATCGTTTGGTGCGAGTATCCCGCCTGGGGTTCACAGGCCGCATTGTTAAGTGAAAGGAACTATCAAGCTAAACGGCCAAAAATGTGGGTTGGCATGGGTCTGGACCCGGGCTCCAATTCTGAATTGATGATTATGGAAGTAAGTGCTGGTTGCGTGGCAGTGTTCAGTTTCTCAATACTTAGGCAACATTCTTCTCAGGCTAGCTCAAACTCGAGAACGAAGGAAAATGCCACGCATTCAATTGACGACTCTGCCAAAATCATCGAGCTATGTACGAATGCTCTAAAGCTTGAACTACTGAAGCACAAAGAAGCGGCGTACACAACAGTGAATAAGAAGTGCGTACTCGGATTCCACTTTATTGTGGATAGGATAACGTTAACAATGACCACACTGGAGGATCGGCGATGGAAAGTAGTGCAACTACGCAGTGCTGAGATTCCGATGAGGTGGCGCGAACGGAGCAAGGTGCTCCAGGTATGCGAATTGGTGGCTGCAGCATATTCAACGCTGCTAGAGCAGCAGGAGCTTATGGAACGCATTTGCGAAGAGGAGAGCGGTGCAATTGAAGTGCCAGAGGAGGAAAGAGCACGCCAGGTCCTCAAAAAACTGTCAATCACCGCCTGCGAACCATGAATGCGAAGGGTACGGAATCATCATAATACATCACCTACACACCGGCCTGCTTCTTGGCATGCTTCACTCGCGCAACATCTCCCGCTCGCCCGTCGACATTCCGGCCATCACATCCTGTCCTCATGCCCCTATCCCACTTAGTCAACAAATTTGACGGATAAGCTCGTACTACCGAAATTTTCTGAACGTTGCTGAGCGATTAAATGCCGTCGGAGAAGATTGTGAGCCTCGTGAAGGGGGAGGCGTTTTGGCAAGTGACTGTGATATAAAGAAGCGTAGATTCACGGCGTTGGGCTAGTAGCAGGTTTTGTTGCGTAATATGGAGCGGCCTGAACGTGCTTCGCAGCGCAATTTGTATCAAAATATATGGCGGGTCACAGAGGCCATCATAAGTAACATTGGGATCAGGGTGAGGTCAGAGGTCCACGGAACCCAGCGGGAAAATCAAAGCGATTGAATTTATGTGTACATTCCGTACCAATTGGATCTGAAGGGCATTAAGGTACGATGTTGCCCAGGATGAAAAGATTCCCCTCGAATTAGGTATGAGGAACATATAAGAGGAGCTGTACGGCACTTAAGGACATCAACAGCGTACGGAGCGTGCGATAATTTCAAAGTACGTCGAAGAAGCCTGTTCCGGTCGAAAGCTCGGAGACGAGACACGACCTGTCGTCTTTCGAATGGAAGGAGCCCAACTAGAAGTTAACACCGGAGGCACAATGGATGACTTCCTCTATCGGCATATCTCACATCCGACCGCATGTACTTAACGGACGCAACAAGGGATTGTCGCATATGAAATCGACACCGGCCAAATCTTATCACGATTTGACCTAGGCTCGATGGGCTATGGTATGTGGCCCAACTTTATTGTGCAAGGGACTTCGCTTCATCTACCAGGGTGATGATTTCTGACATCGTGTCCTCGTCGACCATCCAATTCGCTGCCCTGGCAGACGAGGACCCTTCTCCCACGTTTGAAACCGAGAATTCGACCAACGCAGAAGATCAGAAGGGATGTCCAGACGTTGTTGAGCGTGCCTCCGCAACAACGAAAGAAGGCTTGGGGCCATCGAGTAACCAAGCCCATGTTTCTACAGTGGAGGAAGCCCCGATACTGCAAGATAACCCGACGGAAATGACCAACACGTTCTATGTCGAGATGATCAGGGCAAATTGGGATGGGTAGTTTCATTTGGAAGCTAGTATTGGGAGGCGACAATTAGAAAGAGTGGCAATGGCCGGTGTTGAGCTTCAAACCCTAGGGACGGACTCGCAGTGTGCTTAGTGCACACATACATCCAGTGTTTATGATCCAGATTTCTTCATGTACAATTATGTGACTGTCGTCAGTCCCGATGGTGGCGTCCGAATCGTTTAGCATCCGGGGAATATTTTCCCCCCAACGGAAGGGCACAATGCCAAATCGTTGGGAAGCAAGTTGTGGTTGAGTGGTTTAGTGGGCTACATGGATCAATGAAGGCACAGGTCATCGCTAGTGTGTCTGGCTCCGTCTGCAAAGCGGTGAGAATCCGTGGGGTGTGCGCGTCTATTATCTGGGCGCCATCCCAACTCATCCACCGCCGCCCCCCCCCCCCCCCCCCAACCCACATATAAACCCCATCGACCGACCAGCACCTACCTCTCGCTCAAGACACCCTACGCTACACTCGCAAAACCCCCTCTCGAGTGGCCCCCAACATGGAAGCACGAACGTTCGAGTATAAGATCGCCGACGGCGCCCCCATCTTGGCGGACGTGCACTGGAAGGCGAAGGACAGCAGTGACAATATTGAGGAACCGGTGAATGGTCGCCCGGTCGCTGTGGTGTTCCACCAAGGTACGGAATAAGAAGGGACGACGTATCCTCTAGCGCAGGTTTCAGGGCGATGCAGAATTCAAACCCCGCTTTCGGTCCCCTTCCCCAGGCGGCTTCATCCTAGGCTCCAAGAACCTGATCCCCAAAGCACAAATCCGCTCGCTCACAAACCTCGGCTTCGTGGTCGTGGTCGCCAATTACCGCCTCTGCCCACAGGTCAGCGTCTACGACGGCCCGTTCGAAGACGCCAAAGACGCGCTTGAATGGATTCGAAACGACGTCAACCGCCTGCTTTCTGAGAACTCGGAGCGAGCACCCACAGTCGACCCCACCCGCGTGGTCTCGATCGGCTACTCCGCCGGCGGCACCCTCGCCCTCCTCCTCGGTACCCTCGCGCACCCCGTCCGTGCCGTGCTCGATTTCTACGGCGGGAAAGTGTTCACCGACCCCTCCTGGACCCAACCCCTCCCCGGGTTCCTCAAACGCCCCCCACCCGACGAAGCCTACGCCAAGAAGGTGTTTGCCGAACCCACCATCTCGGCTACCGAGGTGATCCCGGGGAGCACGGCGCCGCCCACCCCGCGCGCCAGCTGGATGACGCTTACGGCCCAGCGAGGCACGTGGTTGCGTGAGGTGGTCAAGGACGGGAAGTATGACCGGGTCGACCCTGTCGCGTTGGCCACTGCGGCGGCGGCGGAGGGCAAGACGTTCCCACCCACGTTCATCATCCACGGCACCGCGGACGAATACCTCCCGTACCATCTGAGCGTGATCGCGAAAGAGAAGTTAGAGGCGCTGGGAGTCGATGTGACGTTGGTGCCTGTGGAGGGCAAAGATCATCTGTTTGATTTGGTGCTGACGGAGGAGGATGAGTTGTATAGGGAGACGATCGCGAAGGGGTTTGAGTTCCTTGCTAAGCGGGTGTAGGGACGTGGTGGGGCGTATCTACGTATGTGTAGCACATTCAACTTTGTCTGAGACGTTTTCGTAGAGTTTGTAGATTCCATAGCAGTCTCAAGTCGTAACCTTTCTTCTACGCATTTCCCTTGTACAAAGAGCAACAAATATAGCTCTAACCTGAGCGGATTCCCACGACTGACAGCAGCCCGTCAAAACGCCGCTCTGACGCGTTAGAATGCTCTCCGCTTCACATATGCGAATTTCCCAACCCCTTGCCCATCCCTCCTGCTTTTCCCCTTCCGCAGAAACACTTTCTGACCTTCTCGCGTTTGCCCCATTCTTCCCTCGAGCCCATTGTACCGTATGAGTGAATGTGCGTGTAGTCAAATCATTTGCAACGGGCATTGAGGGTTTGTGGAGAGTGTGTGATGGTGATTAATCGTGAGGGGATCGGAAAGTTTCTCTCCACATTTTGCAGGCAGCAGGACACACGGTCTTCCTTCCATGCACAGGGGGAGTACAGGTGGCGTTTGGCTGCGATGGGGTGTGGAGAGAAACCTGCGGGCCTTGACGTTTGTCAAATGCATGCGTCGGGGTTGGGATAAAAAGCGCGCGGAGGGCTGTTTACTCTCTCCTGCCGGCGTTGACGCGCGGGTTGTTTTGACGCGCCCACCGTTTACGACCCCCTTCTCTGTTTGCCGCTTCTCTCTCTTGACTTTTCGCTCTGGGCGGGAGAAACACTGCACTGCCGCATTTTAATCAGAAGCGGGGTTTGAGAGAAGTTGCTCTCCTGCATATCCGCCCGCCCGCCCCAGCCGTTACACATCTGGATCTCGTCGTATCGACGGTATCCCGACATCATGCGCGTCCTCCCTACATCCAACATCCCGCTGCCCGCGTCGGCCGCTGCGAAACCGGCGCCGGTCCGCTCGGGTCCCGCCACATCTGCGTTAGAGACAAAGCCCGTGGCTTCCGGGCCGACACCAGCGAGATCCAAACCCTCCCTATTACAGCAACCCAATACACCGCACGCCCCAAAACCACCACCCCGCCGCCGCCGCCTACCCCCCGAACTCATCACCCAAATCCTCCTCCTCGCCGCCGACCCGCTCGGCAACTCCACCTCCACAACCCAAGGCAACCCAACCCTCTACGCCTTCATGCAATGTTCCCGCGCTTTCTTCGATCTCGCTGCACCTGTCTTGTGGAAAGCGCCCAGGATCGGGACGAGGGTGGGCAGGGGGGCTTGGAGGGGGTTTGTGGACACTGTCGCGGGGGTGGGGAGGGGCGGGCGGAGGGGGGCGCGGGGATATGGGAGCCGCAGCACGTATGCGGAGTACGCGGCGTGGATCGAGGTTGTGGAGGATGTGTGGTTGGTGGTTGGGGCGAGCGATTTGGAGAGCGGGGACGAAGGTGAACCGACGGATGATGGACATACGAATGCAGATACAGATGCATCCCCGACGACACCCGCACCGACGTCCAAACGCGATTCGGGAATCTCGCTCCTCGCCCCTGCCCGGAAACCAACGCATGCGTACACCCTCGCGGCGGCACTCACCCTCCTCCTCCAGCGCGCCGCGAACCTCAAGACCTTGCGACTGCACATGCACAGCGATATACCCGCGGGGCTACCGTGGAGTGGCGTGTTTTGTCGGGAGGCCGGGGGTGGGTTGCGGGAGTTGGAGGTGTTTATGAGGGTGGATGATGGGTTGTTGGGGAGGATGTTGAGTGTCGGGGATGATACGTCACACCCAACGGAACGGACAAGGGGGAAAGGAACGCCACGGCCGAACGCACCCGCACTGCAGACGCTCATCCTCCACCACTCCACCCTCACTGCCCCCTCGCTGAACCATCTGCACACCCACGCCCCGCATCTCACGCATCTCACGCTAAGATACCGCCCGCCCCCCGCCCACCGCCGCGCACTCCGCTACCCATCCGACACGCACGGCTTCCTCCCACCCGCCACGATGCGCACTCTCAGCGCGGACTTCAAGGGTCTCAAGACCTGCGTGGTGGGACCCTGGGCGGCCGGGATGCGTGTGGGCGATTTGGCCGGTCTGCCGGCCGGTGTCCGGACATTATCAGTCACCATCGGGGCCGGTGAAGACACCGACGGCGACGACGACAACCCGCACCCAACCCACTCCCCACATCGCCCCCTCACCCTCCCCCACCTGACGACCGCGATCCTCCCCACCCTGCCCAACCTCCACACCCTCCACCTCACCTTCCCCCCACCCACCCCGGTCTTCCCCACCTCCACGTTCCTCTCCGAACGCGCCCTCCTGCGCATCCCCGCCCACGCCCCTGCCCTAAGGCTCGTCACACTTGACATCCCGCACGGCGCCAATGCGCACAACCCCGTGGTGTTCTTTTTGAGAGATTCGGCAGAGGACGGGGGAGTCACGGGGATGAGGGAGGTGTATGGCGTCGAGAGTGAGGGCGGGAGCTTTGCGGTGGATGAGTTTAGGATGCGGTGGGGAGCGAGGTGGGGGAGGCGGGAGAGGTGGGTTGGCGGCAAGGGAGGGGGGAGGACGGACGGGTGTGAGTTGAGGATTGGGGGGTGAGGGAGCGGTGAGATGAAGGATGGGTGGCTCTTGAGCTCGGTCCTCATCTGTTTGTTATCTTTTGATTCTTGTATCCCTCTTATTGGCAAAGGCTTTATCAATCTCCTTCTCTTCAAAGATCTCCGTTTCTGGCGAATGAACTCCACCTCGGGTTCGGTGTCGAACTCCTCATATGTGGGGATGAACGCGGGCCTGCGGGTTGCAGTGCTCATGTTGAAGTTGTTCTTGTCCCCATCATTCTCAACGGCGCTGTCATAGGTCTCTGCCCCAGCTTGACGCTTCCCCTGCCCAGTCCCAGCGCTACGCTGCCCCCCGCGGCGGACAGCAGAAGTGGTGCTCCGGCTACCGATCGTGCGTAAGCTGCTACGACCCCGGCTGGCCCCACTGCTGCTCCCGCTGGCTCCCCCCGCCGCTCCTCCGCTGCTCCCACTGCTGCTGCCGCTACCGCCACTGCTGCTGTATTTTTTGGCCATCGTGACGGTAGAATGGTCAAGTGTTGTGGGTACCGATCTGGGCGTGTGCCTTTTGCGTGCGTGCTAGAGAAGATGTCGGTTGAGAACCACTCTAGCAGAACAACCTGATTCAACCACAGTGGCTGCGTTGAGGTCAGAAACGTGGGAAGGAAGGGGAAGAAAGGCACAGCACGGTGGCCGGCACTGGCCGCCGCGCGTCTACAGTGCTTCTAGGACGGGTTGGCTCTGGCAAACTTCACGGACTTGGAGCCTTCTTTTCCTTTTGAAGCCTCCAAACTCATTCCACTGAAGACTGTCGATATTCATCATGGGGGACGACGAAGCAGCCAAACAAGACGACTTCATCGCTTTCGACATGGACGAAGAGCTCGTCGATCAGCTCGACGGGCCAGTCCCAACCTCCTCAGTAGCAGCCCACGGCGCCGGCACAGGTTCAAGAACGCCCGCCGCCCGACAGCAATACAACACCCACTCCCGCGGCGAAACAGGCGGTCCCGCCAACCGCCGAGGCCCCCACAACGACCCGCGCAATGTCCATTCCGAGCCGCGATTCAGGAAACCAGAGATAAAAAGCCTCGACGTGTTGACGCCGTTACCCATCCCGCCTTGGCAACCGAAAGACAGGAAATATTCAAAGAACTTGTTGAAGATGCTGCATGAGGAGATTGACGATTATATCTCGTACTTGATCCCCACCGAAGCTGAGCATGCTATGCGAAGGCTGACGATCGACCGCATTACGAATGTGGTACATACTGTACGGCCAAAGGCGGATGTGCGCGTTTTTGGGAGTTTCGAGACCAAACTGTATTTACCTTCTAGGTACGGGCGAATTCCCTTGTGTATGACAAAGATGTTGATCGAAGCCAATTCATCTTACACCCGCGCGCAGTGATGTGGACGTGGTGATATTAGATAAGACGATGCATCTCCCACCAATACGGCAAGTAGAGGAGGCCATCCGAAAAGCAGGAATTGCGTCAAAGATCGAATGCATAACAGGCGCCAAGGTACCGAGGCAGGAGTTCGCATAGTCCCCTAACCCTCTTTTCCACCGAAAACGCGCGACAATCGCTCAAACCCCCCCCCCCCCCCCCCCCCAGGTCCCCATCATCAAGATAATAGACTCCATAACAGGCTACCCCGCCGACATCAGCTTCAACGTTGCCGCCGGCGTGCACGCCGCCGAGATCGTCAAAACCTTCCTGGACGATCCGCGGTGCGGTGAAGGATTACGGCCGCTGCTGCTGATCATGAAGCAGTTCCTGTTGCAACGGAACCTGAATGAGGTTTTTACCGGTGGGATGGGGAGTTACACGCTGATGAGCATCATTGCGGCGTTTTTGAGGGTATGGGCCGGGGATTCAGATGTCGGTGAGGGTGCGGAAGGGAGGAGCTGATATGTCATGTTGGAATTACGCAGATGCATCCGAGACTGCAGACGGGACAAATACAGGCGAAAGATAACCTAGGAGTGCTGCTGATAGAGCTGTTGGAGTTTTATGGAGTCAACTTCAACTATGAGGTGGTGGGGATCGCGATGGATATGGAAGGAGTGTGGTATTTCCCCAAGGTGAGGTTCGGAGATTGAATGCGGGCGCATGGTCATGGGACGGTTTCGATTGACAAGCTTGCTTTGGTTTTTTTAGTCAGCGATATCCCCGCCAAATGTATGCCCATTACAACGCGGACCGCCCCGGTACGACGCCCTGTGCGTGATAGATCCGCAAGACCAAAGTAAGCCCAAAGTCACCCCCAAACCACCCTCTGCTCTACTCCAAAACCTAACCAAAAAACACCCTCTCCCACCCCCCCCCCCCCCCCGGCGCCACAGCCAACGAAATAGCCGGCGCAACAAAAGGCTGGCGAATCATCCGCTCCGAATTCGCACGCGCCGCCCAACTCCTCATCGCCATGCTCGGCGCCGGGTACCAACACCCATCCCGCTCCACGCACGTCACCACCCTCCTCGGCAGCATCCTCACGGTCCGCAGGGAGACGATCGAGCATAGGGAGAGCGTGCAGGAGAAGTGGGAGGAGATTAGGGGGAGAGTTGGGGAGTATACCCTCGGTGTCGAGTCAGATTTTACAGCGAGGAATGGGAATGGGAATGGTGCGGCATCATCATCATCGTCATCGCCCGGCAAACAACAACAACAACAACAACAACAACAACACCACCACCAACGACCCAACAGCGCAACGAAACGTAAACGCGGCTACGATAAATTCGACTCATCCGCTGACGACGAACATATCTATGTTTCGGGGACAAGTGAAGACGAAGCCGGTGGTGGTGGGGGTGGGAAAGAGAGAGGTAGCGACGCGGAATCGGATCAGGATTATCTGAATGAATTGGCTGGGAAAGGAAGCGCTGGTGGGACAGGGAGGAGGGGGAGAGGTGGTGGGCATAACGGGGCCCAGGGGAGGGTAGTGCATGTTGCAAAGAGGGGGAGGAGGGGGCGGTGATGGGCACGTTTTTTTTCTGCGATGTGGTTGAGTTTCACACAACAACATTGGATCCTTACCCCCCATGTGCACAACGGACGGTCCTCAAATAGTGCACTCTCTGTCATTCTCTCCGCTCGCTCTATTGGACGCTCCCAGCTTCCGTTGGGGTACTGTGACAGGCAAAAAAGGAGGTCCGCTGTCTACTGTATACTGTGTATGTATGTATGTCTAGTTCTGCGGCTCAACGCAGAAGAAAGAGAACAGCGCCCCGCCGGAAGGGACGGAAGCTGGCCGGAAGGGTGCGCTGCCCTCCCATTGCAAGCAGGGAAGCATATTCCTGCAGGCCGTCCAAAAAACAAAACAGAACACAAAGTCCACGAACAACCCATCACCCCCTCCCCCCGCACCCCCTCCAACCATCCCGGCAACCCCACCGCAGTCAAACCGCCTCACAAAACGCACCGACCGCCGGCTCTACACCAACTCCCTCCCCCTCATCCTCCCCCTACGTCTCACGATTCACTTTCCTCACCACCCTCTTTGCCACCTTCCCGCCCGCCCCACCCTACAAAGCAACCCTCGACTCCACCGGCTGCGTCCATGTATCCCTCCACGACGCGGACCGGGTACGGAGATCGTAGCGGTCGCTGGCAGAGGAGAGCAGACTATGAGCGAACTCTATGGAGTGGGGAGCCGAAGCCCTGTATTGTATAAGAAGGTATACAGTGTTGTCTGAAGTAGGAAGAGGACGCGAGGTCCGGGAAGGAAGAAAAGGGTGAAGCCCGTACGCGGTGGGGTGGTGGCCGGCAGAAGCGAGGGTCTGTCGAATCAAGGGGGTACGGCCGTGTGTTGGAAAAATAAACTGCCGGTCTCGATAGCACAAGAAGAGAGCTCACGCTAGAGCGTCGTCTTGCCACCGTAATATCCAGGTGCTTTGAATGGAGTCCTTCTTCTTATACGGGGTCGGGAAATACGGGTACGGGTACGAAATATCGGGTCGGTAAGATCTGCGGGTTGACTAACAAAACAATACAACGGAGTTGTCAATATCACTCTCAACTATTCTTACGAGAATCCTGATCTATCAAGTCCTCTGCGACGTCAGCAAAGTACAAGTCGCGACACTCGGGGTCATCTTGTCTAAGCTCTCGGAGTCTGTGAGCGCGCCTTGAAAGTCTGAAGGGAACTAGAAGAAGTCGTCGGAAGTAGAGAGATAGCAAAGCTCTGTTGTTGATCGGGATCGGGTGTTCTGCGCATCGTATAGCGTAGGGGGTCGACATTCGCAACTACCGCTCGCAACCAAACCCATATCGATCGCAAGGATAAACACCGGATGTACGACGGTTCTCGTCATTGGGGAATACGATAGGATTTCCGCAGAATCCGATCGCCAAGAGGAACCAGAAAATCGCAGCGGAATCTAATACAGTCCATCTACACCGTTTAGCTGCGAGGGTGTGTAGCGGTGCGCTCCCACTCACGGTGGCTTCGTAATTTGAAAACCTCCAACGACCGTTGTTTCGCTTATCCTTGTTTAGCTTGCATGAGGATGAGAAAAGGTGCGGTCTCTCTTGCTTAGAGGGGCAAGGGCGACGGAGAACACGCGTATCCTCCACGCGTTACTCTCCCAAGACGACCACCACGACCACCAGGGAGGGGTTCTTCACCGCAGACCACACACAGCCCATATGTATGTATGACTAGCCATCTCTACTCCATTGGAGATATGCAACGGGCGAGTCCTACTACCAACTACAACCTACCAACCATGTGAACGCTACGCCGAACCTCCCAGCACAAAAAGCCGCCCCCACACACATCCCATGAGCGTCGGGCCAATCGCTCAAGACCGATCATCCTTGTCAAACTTGTTAGTCCAAAACCCTCGGTAATGCTTCTTGGCGCCCTCGTCACTGATCTGCTTGATCTCCTCGGGCGTCAGCTTGAAGCTCGAGATGCGGAGATAATCCTTCAACCGTTGTTCTGGAAAGCAAAAGTCATTAAACATCATCACGACACGCCTCGAAACCGCCCCGCCCAATCCCCCCAAAAAAAATGAAAAAACTCCCAGTACTCACCCTTCCCACTGGTGGTAATAGCAACCACACCCTGGTCAACACACCACCTCAGACACACCTCCGCCCCACTAACCCCGTACTTCGCCGCCAACCCCTCCAGAACCCCATCCACGGGCCCCGGCGCACCCTTCGTCACCGCGGTCAACGGGCCATACGCACTCGTCGCGATTCCATGCTCCTTGTGAAACTCCAAGAGTCCCGGGTGCTGCAGGTACGGGTGGAACTCGATTTGGTTGTTGGCGGGGGTGATGGTGCAGGTTTGGAGGATGGCAGAGAGGTGCGCGGGGAGGTAGTTTGACACCCCGATGGATTTGGCGAGGCCGGCTTTGTGGACGGCTTCCATTTCGCGCCACGCGGTTTGGTGGTCGGTGTCGGACGTTGCGAAGAAGGGGGAGTGGATTAGGTATCTGATTATATAAGAGTGAGTGAGTGGACGGGCGGGACGATGGATGTGAGGGAGGGGAGGCAGGCCACGTACAGATCGACATAATCAAGCTGCAGTTTCTTCAAACTGGCCCGGATGGCGCCCGGGATGTCCTTAATGTTATTGTTGACTTTTGTCGTGATGAAGAGCTTGGAGCGGTCCACGCCGCTTTCTTTGATTGCGAGGCCGAGTTCGGTCTCGGTCTTGTACACTGCGGGGTAAAACAGTGTGAGGGATGTGAAGCGAGGAATGTCGGTTGTGTGCATGAGCCGTGGGTTGATGGATGAACGATACCCTAGCGAGGAGGATGTTGCGCTGGTTGCATGATCCGGATTCCTGGCCCTACGGCTCAGTGGGCTCGCCATCACTCGCATTCTCCTTGCCCCGCTCGGAACCCCCACCCCTCCCGAATCTCCCTACCTTCAGCCCCATCCAAATGGGTATACCCCAACCTGATCGCCGTCTTAATCGCCTCCACACACTCCCTATCAACAACGTTCTCGTCCCCCTTTTTGAACCACGCCGTTCCTGTGCCGTAGCCCAACTATTCCGTTTATTTTCGAGAAAGAGATGTATGTTAAAAAAGGTTGGTTTTACGGGGACTTCCGGAGATGGGAGAGACTTACGGTAGGGATGGAGTGGCCGCTGTTGAGGGTGATGGAAGGGATGCCGGTCATTGTGCCGAGTCAAAGCGACTGACTGCGTGGGTTGTGCTGACAGAATCTGGGGGGGGGTGTAATGAGGGTTGTCCGGTCTTATTGGAGAACGACGCGTCAGCGGAACATGTATCGCTGTCTAAGTGAAACATTCCCAGACAGTGTTCTCCAGTGGACTCCGACCTAATGGGTACTTTCACAGTGCTCGTCGCGCGTTCCTATGCACAACAAGTAGTTCTTTTACTGCATATCGCATAGCAGCGCCGACGAACACCCAGTCCGTCTACAATACCTTACAGCAAAGTAGTTATTGTATACGAACATCAGTTATACAACCCGTGTGGAAGGTAGTCCACATCACATTGTTGGTAGGGGTGATAGTTCCGTTTGCGCGCATGCCGTTTAGGGCGCCGTGACGGTGCGGGGGTGGTGGGGGGACCCGGGAGATGCAAATGCAATCCCAGCCGCTCCCCGACATCCCCGTTCAGCCGCACACTCTCCAACACCCCGCCCACGTCGCCTACGAGCGTCGGGAACCCGCGGGCGATGTTGACTAGGACGGGGATGGCTGATGTTGCACGCGGGTCGATGGGTGGAAGGGGGATGTCGGTGGTGGTGGGGTCGGTTTTGATGCGGGTTATGAAGGTGGCGACGGGGTGCAGGATGTGGGTTAGGGTCGGGAGGATGAGGGTTTTTGTGAGCGTTAGGCTAGTATACGGGCAAGTCAAGTGAATTAGGGAATATGTGGATATGGGAATATGAGTCAATCAGGAACGCCCTTTGCCCCTCGTCTCAGCGGGTTCTTGTGCGGGTGGCGGTGTATAAGGTTGGCCCGCACAATACAAAGCAGTGACGAATCGGATACAAACCAGCCAGAAATAGAAAGGAAGCTTGAGGCCCCAGCGGTGAGAACATGAGGTCACCTTCACTTTTCCGCCTCCTTTTCTTTCGTCGACATTCCCGTCGACATTCCCTCATTTTCAATTACTACTACGACATATCCTTTCTGCATCGCAATGAGTGCCCAACCTCCTCAGCCAAACCAATATATCGCCTTCCTGGAAACCCTCCCCAAAGCCGATGAAGAGCCGGACTACGTGCGGCCGTTCATCGCCATTGTGTGGGAGGCCTTGGCCCACTTTGGGTGGGAAACGCCGTTGAGGCGCATTTTGGAAGAACTCGACACCCCTGTAAGTCGGGACTTCCCCAACGTCGTAACGCAGGCTCTTCTGAACGTCTACAGCGACCTGGACAGAGAGGTCCAAAGGTTTCAGTCCGGCCGTGAAGCTACCCCCGTCTCGTCGCCGTACGGCTCGCCTTCGAGTTCTCCAAGGCCCAGTCCTCCGTCGTCTCCGAGGACCAGACGTCAGACCCTCGGCAGGCCTGAATGGGCGTCCCGGTTTCTGGCCCCGGGGATTTACTCCTATCTGACTATACCCATAGTCATCGGTTGTCCATTTCAGACGGCCTTCAGGAGCCGCCTCATGGAGCGGGAGGACTCGCGTTGCGCCATCACAGGCATGCCAAATACCACTTCTTCTCCCGACGAACCTTCGGGGCCGTTAGAGGCTGCCCATGTCTTCCCATATGCCCTGAGGAATATTGTTCGTGGCCTCTCGTCGCTGCTTTATCCGCCAGAATTCTTTGAGGTTCTTCGAGGCGGCATGGAGATCGACAGCCCCAGAAATGGGGTTTTGATATCGGCCGCTCTCCATCGGCAGACGTTTGGGGAGTATTTCCATCTCGAGCACCGTGACGGCCGGTACTTCGTGCGGCAACTCAGGCGGTTTTGGCTGATCGGGCCTGACACGTTGCCGGACACGATCCAATTTCTCTCGTCGCAGCACGAGCCCCCACATCCCGTCTTGGTGAACGTCCACGCATTGATAGCAATCATCAAGTTCCGGGCTTCCCAAGCCGAACTTTGGAAAGCAGCGGGCGAGCGGGACGATTTGTTCCCAAGAGACGAAGAAGCGCAGCTACAAAGAGCGGACAGCGAGACTATCCCACCTTTAGAGATCTGAGAAAAGTCTTCGACGATTGTCCCAGGCGCAATAAGATCACGTCATTTGTTTGGTTTTATCCACTGGCCACATGTTCTGAACAGCTACCTTGCAGTAAGGTTTAAGATCCGTTGTCCGTTTTCCAGCTTTCCAACTTTCTTCGTGGGGCTGCTCGTCAGGCTGGTGTTTCGTCTTTCACCGACAAGTTGCAGAATTGAAAGGGGGTGCCGCTGCGTGCCAGGTTAGGGTTGCGGACGGAGATGAACTGCAGCCACGTGATCGGATGGAAATAGTCACGTGGACTCATGGATGTACGATGCTCCGTCCTGCCTTTCTATTATTACGCGCGTCGTCATTTGCGCCAGAAATCGTCGTGGAGCTTCGGACTGTGGACTCTTGCCCTCGGGCGAGCGGAGTAAGCGAGAGAAAATGGAGGGTGGGAGGGAGGCCGGCGAGGGAAACAGAGCGTTAGCGACGACCGGCCGCATAGCGACGCTTTGCGAGCGTAGGGAGCATTTGACGTGATTTGTCCGTGAGCGAAATTGCGCCGGAGCGGCAAGAATGCTCTTGCGAACTCCTACACGCTTGTTGCGGGCGGAGAGCGCGCAGCGTGTTGTTTCGGCACCCCCCTGCGGCACAACTTTGCTCCTGTCCTATCGGACATGGACTTGCACACGTCTCCTTGTCGTGGGCGGACTTACTCATGGCGGTTCACCCCATCCATACAGGTGTCTGAAGGTGTTGTTGAGCAGGCAGTGTCTCTCTTTATGGAAAACAACGGAGCGCCCCTGCACAGTGGCGAGCCCTCTGCTTCGACGTCGAATGGAGCTACCTCTGCGAATGCACCTTATATCCCAGCAGACCCTGAAGTGAGGGCGCCCATTGCTTCCAAGAGGGAGGCCTTGTTTGATGCGGATACATCGCCATTCAGCCATCGTGTTGGACGTGAGTCTGGAAGTGGGGTTGCGCAGTCAAGACTCCCCAGAGCAAATACCCCCTTCGGATCTCGATGGAGTAGAAACGATACCTGCCATAACTTCTCCCGCTTAGGTACAGTATACACGACAGCTCTGTACGCCAACTATAATTGTACACACAGGGGGGGGCGTTCATCCGTCCGCAAAAGAAAACGTACACTCTCCGCTCTCCCCATCCTAATACAACCTAACCTAACCAGATACCTCATCCTCGACTGCCCCTCATCATACACAATAAACTCATCATACATCAGACTCCTATACGCGCCCTTCTTCTCCAACACCCCACTCGGCACCACCACCCCGTCCCGCATGACAACCTCCCCGCTCGGCTGGTACATCCCGACGCCATGGGTGGAATCACTCCCGCGGTGGGGCTTCTCCATGTACGTAGCGGAGTCGAACTTGTGAATCCGGCCGAGCGCGACCTCGTTGAGGATGAGGATCGCGTCGGGTTTCGCGGGCGAGGCCATGCAGTACCCGGCTGATTTGGTGATCGAGTTGGCGTGGTAGGTCCCCTTGCCAAACATGTACCCGTTCACCGGAGCCGACGGCGGCGCGATCTTCAGCCCCTGCGAGAGGATCCCCGTCCAGTTGGTCAGCCGCGACCCGTGCCAGAGGAGGTAGCGGTTCTCCCACGCCTGGTACTTTGCGAACCGCTCCGTCTCCGAGTCGCGGTTAAGCACGAGGATGTAGTCGATGTTGATCTTGAAGTGGGAATGGGTTGCGCCCTGTGAGTTTGTGACGTAGGTTTGGATCAGTTGGTATTCGTCCGACGCGGGGGACAGGACGCGCATGTCGCATTTGAGTTGCGCGTAGTGGAAATCCAGCGGGGATTGCTGCGCGCCGATCTGCTCGGAGCCCAGCAGCCGTGTCGTGATCTCCATCTGCACCAGCGTCTCCACCAGCTCCGTCTTCTTGACGAGGAGCGCCGTGCTGTCGATAGCCGGGAGCGTGCGCCCGATATGCGGTACAAGGGTATAGAACTCGTTACTGCGGTGTGCCAGCATCCCCGCGGCATCGTCTTGCGGAATCAATCCGTTCTCCCGCTTCGTCAACACGTCCCCGATACTCTTTAACACCTCAAACCCGCGGTTGAGCTGCGATTTGGAGATATTCCCCAGCGGCATCTTCTCCGTATCGATCTCGAGCTCAAACATCGTTTCCTTCATTTTGCCCACGTCGAAGATCAGTTTGATCAGATCCGCGACTTCGGGACTGAGTGTTGTTGACGATTGGGAGAAATCGATCTCGTGGATGTCGGGCTTGCCGGCCCCGAGGGAGTCGGACGTGTAACCGACGTCCATCATGTAGTACGCCTTGGGCTGCTTGACAAAACGTCTGCGGGCACTCCACTGATTCTTCGTCTTATCCAAGAACAAACGCTCGAATTCACTCACAGCGGAATGTGTGTCGTAATACGGTTTCGTTTCGCAGACACCGTCGGTCCCGATGGGTCCGTACGCTTTGAACAGCCAGACGCGGGAGCCGTTCGTGAGGACTTGGAGTTTGTAGAACATGTTTTTCCGCGTGTCAACGAGGGCGAGGGTGGCGTCGTAGCGGTTGCCGACGGCGCCGTGGACCCTGGTGGAGTCGGGGACGCCAGCGCGGGGGTCGACGGCGCTGTCGCTTGTTACTGTTAGTTTGAGTTTTTTGGAGGAGGTTTCAGCTTGTGTTGAGTTGGTGTCCGAGGCGAGTGAATGCTTGCGCTTAGTAAGGGAAACGGCACCCGACGCGAGTTTTTCGCGGCGTTTTTTGTTGTCGGCGCTCTGGTACAGGATATAGGGTTTCCAATACTGATGTGCGTCGACGTTGATAAGGTTTTCGCCTGCGATGCAATCGTGGATCCAAGACTCATCCAGGATATCCAACCCCTGCTTTTCGGCCTGCGAGATCGCAACGGGTTTCTTTGCTTTGCTGTATGCATCGGCGGTGGTCACAACGACCTTGTGCGGAGCGTCGGAAGTGGCCAGCTCGTCGACTTTGGTGAAGGTCTGGCCTGCTTTGTCGGAGACCAGAGATTTCAGCGCTGTTTGGGATTGTGAAAGCTTTCCGACAAAGAGGAAAGCCCAGCCGTCGAAGAGTTTTTCGACGTCGCTGACTTTGAGGGTTGCCGGGACATCTTTGTCGCCACCAACTTGCTCCTCCTCCTCCTCCTCGTCCTCGTGGGTCTCCTCAGCTTCTTGTCTCGCCTCTTCCTTCATGCGAGAAGCTTTTTTACCGCGTGTCGTACCCGGTAAGTGCATCGACTGGACCTTCTCCGACAACTCCTGCCTGACTTGCATGATCGCATCCTTCTTGGGAAACACGCGTTTACCTTTCGTCGCCAATGAAGCCTTGACGAGCTCCCGAAGCTTTTCCAAAAACCCCTTGTACCGATCTGAATTCTGCTTTGCGGCGCTTTTTGCCTTTTGCGCCTTCTTCGACGCTTTTCGTTCCTCCTCGGAGTCTGCTTCCTCGCTCGAGGAATTGTTATCGCTATAGTTACGTGAGCGTCTCCTGGAACTGGTTTTGGGACGAGCAGGGATGTTGGTCAATTGAGCAAAGCGAAGGTTGGATGGTTGGCAGATATCGCTCGTTCGGTCTACCTTCGCACGGTCACCCTTTGCATGTTGCAGCTCCCCGCCATCGCTCGCTAACGCTCACCTCGCTAACGCCCGCGTACGCACCTGCTTTCCTGCTGCGGTAAGAGACATCTGAGGTCCGGCACGTCCATCGGCACCAAGTCTTCCTCGGTCAAGTCCTGGGTGTACGGACACGGGCCCCATACCAGCTCCGCCGGGCAACCATAAGCGAATTCTTTGGGCACAAGCCTCGAAGAACCGCAGTCGGCATACTGACAGAGCGGCGGCCGGCCGAACGCGATGAGCTCTGCGACCGTGGCGAGGGCCTGGGCGGTGGTATAATGTTCGGGTATTTTGACGCCGACTTCATGCAGGATGGTGGCAAAGATGCGTTTTGTTGGGGATTGGAGGTGGTATTCAGCGAGCAGTTGCTCTAGTTTGCCGCGCAGAGCGGCGAGGGTATCCGATTGTTCGCGCAGTGCTTTTGCTTCCGGATCGTCGTCGGCTTCGGGAACTGGCTTTGACGGGTCGCCATCGGCATTCTCGGCCTGGGATGCGGACGGCTCTGGGTTCTTTTCTTTGAACAGAGCCAACAGCTCCGTTTGCTTCGCTGAAGGTAATGAATAAAATCCGCTTATGGCCGCCGGCGAGTAGTTGAGCAACTTCACGTACGTGGCCTGGCTGACGAAGCACGGGACATGGTGCCAACCGGGGTATGAGATGCCCGACTGTTCGTTGTGGATGAGCTTGCCGAGACGGACCGAGCCCTTTGCGATCTGCTTTTTGCAGCGGATGCACTTGCTGCGGTCTGACTTTGCGAGGTCGACAGAGAACTCGCTGGACGACGACATTGCTGACAGTGGGAGCGAGTTACAGTACCTCCCTTCACCTTTCGCAGTGCCTGCCTGTCCTCCGAAGGCTCCGGGTGGCCGTCTGTCTGTCTGTCTTAGTAAGTTCCTTCTCCGCAGGGGTCCTTGCTTAGTCAGCGCCGCAACGCGTCAACGCGAACCCTCCCACGCCCCGACCTGCCACTTCTTCCCACCGGCTTCCATCGACCGCTCGCTGTGAAACAAACGAGGCTGATGAGGGCCGGCAGACCCGGACCGCCAAGCATTCACCTTCTGTTGTCAGTTAGTCCGTCCATCGAGAGTCAGGGCCAAGAAAGGATGCCGAGGCGATATATACGGCATACGGAAGTTGCGGTCCCCCTTGGACCCGCCCCGCCGACTTCTTAATAACCAAATATATCTGCTGTTAGTAAAAGAAAAAATATGCCCGCCGTCTACTGTCTCATCTACGGAGACGATGGTAGCCGTGCCTTCTCTGTCAATGTCCCATCCGGCGTGTCTTTTACGGTCGCCCAATTGCGACAGCTCATCTTCTCGCAGTTGCCGAGCAGGTTCTCTGAGCGCTTTGGGGTGGTACGTACTCCCCTCTCAGATTTTGGCGTCCTCCAAAGCAGCTAATTGAACAATTTTTCGATTATGGATTTAGGCAGACATCGCGCTTTACCGAGTGGACGAGGACAACGCACTCTCCACCGCTGACGAGCGCCTGCGACAGCGTAGCCCTCTTCCATCCATCGATGCCACGTTCCTTGTAACCGGCCTCTACGACCCGCTAGCTGAGGTCTGGGATTTTCTATCAGAAGAAAAATGCAAAGGCAGAGCTCGGATCGATATCCTGGTCCAACTCCCAACCGACGCCGACGAGCACGAACTCGATGCGCAAGAAGTACGACCTACCGCGCTGCCGCCGGCTTATGCTGTGGTCGAACGGGTCTCTCAACATCAAAACCAACTGCCCGTTGCAGCGTCGGGGAAGTTCTCGTCCCGTGCTGCTCATGCACCCGGAACATCGGCCGCTAGCCACCCGAAATTCTTCCACACGCAACCTGCATCGCAAAGCTCCGCAACCCAAAACACAGACAGACCCGTCCCCATGAAAGACCAGCGCCCTAACCCTACCCGCCCCGTGGCCGCTCGCCCTATCAACGGTCCCACCGCGACTTGCCATTCAACACCGGCCCAAGCATCCCGCGCCGGCAGTCCCGCAGTCCCGCTCTTCTCCATCTCCACCGCCAACGAAGCCGAAAAGCGGTTCTCAACAGACGCGGACGGCCACACCAGGACCCCCTCCTGCCTCCCGCCTGCAGGATCCACGAAACGTCGCTATGTTATCCTCGTCGCCGTCCTCGCCGTGCTGGCGGTAGTGGCTGGGACGGCTGTGGGGGTCGTGGTGAGCAGAAAGGCGCCTTCGGGTTCTGAGAGTGGTGGATTCAAGTCCATCACCTCGAAAGTCGCCGGCCCGACACCCGTTCCTACCCCCGTGACGGTCGGGATACAACCACCATATAATGTGACGGCCAATGCCACGAGGTCCGCGCGCTAGCCCATGACCCCCGTCCGGGCACTGTAGGCTTAGTGTCGGGGGTGATAACTGGGTGAACCGTGGGAGTTGGCGTCGGGCGCGGTTGCGGGGGATGTGGCGAGGAGGGGAAGTAGAGAAGTTGGGTGAGGGGGGAGGGGGGAGGGATGGGGGGTGAGGATTAGATTTTGTGATCGATAGATGGGCGGTATTCGTTACCCTACCCCGTTAGACAAGTTCAGATGGTGAGCATGCATCCTGGATCATAGCTATGCCGCCCTTGTCCACATTCCGGCGTAGATATCCTCTGTTGACATCACGGCTTCTTTGTACGTGTGCCATACAATAGTAAGCCCCCAGAATATGGTATGGGGAAACGAAACGAATACCAGCTTCAAGCTCGTTTGACCCATCCATAATCGATTAAGGGCCGGCAACATTGCTTCTTTCAAGCAAACACAGCCGGCACGTATAGACCAGCTACGTAAGTATCGGCCTTCTGCAGCTGAAGTGTAGGCTTATAGCAAGGCTTCTTATGTCGGACAATGACACCCGGGAGAAATTGGGCGGGTCCCAAAAAGCAGGTGGGCGTTCTAGGAAGGGTATCACCCAGACTGGGCGCTTTCTCTGAACGTAGTATGAAGCGGGCATTTCGAAGAATGTAGCATCAACATCGCTTCGCTCCCTCATTTCCATTAGACCCAATTTTGATTGATCATGGGTGCTACGCCGCATCCCGCTGCATACAGAGATCAGAAAATCATACTGAGAAGATGGGGACTTTCATAATCTACGGAAGCGTACTATAGTTTTGCGAGGATAGGTCAAGAGCAATAAGCAAATGGAAGAATAAGCCTACTTGCGCCCCCGCCTTAGCCGGGCCAAAATGCTGATGGTCTCGCGGCACCGGCGCTAACCCATCCTATCGTTTCAAAATCACCCACGGGAGCTTGTAACCTTTCGGCATGAAAGAAAAAAACATTTCCAACCTCTCCAACTCCTTCTCCTTAGTCCAATCCCCACCCTGCTCATCCGCCAGCCATTCCGCATGCTCGCTCCAGTAGCACACCTCGGGAGAGAACGTGTCCCCACACTCGGTAACCAGTGTCCAGTACGTTTTCGGATCGATATTGCCTACGCTGATCTCCGCCATATGCGTATCACCTTGTCCACCCAGATCGATCCCCGCTTCGTCCAAAATCTCCGCCCCGCGCCTCAGTTCCTTTGCTTTGTCCTCCATCTGGGCAGCCCAGCTTCTCAAGGCCGCCTGGGCGTTCTTCTCTTCGCGCAGGTGCTTGCCGAACTCGTCGCCTTGCTTCCAGTGCGCCCAGATACTGATGCGAGAGGGATCGCCGAATGTGCCGTCGGCGGACATCCAGTGCGGGCGCGGGGAAGGGAGTGCGCCGGGATCTTCGTCGTCCTTGTCGCCTTCTGCGCTGGCGACGGTGTTTTCGTCGTGCGTCTCTTTCTTTGCGTCGGGAGGAGACACAGTGGGAGCCTCTCCAGCGTTTCCGGTGTTGGCAGTGTAAGAGCGGATGATTTGATAGAACTTGATAGACGGGAGCCCTGCAATGCGAGGCACCGAAAGGAAAGTCTTGTTTGCAGTGCTGAAAGAGCTGTCGAAAAGTGGACGCTGTAGACCAGCTTGAAGGCGGAGAGGCCGTGAACGCAGGATATGACGGGCGTGCAACATTGTTGAGCTTTGGCGCAGTTTTTGGCAATGGGGGGGAAGGATGCGGGCTGGGGAGCTTGGGGTTTAGTCCAGGGGACGCAGCACACAGGTAAAAGAAGCAGCGTCCGAATCAACAAGTCCAAGGAAAGAGACAAGGAGGGGCGGACCAAAAATTCGACAGCCGTCAATGCACGTGACATCCATATTTCTGCTTGTGATGCGGAGAGATTTCGACAGCGTGCGGGCAACGTGATGGCCTCGTCATTTGTGCGAGTCCTCCCACAACGATGCGGCGGTGTGACGGTCGTCCCTCAGCGACGTGCGCTTTGCTGCAATCCCTTAGGGAAAGTCCGTCGCTATAAAAGCTCAGCGAGGGCACCCCCCCCCCCCCCGCTCCTCATCCAGGTGTCCCCAAACACTCTTCTCAACAGCGAAAGCACAGCGACCAACCAAGAACCATGTTGTGCGTCTTCCCACCCATCCCGCTCCCCAAAATCCCGCATTTCTTCTCCAAACCAAAAACGTTCCCACTCTCCCCATCCACCAACGTCCACATCCGTTCCGCAACCTTCCCAGACTGCTATCTCCGCATCGATGGCGCCGGAGTCGATCCCTCAAGCGGGTCTGTGAACTGCCAGGAACGGGTGGCTGTAAGCGGTTTGGAGGAGTTTCAGCTGAAGAGTGCGGCGGATGGGACGATGGGTATTGTCTCTGTTGCGTTTCCGAACGTGTATCTGAAAATGGACGGGGACGACGTGCAGGGGCACTGTGACGCTGACGCCGGCGCTGGTGTTGTTGGTTGTCAACTCGGTTGTGGGCCGTTGGCGCAATTCAAGCTTGAGCCGCAAGCTGACGGGACCACGGCGATCTCATCGGTGGCCTTTCCGGATATCTATCTGCGCATGGATGGCCGAGAAGGGCAACGCGGGACAGGATACCCAGTCGGGTTTGGGGTGGTCAACTGTTCGACCTCGGTCGGGCCTTGGGAGAAGTTTATCATCTCGGAGGTGTCCGTACCTCTGACCCGAGAAGAACTCGAAAGGGCAATAGGGACCTATGGACCTACGTTGCTTCTCCACCCGGACGAAAAGTACAACAACACCTCCGTCGAGTACTTTCTCCAGCATGCTACGCTCGTGTCCAAACGCGGCGCCGAGATCCCCCATCCGACCGTCGATCAGTTGCCCCAGAGCGGAGATCCCGGGGAGTACTGGCTACGTCTCGACTTGGAGGCAGCCAAAGCCGGCGATTTCACTGCCGCAAAGGCCTACGTCCGCGCGCACTGGGTCCCGGGTCAGACCTACACCGACCTCCAATTCTGGCTCTTCTCCGCGTACAACGGCCCCGGCTCCGCGCACATCAACGGCCTAGTCTTCAACAAAATCGTTCATTCCGGCGACGTGGTCCTCGAGCCCCTCGGCGAGCATTTTGGGGATTGGGAATGCATTGTCGTCCGGATCGATCACCAGTCCAAGGAGATGAGTGGGGTTTGGCTGTCGCAGCATGCCAAGGGCCGCTTCTACACCCGGGACGAGATATACAGCAATTTCAAATTATTGAGAGCTACACACCCAATCGTGTACTCGTCTCTCAACGGCCACGCCAATTACGCCTCCCCGGGCTTGAACCCCTCGGAGTACCACAAGGTTCCGCCGGGGGGTATACCCGCGGGGATCGAGTTCGAGCTCCGCAACGATACCGCGGAGGGGGGCAGGATCCTCGATTGCTCGCAGAAGTACGAGCTCATCTCCGCCGATTTCCTCACGGGCGCGGATGCGATTCGCGAGCCGAAGTGGGTGACGTACCCGTTCCGGTGGGGTCCGGAGGGCACGGCGACACATATGAGTCCGCACGATGTGGGGGAGATCCTGCGGGCGGCGTTCGGCGAGCGGGTGCCGGAGGGCGTCGTGAAGGTGGTGGATGAGTTGGCAGCGCTTGTTCTGCCGTATTTCGTGAAGGATGATCTGAACGGCGCGGAAGCCCCGCAAACGCATGATGCTTGGCGCGGAAGCTATCCGACGTACGGGACGTAGGAATGGGCTCGGCGTTTGGCGGTTTTCGCGAGATCAAGTGTGTGTTTACTGCCGCTACCTCCCTTCGTGGCCGCAATTAGCCAGTGCACATCCCTACGGAACGTAGGCCGGAGCGTAAGCCGGAGAGACGTGCTCTTGAGCGCGGGAACAAAACGTGTGAGGAATGTCACCCCGTCAAAGCGCGGTGGAGTGCATGATCTATTGCCATGCAGAGTAAAAAGCTCGGGAAATTGGAAGTGGGACAGGTCTGCTGGAACGCATTCCCAATCGATGCGATGAGTGAGACCGTGGAAGCCGTTTCTTGTTCCCATTGCCGGTCGCTCCGAACCTATGCTGGCAGCGCTACGCAATCCACATCTTTTCCCGGCGTAATCATAGAGGTACCTTCTGGCTCATCTGCAGAGCGTACTGTACATACCCCTAGCTAATGTAGTTATCACGACATTGGGCTGTATAAGTACGAAAATACGAGGTTCGGTGATGGCGGACTTTGCCTAACCAAACCCCTGACAGACTCCTGCAGGAGAGAAACAGTGCGTGCACATGTGAGATGGCTGAGCGTAGGGGTCCTGTTCAGAGAATCCACTCCATTATCGCCAACGCTGCTGAGACGATTCATGTAATCTCCTCGTACGCATCTATCTATCAGTTGCAAGCCGTTTCCACCGTGTTTAGTAACTGTGCCCTATTCCGCGTGATGTCTCGCTTGTCTTTTGCCCTTCGTTGTGCTGGGACATTTCAATTCTTACTGACCGGGTTAGACCCACACAACATTACGCAACCTGAGCCTACCAGAGCCAACTGCTTACCGAGGTATATCCACTTTTGGAACAAACGACCGTATCTTGGTGCCCACCGACGGTCAAAAAATCTTCGGAAACCGTACGATGGCCTCGATGATGAAGGCCGTGCTCTGGACGGCGTACGGGGATCCCACCGTCCTCAAAATAGGTCAACTCCCGAAACCCGTACCCAACCGCAACCAAATCCTTGTTAAAGTCAAAGCGGCCGGTCTGACGGTGGGAGACACGGAACTTCGCAAGGCAGAGATGCCGCTGCCCTCGATCTTCAACCTGATGTTGCGTTTGATCGTCGGCATCACGAAACCTACAAGGTTTCGGGTCTTGGGACAGGAATTCTCGGGCGTCGTTGCAGAGGTCGGCGAAGGATGCGAGGGAGTCGCCCTCGGTGACGCCGTGTTCGGGTCCACGGGCTGGCCCTTCGGAGCCGATGCCGAGTACGTCCTCAAGGAGTGGCCGAGCAGAGGCGCGGGTGGTACGGGGGGAAGAATCGCATTCAAACCTTCGAACCTGACGTTTCAGGAGGCGGCTGCATCGCCGACTGGAGGATTGGAAGCAGTGCATCTCGTCAAGGCCGCGAAGGTGAAACCCGGCGACCACGTGCTCGTCGTGGGCGCGGCGGGCAGCATCGGGACGTTTGCCGTGCAGCTCCTGAAGCATCTCGGAGCGGTGGTGACCGGGGTGGATGTGGAAGAAAAGTTTGACACAATGCGCGCCGTCGGTGTTGATCACTTTGTAGACTACACGAAGGAGGATTACCTCAAATCTGGTCGGCAATACGATGTGGTCATCGACGTTCCATCCACGGGCCCCTTCTCGCACCATCTACTGAAATCCGGCGGTCGGTATCTGCTCGGCAACCTCAATCTCAGAACCATGTTGCAGGGTCTCCTGTTCACCCCTTCGGACAAACGAGTGGCGTTCGAGGCCGGGAAGGGTAGTTTGGAAGATTGGGACGATCTTGTTGTCATGTTGAAAGAAGGCATTCTCAAACCCGTGATGGACAAGGCGTATGGGTGGGAAGCGGCGTCTGAGGCACACGCCTACGTGGAGTCGGGAAAGAAGCGAGGCAATGTTGTCCTCGTCGTCGACGCGGATGAAAGCAACTGAGAAGGGTCCGATCGGGGCTGGATGGCAGTTGATGGTGGACATTCTCCGCAGGTCTTATATCGGGTTTTGTCTCTACTGCTCAGCCGATCATTCGTCTTGCTGGCGTAGTTTTATTTTCCCATGTTGGTGGTTTCGTTCGAGAGCCCCACATTCCCATCAGCGCTGTATGTGCATTGAAGGCGGCTGTCTGGTCCGACCATTCATTGCGGCTGCAGTCATAAGTTGAGCCTGACCCGAGCGATTTCCTGGGTACTGGGGATTTATGGTAGGGGATTTGCGGTGGGGAATTCCCCTTTGCCTTGATAGCTATGTCCGATAATACTTACAGTACGCTGCCAGATATCTCGTTACGACGGGTTGTTGATCCTCCCTGTGCAACCCAGAAGTCACCGGCCAGCTGTCAGTCCTGTCCTGGGCCAGCGGTCGTGCTGAAAGGGTTTGCATGGGGGTCGGCCACTTGGGTTCACAGGACTCCACTTCATTTACAAGAACGCCAAAAACCGTGTGTGTTTCGTGTTTTGAGCCTGTGATTATGTCAGCCATCATCATGACTCACGCAACAGAAAAGGCCACCGCAACAGCTGCAACGCACGCCTTTCCCTTTTCCATCTCATCCTCTTGCGTTTACCGAACTCGGCATTTTCCCTTTGAATGGGAACGGTGACTCCGGTAATCCGGAGTATAGCACCGTTCGTTGGTTCATAAAGCGTGAGACTGAACGAAGGAAGAAATCCGCGCCAACTTTTTCGTGTTTTTAGCCAACGGGCGTTGAAAATGTTCGCCGTAACGCTGATGGGTATCTTTTTGTCGGCGGACTGATGTACATATATGTACTCTCCGTGGTCTCCTATATACGCTGGTTATCAAATGTACATCGAAATCGCTTCCGCAATAACCGATGGGCGCGGTGTTCCTTCTCAGCACGCAGTGGGCTGCCTTCTTGGTCTCCGCTTGCCGTCTTTCGCCAGCCCAATATCGATCGCCGCATGCCCACATAATGCCCACATTATTGAAGTCCTCTGCTCATCAAATCCTGACAATCTGCTCAGTGCTGACTCGGAGAAAAACCCTCAACGACGCCAACCACATTCTGGATAAGCAGTGTAACAAAGCCATCGATCTAAAAAATTCCACCTTTTGCGCACGAAATCTTTGAGTGCCAAACGAGGCTTCCAACCCTCCGAAGGCTTGTTCATGCGCGTTTTTAAGAGACCACTCGTTGATCTTTTCCAATTGGGAAGAAAACTTCCTAGCGTACATCAAATATTCATCAATCTATTGGGGTCTAGCTCTTTCAACGCAACCACCTACACCCCTTAATACACCTCAGACACCTTTTTTTTTCGGGTTCCCGATCGCACTGGCGATGGCTTGCGATAGGCAACGCTTGGACTCTCCACATTGCGGAGTTTAGATCCCACCATGACGCGTTATAAAACCTCAACGAAAGCAAGCTCCACCCCTCTCATCCCCATCCCGGCAGTCCTCCACCAACAGGCCCCACAACGATGCGCTGCCCACAAACAACTACCGCCTTCGCGCTGTTGCTAGCTACCGCCGGCCTCATCTCCACCGCCATCGGTGCCGCCGTCGACCCGGCAGCCAGCCTGCTCACCTGCCTGCAATCGATCCCCGGCACACCTGAGCTCGTCGTCCCATCCTCTACACCAGGCGCCTACGCGAACGAGAAGAACGGGATCAACATCCACCGCCAACGGTTTCCTAACGTGATCCTCTACGCCACGGGCGAGGAGCATGTGCAAGGCGCCGTGAACTGTGCCGTTCTTAACCATGCTGTCCCCGTCGCCCGATCCGGCGGCCACTCCTACGAAGCCATGTCATCCTTCGACGGCAAAACCTCCGTGATCGTCGACGTTTCCTCTTTGACAACCGTGCGAATTGATGAGCAAGAACACACCGCCGTCGTCGGCGCCGGTATCCGCCTCGGCAACTTATACGCCTCACTCGGTCGACAAAGTGACCCGTCCTGGACCTTCCCGGGTGGCACCTGCCCGACCGTCGGGCTCGGCGGCCACAGCGCTGTGGGCGGCTACGGCATGTTGGCGCGCAAGTACGGCATCGCCGCCGACCACGTCCTCGAGTTCCGCGTTGTGAACGCCAACGGCACCGTGCTCATCGCCAACAAATCGCAGAACCCAGACCTGTTCTGGGGTCTCCGCGGTGGAGGCGGCGGCAACCTGGGTATCGTCACGCAACTCAAACTCTCCCTCGTCTCCGCACCGCAGAACGCTATCGGTGGGATTGGCTACCGCCTGGATCAGCTCCCCCAAGTCGTCGACCTCTTCCAGAAATGGATCCCCACCATGCCCGCGGAACTCACCGTGCAACTCACCCTGTGGGCCGACAATCCCTACCCCGGCGGATTCGGGTTCAACGTCCACTACCTCGGCACCACCGACCGTCTCCAGCAACTCCTTGGCGAAGCGGGCTTCTTCTCCATCCCGACCCTTGGATCGGGGTTCCAGCAAGTTAGCGTCGTGCAAGCGCGCGCGGCCACAGCAGGCGTGGCTTCCGACACTCCCGACGCCGCCATCAACGCCTTGCAGAATCCGACGCGGTTGCAGGCGGCGTGGCGGACGAACCGCAAGTTGACGGCGGAGTATTACCACCAGAACCTTGACATGACCACGTTGACACGGTTGACGCAGGTTCTGAGGGAGATCCCCGCCGAGGCGACGGGCGTGCTCGTGCAGTTCGAGGCGTTTGGCCCGCAGAGCGCTCTCTGGGCCGTCCCCACCGACGCCACACCGTACCCACATCGCGCGGGCACGCTCTTCAGCATCCAATACGGCGTACAATACCCCGTCGACAACACACAGACGTACCCATCCGTCGACGCCTTCTACGCCAAGCTGAAAGCCACGCTGGTGCCGTTGGCGAGTGGGTTGCATTATGCGGGGTACATCGACTCGGATTTCTCGCCGGCATCGCATTATGGCGGGAATTGGCCGCGGTTGGTGCAGGTCAAGAGGGCGTATGACCCGTTGAACGTGTTTTACAATGAGATGTCGCCGAAGCCGTAGAGGATCTTCCATCGTGGTTTAGAACCCACGTAGCTGGGCTGGCCCCATCTTTGTAGCTTTCTGGCCGCACCCCAGGCTTTAGATTATAGTTCGCACATACCCCCATCCACTATTCATGTATTCAATTCTTGCAACGTTGGCGTAATAGTCCGAATGTCATACTGTACACACACAACCATGCACGGTATAAAGCTCTGCCCAAGTTTCTCGTGAACAATAACGTCAACATTCGCAACTTTTTTCTGGATGCGGTCTGTGTCCGGCGTGCATGTGTTGCATGTAGGTCTCGCCTCCCTTGAACGCTTCCTCCCAAAAAAAACGCGTGGGAAGTAGTCGCTTACAAATCGGCGTAAGGCACGCGAACGCGCTTCTTACGCGTGTTCCGCAGCGCCGTTCATGAACTTCCACTTGAATTGTTTTGGGCGTCGGGCCACAAAAATAAAGTTGGCGATGGAAAGAAAAGTGGGCAACTGGGCAAGGGGAAGCAAGAATCCCAGGGATACTAAATGCGTACAGCTCGCTCTTCGCATTAGAAATCCAGCCTATGCCCACGACGACGACGGCGGCGAAGGTTCTCCTACTCAACAATCGTTCGCATGTCGAGGATTCTGGGGCTCAAGATCTCTCACTTCATGAGCAATCCTTCAGTTCGATGCGGCGCTTATAAAAGCCGGGGCCGGCTGCCACTGTCGTTGCGTTTGCAGTATCCAGCGCAGCATCCAACGCAACGGCCTTCATCCCTCTCATTTTCAGAACTCTAGTGGAGCCGCAATGCCGAAGAAAGACCCTCAACTCACAACAACATCCCTGGATGCAAGCAACGAGACGAGGTCTGACGATGTCAAGGTCACAGACGTGCCACCATCACTAGTCCAGGACGACATGACCTTCAGCGGGCCGAGTAAGGAAGACGCCCGGGGGTCCCCCCGCCCATCGGTCGAGTTACCCAGAGCCACTTTCCTGTGGATCATGGTCGGCATCTGGGTGGGCAACTTCGCCGCGTTTTTCAATGAGACGACTGCCACCACGTAAGTTTGCCTCCTGCTCATGACTCACATCGCCACGGGAAACTAAAATGGATGCGTTCGTCCCTGTTCAGAACGATGCACGCAGCCAGCCAAGAATTCGCAAAAGAGCAACAAATGAACTGGATCGCCACCTCCTACCTCCTCGGCTTCACCGTGACGCAAACCCTGCTCGGCAAGCTCACCGACATCTTCGGCCGCCAGACCATGTTCAACAGCACACTTGTCGTTTTCTTCGCCGGCACACTCTGGTGCGCGTTAGCACAATCCATGTCCTCGCTGATCGTCGCGAGATTGCTGCAAGGCATCGGGGCAGCGGGTCGTCAGACTGTTGGACTGATTATCGTTCTCGACACCACGACCCCGTTGACGCGCGGGACATGGCTAGGCCTATTCAACATGTCGCTATCGTTCGGGCTCGCGATTGGGCCATATGTTGGCGCGGTGCTGTCCGTGCACACGACCTGGAGATGGACGTACTGGATTACTTTGATGCTGAACGCCATCACCTTCGGCATCGCGGTCATGTTCATGCGGTTCCCGCCCACCAAGGGTTCCATCCGGTCGAAATTACGTGAAGTCGATTATGTGGGGTCGGTGTTGGTGGTGGGCATCGCGGCGTGTATTTGCATCGCAATCGAACTAGGTGGACAGGAATACACATGGTCGTCGCCGTTCATCGTCATCCTCTTCGTCGCCGCCGCGGTGCTCATCCCTGTATTTTGCTACTGGGAACTCTTCCGCGCGCGTCAGCCCGTTGTCGATCTCCGCCTCTTTAAGCGGTGGAACATTCCCTTTGCCGTCGTCCTCAACTTTGTCTGCGGCGCCGCGCTGTTCGGCTCCGTGTTCTACTTGCCCAAATACTTCCTCAACATCAAGGACGCGTCACTCGAAGCGACTGGATTACAGATGCTAGCCCTCAATGTCGCGGCGGGGATCTCCTCCGTCGGGGGCAGTCAACTGATCTCGCGGACGGGACGTGTGCGTCTCATCGGCGTGCTTGGCGCCGCGCTCGTTTGCGCGGGATCGGCGGCTATGCTCGCCGCCAACGAGACCAGCCCCATCGGCCTCGCGTTGGTGCTCAGCATCCTCATGGGCCTTGGCGTCGGCATCCTCTATCAGCCCGCGGTGGTCGTCGGGCCTATGAGCGTGCAACCGCATGAGGTTGCGGGGATCAGCGGGTTTCTCAGTTTCATCCGCACACTAGGTGGAACGTTCGCCACGGCGCTGTTGACGTCCATCTTCACCACGATCTTGAAGAAGGACTTGCAGGGCGTGCTACCGGAGGATGTCCTTGACACCGGGTTGCAGTTGGCGGATCACCATGCGCAATACCCGGAGGAGAACTCAGCCATTATTGCGGTGATGGTGAAGGCCTTCCATATCGGTTACGTTCCCGTTATCGTGTTTTCGGTACTCTACGCCGTGTCCGTGGCTTTGCTTCGGAATGTGGACTTTGTCGTGAAGCGTACGCCTGCTTCCAGGGTTTGATCTGGGCGCTAGCTTCCCCCTGTCCCATCCGTAGTGAGACCCTCGAAAACTATCTACTTGTTCCTGTTCTTTGCTATCCCCACCACCAGTACTAAACCCATTCTGCATGTACATTCTCCTGTCACAACCAATACCAATATGCCCTATCGGAAAGCGCCTTCGAGAAATGCGGGGTTTACATCCTCTCATACCTGAAGCAATAGACGCTATGTAGGAAAGCTCCTCCAACGACTGCTGCGTTTAGTCAACGTACGCCCATTCCCTTCCATGCGCGAGATGCGCGGTGTCCAAGTACCTGACAACATCCCGTAAAATCTCAACAATAGTTGCGGCGCGGATAGCCTCGCCGACGAGTCGCCGTGCCTTCGAGCTGTCGCCTCCTCGCCACCACCTGCTCCGTGGAGGCATACCTGTGATCCGAGCGTCAGGATACCGAGGTCTGGATGACCATCGCGAAGGAGAGTTTGAGGGACACTTAGGGCGTCCAAAAAAAACAAGTAGGCCTGGAACAGACAAAACTCCGCTGGGCCTCAACCCCTTGCAATTTCCGGCAAAACAGCAACCTGCATTAGACTCCCCTGGCAGGAGTGAGAGGAGAGGGACAGGAGGTGGGAGCGTGGATTCACTTCCTTGGCCTTAGTAAGAGGGATGAACGCGTCAAAAAGGACACGGATTGTGCTGGGATGGAACATTGGGAACCCCAGTCTGAATCTCCCAATGTTCCACAAGCGTACTGTATATCCTAGACTATAGATATAAATGGTGGCGCGCAAGATGAAACGCCTCAAGCTTTCCTAGTCTCTGCCGTCGCTACATGGTGTTTGTCGTTTCTTACATGAAGGGTGGACCACCCGTTGCTGCTCGTATTTGGCATCGTCCTTCATGTCCTCTATGTGGGCGTGAACTCTTGATATCGCCCTCGTCGACGGGATCCGCCATGCCCTACTTTGACTCTTTACGGATTGGTAGCTTGCGAGCATGAGACGGCTGAGGGATATGTCTCGAGGGGGCCCGCTCTTGATGTGCAGCGGGCCTTATCTCCAAGTTCCTGGCAATGAAGCACAGGACGTGCATGTCTTTACGTTTCGCCAACCAGCTGAAGCTTCAGATAGTCACTTGTATCAATACGATTACGCCGTCCAAATTTCGCCTCGATCGTACGCTAATATGCTCTACCTATTCCGAAGGCTTTACAGCTTTCCTTTTTAAGACCGTCCCGCTCTTTGTTGACGTCCTCACAACCTTTCCATCCTCGCGTTGAAACGTAAACACCAACGCCGGAGCGTCAATCTGGTACCACACCTCCTCATCTTGCGGCGCAAACACCATCTTCTTCTCCGCCCGTTTCCCCTTGGCGTCAATGATAAATGCGTCCAGAACGTCGCGCCCTTTGTCATCCTTGGCGGGCTCGAACTCGATTGCGATCCCTTTTGCGGCGTTAGCGTACTCACCCGCGAGGCTGGCGAGAACGTCGGGGGAAATGGACCCGAGGCGGATGAGATCTTCTGGTGGGGCTACCTCTTCACCGGCGTACAGTTTGGGGAGGGTGGAGTAGATGTCGCCGACACCGCAACCACCATTGTTGGCGAGGACGATGACGATGAGGGAATCCTGGATGCCGGTTGAAGAGGCGTCGTCGGAAGTCTCCTCGTTTGCCGTCGATGTGTTGGCAAGCTCGATGCGACCGACCTTCGAGACGAAGCCTGGGGGTGAGACGAATGAGGATAAGCACGAGTGAAAACAGAGAGAGGTAAATGTAGGTTCAACGGCGTCCCCGGGAACGGGACCGCCGTCCAAAAGAACCTGCACACATGAGGAAGCTGAAGCTCGCGGGACGTTTGAACGCACCATTTATGGAACCACCGTGCTCGATGCGACGGAGCCCCGTCGCATCCATTTCACACATCAGGCCGCAACCCCACCATGTGTTCTCGTTCTTGGGATCAGGGAACACAGCGGGAACATTATACATGCGGTCCAGCGATTTCTGGCTCAGCAGTCGACCGGGTTCGGCGAGCGCGACGGTCCAGCGATGCAGATCACCGACGGTTGAATACATGGCCCCGGCGCCGAGGGGAAAGCCCATGTCCACATACGAGGCGTTCTGAATTTTTCCGTCTTCCAGTTCGTATCCGCTTGCACGGTGTTTCAGCAGCTTCGAAGAGACCTCTACGCCAGTGTCGTTCAGACCGAGCGGCTCCAGAACCTCCTTGCGCAGGACATCGACCCAGCCCTCGCCCGAGACGGTCTCAATGAGGACGGTCAGCACCTGATAGTTCGAGTTGGAGTAAGCGACTTTTGTCCCCGGTTCGAACTCAAACGGCAAGTCCTTGAAATAGGCGAGCGTGTCCACAGGGGCGGCATGCAGTTTGCGAGCAATGGCGCTCTCGTATTCCGGCAAATCGGTGCAATTTGGTAGCCCGCTTTGGTGGGTGAGGAGGAGGAACGCTGTCAGGATATCGCCTTTGTCGGCAGGGAACACTGGGGAGGACAGGTATGTTGACATGGGGGCGTCGAGGTCCAGCTTTCCTTGCTCCACCAGGCGAAGGACGGCCGCCGCTGTGAACTGCTTTGTCACACTGAGCACCTAGGATCAGCGTCGTGCGAAAGACATTCCTCGCCTGCAAAAGCGATCTCACCTGCCGATCCTGAACTTTGTGTCAATGGTATTTGGCACGTCCCATTCTCGATTGGCGAGCCCGTACGCCTTGGAGAACAGAACTTCCTGGTCGTCTCGACCGGACCCTTTTGCAACGAGGACTGCAGCCAGTTTCAAGGAGGTCAGTGAATCGTCGTGCACAAGCGAGAAACCCTTAAGAAGACAACTGCAGCTGCTGCCGTCACATACCAGCCCCAGAGTAGTGTCTCTTCTGAGCGTGAGCTTCAATGTAGGCCTCGCAGGCCTGCTGGAAGGTGGTCTTGGTCATGGTGTGGGTCGTTTTCGATAGGTACAGGACAGCTTCGATGGAGATGGTCACTTCTGTTCAGTCGCTTGCGGGAGAGGACAAGGCCCAGCGGGCTTGCTTTTATGGACGGTGGCCCAGCAGTTTACACTGCCATACAGGAGCCGGTTGGGAGCGGAGTAGACGGTGGACCAGCCATCGAACTTTCGATTCTCGTTGGCGTTGTAAGTAGGGCGGCCGCTGGTCATGGGGAAGCTTCCACAGTGCGCATAGACTGTACGTTTGCGCAGTCCCTGGCAATAATAATGGGCTGCTTCTGAAGTTCTGCAGGCCGTCGGAACTCATTCCAGAGTATGCCTTCCCGTGTGGCCCCGGGAAGGCGATGTAGTATGTATGTATGTATGTACGTCGAGCTGGGCGCTATACATGTGTATGCTCCATTCCTACAATGACGAACAAAGACAAGAACTCTCGACTACATGCTATGTCCCTCCTCGCATCCGGATTTGAACACGACGTTCAGCCGGACGGGTTCCGGATCCCCTTGTGAAAACGCTGGGTCTACTGTCCTTCAATACTAAACAGCTCCGACGCAGCCCTAGCAAACGGTGCCTGATGGGCGTGCCGCGGCTCGCTAAACGCAAACACACGCGCCTGCCAGTCATGCCCTTCAGCCGCATCCAGCGGAACCTTGAACCAAACTGTTCCATATCCACAAGGCACCGCCCCGCCCTTCGGCCCAAACCGGGTAGTGGGGCCGCTGCCCGTTGAACTTTTCTCGACGTACACCTCGCAGGATGATGAAGCCCACGGCGTGTAGGGCGGGGTGATGCGGGTTGCGTCCCAGTCCACAGAGACTGTTTGACCGCGGCGGTAGGTTGTGGAGGCGGTGGGGACAATGATCCGAATGGCTGTGAATGGTCATAGGGAGAGTCATTGGTCAGTTTTGAACGGCTTGACACGCAAAGCATGGGTTATCATGCGATGGTGCACCATGCTTACAATAATCGCTGCTTTGACGTTTCGTCGCTGGAGCTGCTGAAGCGGACACGATTAGGAGAGCAGATGCCACGGCGAGGAAGTGCATTGTCAGATGCATTATAAGTCAGAGGAAAAATCTCGAAAGGAACTTCTCCAAACCGTAAGCGCAATAGTATTCGAAAATGCGGGCGGTGCGGAAATGATCGGTGCGTTGAACCAAAGGACTAGCGGGTTGGCAGCCATGATCGCTGAAGCCCTTCTCCATTTATAGGCGTGCTAGTGAAGTCCGCATGCCAAAGCACCTGCCTTGCGGTGCTACTGCCGCTCCATCAGCTGAATCGATTTACAGTTGCCGCCTGCAGGACAAAGGGCAGAGGGTCATAGCTTGCAGGTGCCTCTGCCTGCCATTTCAAAGGATTTTTTGGTCGTGTCCCGTCGCAGAACGTAAAAGTAGCTTACAGTACAGAGGACATCAATTGCTGCAGTGCCACTGCCGGCCGTCAGCTGCATCAATTTTACGGTTGCCGCCTGCACGACAAAGGGCGAAGTCGGGTACCCTGCCTGCCGTTTCAGAGGGTTTTGTGCTTGAAGTGGCTTACACAGGACCCTGAGTTGTTGCAGTGCTACTGCCGGCCGTCAGCTCCAACAATATACGGTTGCTGCCTGCAGTGTGCACAACAAAGGACAGAATCGTGGCTTGCCGGTGCCCCTCCTGCCATATGATATCAAACGTACTTTTGTGTCCGCGCCGCAGGACGCAAAAGTGGCCTACGCAGCATCCAACAAGGCGTGGAAAGTGCGTGACACAGAAGTGGCGCGCGAACATGTGCTCTGCCCTTTGGATAGGTCTGGCGCATCAGGACGTAAAAGTTTCAACAGGGCTTGACAGGGCATCAGACAAGGCGGTCAAAGGGCTTCACCATTTGGCGCATTAAGTGGTGGTTGAGCCCTTCGGCTCTCGTTGGTGAGTTGGCAGAGTTGGTCGATGGTCTCGCGATGACACACGCGTCGTGCGCGGCAAACATATCCGCGACGACCGTTGACATCCATCCACCGAAGGGTACCGAAACTTCACAGCCGACTTTCCCGCCAGGAGCCCAGATTGCACCGCCTCATTCCGCTCGCAGGTCATCATTTTCCATGATCAAGCCGCAAGTCAGAAAGGGGTTATCAAGTGAACTAACCCTAATTTGGCGGGGTGTGCTCTTCGTGGGCTTGAGGGCCAGTGGCTTCGTCCGCCAAGTGCAGACCTCTGAAGCTGCCTCTGAAGCGTCCTTTTGTTTTGCAACTTGCAAGGTGGCGAGTGGCCAAATGAAAGGCAAGACGCTCTTCTGATCCACATTATAGATCTCTCAATCCGAGGGGGGGTTTCTAGTCAAGGTGCAATGCATTCACTCTACATGTAATGCCTAATATAAACAGGCCCTACGGAGCGGACGACATTGTAAAGGCCTTCAAGAACGCCGCTTGGCTTCCACACTGTTGAAACCTGACCGGATGCTAACGCTAGCGGCCGGTTGATCCATACCGTTGGACATCGCAAACTCTAAAACCGTCTCAGCAAACCCATCCACTCCAAACGTAGTCGTCCCGACCCTCCTTCGCAGCGCAAACGGACCCTCTGCCAGCGTAAACGCGCACGTCCCATCCTTTGACACAACCACATCGCCACCTGCCGCACTTCCATACGTCCCTGCGAGAAGATCAAATTGCACGTCGTCCTTCTCGAGGGTTGAACCACCAACATCCACAGCAGGTGGCAGGACATCCGGCCACTCATATATCTCCTCGAGCGCGGCGCTGATCTCATCCCACCGCCGGCTGCTTTGCCCGTTGATGAGGGTGGCGAAACCAAACCCGGAGTGCGGGTTGAGTTGGAAGGTACTGATGAAGCCGAGGTTGCCGCCGTTGTGCTGGAAGGAGGTTGATCTGGTCAGTAAGCTTTCTCATAGAGGACAGGCGGGGGAGGAGGAATGTGGAAACTTACAGAAAGCCGCATGCGGTCTGCCTTGCCTTGACGCATGATGCCAAGCGCCATATGCTTCGTAGATGGGTCGTGCTCGCCGCCGGCCAGTGTGATATATTCCGCGGCGGAGGCAGTGGTAAGTAGCGCACTGCCCGGCGGATAAATAACGCCTCCACTCGTCAGCAAAACCGGCTGAACAGACCGTCCAATGGCCAACGCAAACTTGACAAGATCGACAGCGGTGGTCCACAGGCCCGCAGCAGCCGACTCCGGATATACGAGGTATCCACCTGATATCGTCGCGTCACAGAAGGGGTGGCTCAAGGCGTGATTGTCGGAAGGCGGCGTGTCGACGCAAACGCGGAATGTCGAGCGAGTCATACCTGCCGGCGTCAAGACCAAGTCGTCCATGAGTTCCGCGAACGGCTTGCCACACACGTCCTCCATCACCAGTTGGACGATCTCGTAACCGGCGCCAGAGTAGCGGTAGTAACCCGGGATAGAATCAATGACGGTTTTCGGGCAGTTGCCATCACCGTTCAAGACGCCGACGACATCTGGAAGGTGCGGGTCGTTCCTGGCATACCCATCGAAGTTATCCCCATTGAGTCCCGCCCGATGGGACAACAGCAACCGTAGCGTGGTTTTCAGGCCGGAGGTTGCAGTAGCAGTGGGCAGTTTCCAGCGCTTGAGGTAATCGTTCACATCAACGTCCAAGTTCAGGACGCCCTTCTCCACCAACCGGAGCACGGCTACTGCCGTCACAGGCTTGCTGATGGACGCGGCCTGGAACTGCGTGTCGTCGTCGACTTTGATAACCGGGTGCGAGTCCGCGGCGCGCACGCCATAGTTCTTTGTCCATATGATCTTCCCCTTGTGGAACACTGCGAGCTGGAGGCCCGGGACGAGGTCGTAGCGGGCGAGGTGTTCGGCGAGAGGGAGGGTTTTGTTTGGACTGACTTTTGATTCGAGCGTAGCGAGTACGGCGTCGGGAGGCGTCGGAAAGGTCGTCGCAGTCATTGGGGAGGAGCTTTGAGTGTGCTTTTAAGGAAAAGGGCGTTTCGAAAAGGGGGAGAGCGGTCTCTTTTGTCCCTCAACGGTTATCCTCCACTTAGCAGGCCATGGCGAAGACCATGCTCGCGCGCTCTTATAAGCACTCGTACGCAGCTGGTGGGCAAGCGCATCATGGTTGGCGGTGTGGTGGACGAGTGCAGGTTTGGCAGTGCAGATTCTGCGCGGGTGCTCCTTGTGATAACCGGGTGCTCCGCTCCTCCAGAAACGCCCAGCCGCCTTCCCAGCGGAGCGGTATGAAATATACGGCGCGCAAATCGACACTATTGCAGGAAGGGAACCCTTTGAACTTGACGCTCGCTGCCTCAACCCTAAGCAGGCATCCCTTCAACGCTTTGGCGCTTTATTGACCGCACAGTACGCTCTAACACTCGCCCGTCTCGCTATCAAAGCAAGTCTACAACAGTCACAATCGCACTGCTGCCCTCAAGTATCAGCACACCAGAAGAGGAAACGAGATGGAATATGAACGCATGGTTCTACGCGTATCATCATGATCTCGCTGGCCGTCGAATGTTTTCACTAATTTTGAATTGGAGAAGGAAAGGAAAGCAACTGTGAGGTATCCCATGCCCGATTTGTGCTGCTTTGAACTTGGTGGGGATGTCAAGGAGTAGATGCTGACATGGTTATTTCGACATTGCTCTTGAAGCTACCACGGACCCCGGCGTTTCGAGAAGGGGGGGTCGACAGAGCGAAACCATACGACGTTCAAGTTTGATCTTGGCAAGGAGATTCCGCAGGATATCGACGTCGGTATAGTAGAGAGCCGATTATCCGTTTTGGCGAGGGCATCCTATACAAACGGAGCCACGGGCATAAGCGGATAGAAGGATCTAAGCAGCAGGTTGTCGCATTCGGGCAATCGCCGTGGGCAAGGCACAGGTAATTCAATTTCGATCCGGTGGCTCAACCTGTTCCGCATCATCTGTGCCCCTGGATTCGCTTCGTGCAGGTATATGAATGGTGTGACACTATCCCTGCTCTGGCTGCCGATTCAACGCCGGCATGTAGCGCCACCGCCTTCGCATGGATGTCCATTGCTGGCATAGGCGAGCCATGACTCTCAGCTGTGTCGATATGACAAGAGGCGGCAGACGTGAATGGGGTGCTGTCGTCTGTTTTTGTGTGCTGGTTCGTTTGCAAGATGTCCCTGTGCCATACAGCAGAGTTGGAAAGGAAACAAATGAACTTCACGTCTGTCAGAAGGGACAGCCACTGCGTACGCTTGCTCGGTTCGAGGGAGGGGGAGGACATACGTGTTCACTGGCATCCTCGGGTACCCACAAGCCGGAGGTGGAAACGGTGCCGAATATGCTGTTGCAGGAGGAGCAGGTAAGTCCTAATCCCATTGCGCGTTTGCGCAACTTTCCTCGGGCCCTCCCTGCACTCTCCCTGGCCAGCATCTCTTCCGCAATTGCCAAACTTGTTGCACGGAATCTGCCATTCTGTGAGGAGACCATACAGTCAAGGGACAAAGGCCGTGTCTCCTCGAGATCAAGTCGGTGTTGCGACGCGCGAGGGCTAGCTGGCAAGCACAGCCTGTCATCAGCAACGAACGCTGATTGGCTGAGCTTCAACCCTAACGCAAGCCCCCGGCAACTTTCGCCCATAACCCCTCCCTCCGAAACGGTGGCCACCTACGCTGTATATACACTTCTTGTTTGTTCAAGCTACCTACAATTCACCTCACGGACAAACCATCACTTTTACCGCCTTCTCAGAGTAAATATGGCGGACAGTGCACCACCAACTTCCGTGCCAAATGAAGATTCGCCACCACAAGGAAGGACCAGTAAAAAGAAAGTGGGTGCCAAACCCAACCCGTTCATAACCGATATGCCAGCCTGGAGGCGGGAAAAAAACCGTAAAGCACAGCAAGCACTCCGAGGTCAGTGTCGTCTACTTTGCCCCTGTAGCTGTATCTGCCACTGCAAATAACACCCTTTCTATAGAGCGTAAGGCGCAAGAACTTTCCCGACAACAGGAGGACACCAGAAGCCTTCAGACTCGGATTTCCACCTTGGAGCAGGACAACCAGCAACTTCGGCAGTTACTGGCTCTTGCTTTTTCTGCCTGGTTTCCGCAAGACACAGAGGTTATTGGCCATGAAGGCGTGAACGATGCTGTTATGCTCGCTGCAAGAGCGCTTGCTGAGTTGCGGGTTGCTGGTTCGTTCCGGCGGAACGAAGAAGTCGTCCAGGTTGGTGGAGCCCACTGTTCTGATATTCACATCATCGAAGGAAGTACTGAGATACGTCGATAGGATAATCAGCAGCCCACGACGCCATCGCTCAATGCACCACCATCTACCTGCTGCCCAGCCACCATAGAGCCAGATATCGTGTCAAAATGTGCAAATTCCGTCCCATGTTTTGTACTCCGAGACAAGATACTGCAATACGGGGCGCAAGTGGACATGAATGCCCTGTGTGAGGAATTGATAGTTCCGTGCTCGATGTCATGGAGATCCGTGGGATGCTGGCAACTGGACGATTCCGGCAGATATTTTCGACCGGTTCCCACTTCTGAAAGGATAAAAGGGAGAGGACATCGCTTGCGTTTGCGATAGGTTATAGCATTTCCTCGGCCAATGATACGTGTTGCAACATTAATCAACCTGCATCGACACTCCTTAAATCACTGCCAGAGCAGGACATGCGTTTTCTATTAAAGAAACTCTTACGTTCCCAAGTCAACAATCACCCTCTACATGCAATGCATATGGCCTTTGGGGAGGCGGCAACGCCGCCGAAGGCGAGATCTTGTACTCTTTAATAATAGGCGTTCCACGCTGGGTGACGCGATGCTATGGCTCTTGTGTGAAGATCTCCATTCGGCGTAACTTCGCGATCCCCATCTACAACTCACCGCACATGCGCCAAAACGAGCCACGAAACCTGCGCGTCACCAGCGGCAGCGGTTCGATGGCAAAAGTGGGATTCGAGCGGATAACGCCTGCGTGTGGCGCAAAAAAGTTTAGAGGTGAAAGGTGATTCAAGTCAGCGGCGCATCTTGGCGAGGAGCGATAGGGAAGAGCTGAGCAGGCGAAATGGAAGGCCGAGAAGAAACCCGTACCGTAGGCCCCGTAGGCGCGGATGATGAGCGGGTTACTGGATAGTCAGAGTAAAGGTCGCTCACTGACTTCAAGAGTGTTCGAATAGAATTCATCTTGAGATTTAAGGACGAAACGGGGTGAAGTTGGGACTTTTCCAAGGCGAAAGTTTCAATGCGCATTGTCGAAGGTTAAGTGAGATGGATCAAGGTTTTAACCAAAGCCCTAAGCCGAAGAAATTATTGGACAATTACTGAATCGATACAGCCCACAGTGTACATAATAGAGAGAGGAGGATGATAGGTCGGGAATTCAAGATACGGCACCTCCCAGTTACATAACATACACCATGAACCGCCTGCGGCTTGCCAACTGCTGCAAAACGGGAAAACAGTTCGGGTACAATTGCAGCACATCATCGCGGAAGGCAACTGGTTCAAGGGCTAGCGGCCTCATGCAGATAAGACAGACGTACATCCTTTCCTCGCGAATGCCGTAGTACTGACTCATAAAGATCATAATTCGCTCCATTTGGGCGAATTTCTTTTTCGTGACCGTTCCCCCAACACGCAACGGGCTGGTCGTGATCTCGACGACAACGAGGGCGTTGCAGTCTGGCGACTGCGGCAAAGTCCGCACGCCCACCGGTGGAATCGTCGTGCCAAGCGGTGTGGGGATGTCACCGGAAGTCGGAGAGACAAAGGCTCTCCCGAGCCCCTCCTTATGAGCATAGAAGAGACCGTTGACCTCAAGACGCAGCGGTCTCAAGGACAATGGGATGTCATGAGACTGCCAATGCTGCGCGTGCTGGTTCCTTAAAATCGACCAAAGGCGCCGAAAGGGGAACTCCAACGTAGCTAAGGGAAATACTCAATAACATAACATCAGATCAAATAAGTGCATAAATTGGACGTACCCGAATCGGTGCCGCGCCCTGCGTAGACAAATCCTCTGGCTTGCAATTGAACCCCGCGCGGGTTCAGAATTTTTATATCCCATTCTTGCTCGAGGAAATCAACCATATCTGACCGGATGACCCTCTCGTACAATAGGCCAACCGTGGACTCGACTCTCCCCAATTGGGCTCTAATGGGTTGGAGCTCGGTTCGGAGCTCGGTTCGGAGCTCGGTTCTGAGCTCGGTTCTGATGAACTGTGCCAATTGAGCAAACGATGTTACGGTAGCGACATTTGTCGGGGCAGGTGTAAGCTGATGGAGAATTTCCATGTCGTCTTCATCCATAGCAACTTCTACACTCTCTGTATCCCATGGGGGTGTCGAAAGATCAATTTCATTGCCTTCTAGGAAAGCCTATGTGGAAGCATTAGAGTGGGCTGCTTGGACTCTATGCAGCGTTTCCTCTTGCGTTTCCACTCACATTCCCTCGCTCACGGTTGAGTGTGGCAGACTGCGTCAAAGCTTGGACCTGCTCAATAGCCGCGATGGGATCCAGGGTGGCACCAAGAACAGCGCCGACAGCGTCACCTGGGTGAGTAACTGCCTCCCTGACAAGGTGCGATACCGCGGGGCTGTAGTCGGCAGCCACTCTGGGAAGTGCAGTGAGTACAGAAAGGGCAGTAGCTGCTACGGCAGCATATGACGCCGTTGTGACCAGTGCCGTTGTGACCGGTGCCGTTGTGACCGGTCCCGTTGTTGTCTGTGCCGCTGCTAAAGCCGTGGCCGCGGGCGAAGGAGGAGGGCCGCTGTCAGGCGTAAGCCTGGTTGCAGCAGGTGCAGCTGCAGCACCGGGAGCAGGCGCGGCTAGCGTCGTGAAATCTACTCCTCAAAACCGTCAGGTGAACATGAGAAAATGGAAAAGGAAATCGAAGTGCACCAACTTACCATGCAACTTGAGTACTGACTTCTGGACAGAACACAATAGGCACACGGGCTGTTGGGTCGGGCTACGGTATGCCAGAAACAGCACACGACTATTGTGCGATGACAGGTCGATGGCGGCGGGAGGAAGTCCAGGAGCGGTTGGTGGGGTTGCATCGGGGTCTGCAACAACTCCAGAATACATCAAGTGGATATCGTTTTTCCCAATCCATTCCTCGGCGGCTGGGGCCCTCACAAGTTGGACTAGAGCTTTCGGTAAGACCTCGGTTGCAAAGTCGACCTTCGCAGGGTTTCTAACGAAGAGGTCGTCCCTTCCTAGGGAAAGGGGAATAGACCTGCGCGATGACATTGGGAAGTGAATCGGAGTAGCGGCTTGTTTAGCAGAACGGAGGAGAGAATGTAGCAGCTTGAATTTGATGTCAAGGTTGCTGTAGGTGCCGACGAGGTTCGGGAGCTTTATATACGCAATTTGGCAGTGCACAGGACCTGTCAGTTACGAAAGTGTGGAGAAGAACTTCATATGCCTCACCGTCACCCCCATAATAGCCCCAAGTTGCTCATTGTTGACTGCGCATTGTTGACCGAAAAAAAAAAAAAAGGAAAAGAAGGAAAGCGGCTTGTGGACTGAACGATGTGGGGGAAAGCGTGAACCTTCGCAGAAAGACACAGTCCCGCTTGCTGGGGTGACTGCCACTTAATTCGAAAGGCCCGACCGCGTCGTTCATTGCGTCCCAAGAGTTTCCGGAGGAGATTCCCGCAGTAGTGGTAAAGATCCTCAATGGAATTGTCCGAACACCGGGAGCGTCAGTGGATGTCAAAGCAGCCAACCTATTTCGTTTCGTCCAGTCTGGTCACTATGGATTGACGCGGCTCGAAACTGAAGATGCAGTGCGTTTGCATCTGGCTCAACTAAAGAAACATGGCGTCGGGGAGGTCAAAAGTGAGGTTTATTAAATACAAGCCACTTTCCTTAAGAAATTTAGCGAATGGGAGGAGCCGCCACGCAAGCGGTTCATGGTGCGAATGTCAGCGTCGGGCTGGACTTGGAAAGGACTTGAACATCTGAACATATGTTTTTGGGACCGAACCGTCAAACAACTGGTTCCTCCCCCCAAATGGACTCCTGAAAAGTGCACGAACTGGGTGGCCAGCAATCAGCACGTCACAAAGACTTCTGTGGATCAAGAAGCTTATAAGGCTGCGCCAGCCGCCTCCAGAACAAGCTTTTACGATAGAGCTTTCCTTGCGGCGACAACCAAGCCTCGGGACGAAGCTTTGGTTGGTTCCATGGTGAACGACTTTTTGCAGGGGATCCTGGATCCTGCGGGGTTGCTGGTGCTGTAAGGAAGAAAGCCCATGGCGCGATGTCGCATGACATTTCTAATCTTACCTGTTTTTCTTTCTTTCCTGTGTCTTTTCCGTAACAGTTGACAGCACAAGATGAGCCTGGCTGTTCAGAATGTCCAAAAGGTGGCAAAGGCAAACTTGATGGTTGTCAAGAAAACCGCCACCGGGGGATTCATCAGGAGAGTCGCACTTATAAAGGTATGTAGCAGAATGAGGTGGATGATCTGACATTAGGATCTTATGAATTTCTATTTTCGCGTAGATTCAACGCGATGAAGATAAAAGGGATGCCGAGGCCCAGGTGTGCGCTGAGGGCATCAGCATAGCGCAGCAGGCTGGCTGGAACCATTCCTGGCCCATCCTCCTTCTACGCGTGACGGGAAACCAGGTGTGGTGTACCATGCAGCCGTCACCGAGCGTTTCATCCAAGATGTTCGCGTTGGCCATAGGCGGGCGGAAGCATTATGGATCGACCGGGCCACATCAGCGATCATGGACCCGGAGCCTTGATCACAAATGGCCCCCATTCTGGACATTTTTGACCCTTGTTGTCGGCAGCTATTAGCAGAGACGCTCATCAGCTGGACGCAGCGATGGCCGAGCATTCCCCTGGCTACGTAAAGGGAAGGAGGGTTAGGCTGATCGGAATGGTCCAGACCATCACCTTGGAGCCACAGCCTCGGCGCTTATCTTCACCCCTGATTGTTGCGTCTTGGACATCACCACCTGGCCCGTCTTCTTCCTTCACCCCATACCCCTGTTTCCA